AATGCACGCGCTGCGGTGACCGCCTCCTTCCACAAGAGATGGTAATGCGAGCGCAGCAACACGTTTACCACCTACCTTGTTTCGTGTGCGTGGTGTGTTGCCAACCACTACAAAAAGGCGAGCAGTTTGTACTACGCGCCGGGCAATTATTCTGTCGACAAGACTACGAAAAAGAAATGTACCTTATGCAACAAGCTGCCGGTTCGGGTGACGACGATTTGCTCGATGAAAACACGCGTCCTCGTGATGGCCGCCGTGGACCGAAACGTCCCCGCACTATTCTCACATCTGCACAGCGTCGGCAATTCAAAGCTTCGTTCGAAGTCAGCCCGAAACCGTGTCGCAAGGTGCGTGAAGCGCTCGCCAAGGATACAGGACTAAGTGTGCGCGTCGTACAAGTATGGTTTCAAAATCAACGCGCCAAGATGAAGAAGATTCAACGCAAGGCAAAGCAAGACGATGGGAAAACTTCAGCGGGCGATAAGGATAAAGGTGATAAGGATGACGACTGCAAGCGGCGCGAGAGCTCACCGCACAGTGATCGTGGTCGTTATGGGTTCGCACAACCGCTCAACCCTAACATGCCATACTCACCGGACGGTGAGCATACAAACAATCACAAATATTTACTAAATTATAAACCTAACCTATTTCTATGTACTTACAGATGCGTATCCAGCACATTCGGGTGAAAGCTTCTGTAGTTCAGATATTTCCTTGGATGACAGCACGAATTTCGACCATCTTGATGAAGGCACTTCCGATACACTGTCACTGCAGAATTTAGAACTCCAATCAAGTCACCAGATGGCGCATGATGGCATCAGCACCAGTGGTGTGATTGCGAATCCCATCGACAAACTCTACCTCATGCAGAATTCCTATTTCAACACCGAGCAATAATAAAACTCATCGAGTTTTAAACAAAACTGAAACAGAAAGGTTTCAAGTCTAGTCATTCAAATGCACAACGGCAAATTACAATATATTATGCGTATAATTTATTGAATAAGTGTACATATTTCTGATTTCGGTGCATTGTAAATATTGTCATGCAGCGTTGCGTGTTTTTTGAGATTAAACTATAAATATTTGTGATGATAAAACCTTATTAAGCCAAAGCGAATTATAGCAAATGTAAATAAATAAATATATTATGCATTTACGAAATATATAAATATAAAAATATTTAAAAGTGCTAGGAATAAGATTTCTTAGATATTGAATTGTCACATATTTTAAATAAACTTTAACAAAGGATTTACTCACTTGTATTAATAGATTTTATGGGGCGTTTAAATTTCAGTTTTCTTTAAGCTTTAAAAGTTCGGCCCTGTTTCTAGATCGCCCTTAAATAATTCGGCGTTTACTATAGGCAACCAAATATACATCGCATCTGGCATTCAGAATTAAATTACAAAATAAACAAAAACAATTTCTTTTTTAATACTTTGGTAGTATTATTGCAATATTCAAATAAAATATTAAATTATTTACAGAATGACCTTTACTTTTTTATTGATTTGTTGTTTTCATACTTACTATACTATTTTAATTCAATAAATAAAATAAAACACAGTTGAAACCTAAAAAAATATATAATTCTTATATTATAATTGGAAAAATTAACTTCCTGACAAAGTATTTCATGTTATTAACGTGTTGGTACAGCACTCTCCTTCCTGGCTGCATCTTGTAGAAGTTGGGTGTCCACTTCATCAGCAGGTAACTGAACATATCTCACCACTGATCCTCTGATAAAGCAGTTCTTCACAGATAACTATAGATCATAAAACAATATAAACACCAAACATGATATAAACATTAAAAGATATTATATCAAAACAGTAATTACCATGTGTGGATACTTTTCTGAGTCAGTTACACTAATATCAGACAGTTTAATATTTAAATACTGATCCACTGAATGTAATGTACCACAAATACTAAAAATAAGAATGTATATTGCTTAATAATTCAATTGTTTAATTTTTATTTGAAGAGTGTCCAAATGGTACTAACCTTAAATCATTTTTAAGCTCAACTACCACATCTTTACCAACTAGTGATTTAAAGAAGGAATAGAACAACTAAAACAATAATTATTTGTTTAAAATTTAACTCATATTAATGTTTGAAAATGAGTTACCATTTTGCGACTGTTCGTATACTTGACGATTTATGATAAGAATTGTAGGGTTAAGATTACAATTGGACGCCGGTTTGCGTTTTGCTGAAAAATAATAATTTCTGCATTGCAACGCCATCTAATGGGTCTTAAGCCCATTCAAAAAATAAATTAGCAACTATTTTAATTTTATTCTGTGTCTAAAGATCAGATTTATAACTTATTAAATTGCAATATTATTAAATAAAAATATTAAGTAAACATATAGTTTATATTTTGTGCAAAACTTTTTAAATTGTCCACTACTTATCTAACCTAACACTATGCACTCCAGAATTCTCAGAGAATCTTATTTCTTTTCGTTCTAAGCAAAGAGTTTAGTGGATATTTTTATAACAAAATGTCTGCAGTAAAGGAACGCACAAGAGATGTGCTCATTGACGAGACTAATGTTAATTTTGAATCTCTGTTTTTATCATCTCCAGTGCTGCAGGCTTTAAAGGAGTATAACTTCACCAAACCAAGTCCAATTCAACTTAAAGCTATTCCACTAGGAAAATGTGGCTTAGGTGGGTTTTAAATAACTAAGCAGTAATCATTTCATCTAATCAAAAAATTCTTGCAGATTTAATAGTGAAGTCAAAATCAGGCACTGGGAAAACTGCTGTTTTGCAATCATAGCACTAGAATTGATTGATATTCAAAAGAACAGTTACAAGTCTTAATATTAGCTCCAACTAGAGAAATTGCTGTCCAAAGCTGTGAAGTTATTAATACAATTGGAAAACATATCACAGGTAAATTTCTTGTCACATTTTTAGAGATGAAACTTTCATAGTACACTTCTTTTACTAAAGAAGCATTGATATTATATTGTTTTGCATTAAAAAAATCATTTTCAGGTTTAAAGGTTGAACATTTCATTGGTGGACTGCCTGTAAAAGAAGACACAGTCAAATCTAAAGGATGTCACATTGCTGTTGGATCCCCAGGCCGCATATTACACTTAATCACATCTGGAGCAATCAATGTCCAACATGTGAAACTCTTTGTTCTTGATGAAGCCGACAGTTTAATGGAGAGCAGTTTCCAATCAGACATCAACAAGATATTCCACAGTTTACCACTCAACAAACAAATGCTTGCAGTTAGTGCAACATTTCCCAATGAATTAGACACTTTTCTTTCTCAATACATGCACATACCAACCCATGTCAGCCCTGTAGTGGACACACCACTGTTATTAGGACTCAAACATTTTGTTAGTATCACCGCATTCAATGTAAACGCATTATTCTTAACAAAATATAAAAATGCCGAGTTGATTCGCTTATTGACGCATGTGTCGTTCACACAATGTTTAATCTTCTGTAATTATCAAACACGCGCAGAAGAAGTAACGAATTTCTTGAATACTAATAATTGGAAGGCTGATTTTATATCGGGTGCACAAACGCAGAAACAAAGGTTGAGGTGTTGAAGAAGTTGAAAGAGTTTCAATGTCGCATATTGTTGTCTACGGATTTGACTGCTAGAGGAATTGATGCGGTGAATGTTGATTTAGTAATTAATTATGATGTACCAAACGATGAGAGTACTTATTTGCATAGAATGGGCAGGGCTGGCAGGTATGGGTCGAAAGGTTTATGTATAACAATTGCTTCCAAAGGCGCCGAAGTAACGAAATTTAGTGATATTATCGGGGCTATCGGTGGTTGTGAAATGACTGTACCAGTATTACCGAAAGAAAATCTGCCGGATAATATTTGGGAGGCCGATATTCAAGGTTTTGAACTTATTAACGGAACTCTGAAACAACAAAAGTCTAAAGATGATATTGTACGGTCTGTGAATGAAATATTAAGAAATACTAATACAGAAAATGAAACGAAGAGAGTGGTTGAAACAATCGATTCAGAAACAAACGAAAAAATGCAATCTAACAATGTGAAGTTTGTGGAGACAAAAGTTGTTAATGAAAATGTCGAAAATCAGGAATGCGATGATGATACCACTGCTTTATTGACGATGTTAGCTGCTGGAAACGCCAAAAACTCTACTGTACAATCAAATCCAGACAAATCATCAATTTTAAACAAAAATATCTCACTTTTAACTGTCACAGGTTTATTGAATGATGACAACTTTGATGTTGATACGGATCAAACAGAAACAATTGAAAACTATTTAACAACTTTTAAAGAGCCCACTATTGATGAATCTCCTTCTGCAGATATTGAAGATGTCTTTATTCATGCCTTTAATTTCGCTATTGACAAAACAAAACCAAGTTGGGCTGATCTCTTCAATTACAAAGAAGAACAAGAAGTGCCCACAGAGAAACCGTTCAATTTATTACAAGATTTGCTGGAATATGTTGCCAATGAAGAAAATCCCGAAATTGATTACGATGATTACGCTGACATGTGCGAGGATTATTGTACGGGTGGTAATGATGATGAAAACATTGATTCTGCAGCATATGAATCAATTAATCAACGTGTGATGGAATGGGTGCCAGTCATCAAAGATGTAGTTTCCAAAGTTGAAAAGACTCCCAACACAAATGTTGAACGTATTCAAAAGACTGAAGGCTGCGATTATCAAGATTTATATGATAATTCTATACAACATTTAGAAGAAAATTTCAACACCATGAAGAGCGTGCCTGAATTTGAACAAATGTGGAGCGCGTGGCAACAACAGATGAGTAGCGTGCGTGATTATGTACAACAAAATATTTACTTGAATGAAATGGAAGCCTACAAAGCCGGACGGCATGGAAATTGATGTTTGATTAGCAGGCTTTGAATGTATCGAAATTGTTTTGTACTTTTGTTTTAATTTTGTGACATCATGGCTGCCTTGCCGAGCAAGCGTTGCCATCGCAACGGTCAGTTAATAAATTATGCGCCACTACTAAAACATCATATCCACCAAATTGCACGTGTGTTACATGTTAGTCAAAATTTAAGTGTGAAATTTGTGAAGGATTTAAATTTCTGTTTGAGATGAGTTGTTCAGATAAACGGCGCTCGTTGCTGTACAAGCTGAAGACGCTCGTCGATCAGATTGACGATAGATGTTGCGCGTAAGTAGTCGCGGAAGATGTGTTTTTCTGATTTATTAGATTGTGATTTGCGGCTGTGCGTTGCAGACCTTGCGGGCCGTGTGGCCCTTGCAATCCGTGTGGCCCATGCAATCCTTGTGGGCCTTGTGGTCCATGCGGACCATGTAATCCGTGCGGATCAGGTGGACCTTGCCAACCGTGCGGTCCCTGCGGTCCCTGTGGACCTTGTGGACCATGTGGACAGTGTCCACCACCACCTCAATGTCAGCCGTGTGGCCCTTGTGGACCCTGTGGGCCGTGCGGTCCTTGTGGACCTTGCGGTCCCTGCGGACCTTGCCCATCAAATGGGCCGCCCCAATGCTGTTCTCCATGCACCGGACCTATTCCACTGCCACCATCTATGAATTCAAACCCTTGCGGTGGGTGTAATATTGGCAGCCCTCCAGTATGCTTACCACCGGTGTGCCCAGCGCCATGCTGCAATATCTGCACACCCAGTCCTGGCGGCTGTCCATCGCCAATGCCTAACTGCTGTCCTGGTAGCTGCCCTCCACCATGTCCTGCACCTGGTGGCTTCTGCCCGCCAAGTCAATGTGGTCCACCCTGTTGTATGCCGTGCCCGCCTTGTGGCGGAGGAATGCCGAGCTGTGGCCCCCCAAGTTGTGGCCCACCAAGCTGCTGCCCACCACCGACGGTATGTTGCAAACGGACCAAATCTAGAGAGCTACGTGCGAGCATTATGCTCATTGGCTGTGATTGCATTAAGCACAACGGCCTGCAGGACCACTGCCCACGCACAGAATGCCGCGGCTCGCCCTGCTGCCGCACGCTGCCGGATGCGTCATGCTGCCCAGCGCTGGAGAACTATAGCAAACTGTTTGCGCAAATGGGTGGCAAGCAGCTACGCGAGCCGTCGAATTGCTGCGGGGCAATGCCTACATGCCCACCGCCGCCATGTGGTCCACCATGTGGGCCGTGTGGACCGTGTGTACCGCCATGCTCGCCATGCATGCCGCCATGTGGACCGTGCTCACCGTGCGGTCCCCCATGTGGGCCATGCCCACCATGCAGTCCGCCATGTGGGCCGTGCTCACCGTGCATGCCACCGAATCTTATTTGCGGTACCGGTTGCTGCCCGATGCCGTGCTGTCCAACCGGTCCATGCGGTCCATGCGGTCCTTGCGGTCCATGCTGCATGCCTTGTCCTTGTCCATGTTAGGCTAAAATCAAACATCATACTCATTCGTCACACATTGGCTCATCGTGATATGTTTAGAATAAAAGAGAGTATTTAATTGCGTAAACAGATATAATTGTCTTTCTATTGCACAGAATGGATCACCTCAATGCGGACCTTTTTGCGGACCATTTTGCGGACCCTGCGGGCCCATGGGACCAACTTGCTCACCGTGCTCACCCATGTTACCTATGAACGCGTGCTCGTCACCGTGCGGGCCGTGCGGTCCCTGTGGACCGTGTGGTCCGTGTGGCCCGTGCGGGCCATGTGGTCCTTGCGGCCCGTGCGGACCTTGCGGACCTTGCGGCCAGCAGTGCGGAGGCGGCGGGCCCTGCGCGTCAATCATGCCCTGCCCGCCGTGCGGACCGTGCGGCCCATGTGGCCCATGTGGTCCGTGTGGGCCTTGTGGCCCTTGCGGGCCATGCGGTCCGACTATGTGCTGTCCGTGTTAGGATTATTGTACGTTGATGTTATATTGATTATATCCAATAAACCCGTACAAAGCAATAAAAATAGTCTGCCACCAACTTTTCAATTCCGTACGCGCTGCAAAAGGGATGGTAAAGCGATGGGTCCGCCGGGTTCGCAAGTGGGCCGCATGGTTCGCCTCGCCACGCATTGTGTGTGTGTGTATTGCTTATACTTTAAAAACAGCACATCACAGCCGGGCCCGGTAGTACAACATCACGATGCCGAGTAAGTGAAAGCAGCAGAAGTAGAGGGCCACCAAGGGTCCGTTTGAACTAACGCTGGTGTTCTGTTTTATTTCGCAGAAAACGCAAAAATGGGACTTTATCGGGGACGACAAGATGTCTTCGACGAATGAATGGCGCATGTGCATCACCCAACCAGTCCCTCAAGAAATGAAGGCAGGTTTTCAGTATGAGCAAGTTAATGTCAGTAATAATAGGCACAACCATAAATCGGACAAAGCCAGCCTTCGGGCGTCCAATAGCGAATCCAATACTTGCGTGATATGCCGACATTGCATGAACGTTTTCAAGCGTGACCAGTCGCGAAACTAAATGGTTGTCAATAACTAACATTGACGCCTTCTTCACTAAACAATTTTCTAGAGATAATAATACATATTTAAATTGTAACCATCAAATAAATTTGACTAACATTGACGAAATATTTTGTTTCATTACTTGATTTTATTTTTGATCCAACTCTGCAACTTAACTTTTTTGAACGTAACCTACAAGTCTAACAAATTCACTCACTGTTTCATTCATCAAGCCGAATCCTCTGTGTTATAACTGAAAAATACACAATATGCAATTAAACAGTTTACTGCAGATAAGTATGTTATCAATATTTAAAATAAACTTAGCATGTCATGTCTGTATTTATTCTAGGAAGTGCATTCACTAGAAACCTTTCAACATCTCGAGCAACATGCCTCATTCAAAAGTGGAGACAAGAGAAGGGCCTTCCATTGAATCCTAATACATCAGGTGTTTTAACAGACAAACCTGATTATACATTTCTAGATGGACGACCGACTCCACTAGGCGTGCGTCAAAAAAACCGCATCATTAAACAGCAAGAAATTGCTGCCAGGATATTGCAACTATCTGGTGAAATTGACTTTGCTGTTGAGAGGCACAAACAAAATCTACAATTAGAAAAACAACAAGTTGAAACTATCCTGAAGAACAAATTAAAACCCAAAGGCAAAGCTTTATTGTAAATTAAAATAGTATCATAGTATGTCATAAAAACATTAGAAGTATCTCTCCATAATTAAAATTATTATACCCACAACATATCCACCAGCAAGAATTATGAATGCGCCTTGTAAATGTTTCAGAGTCAATGCTCTTAGTAGTGTGAAGTCTGGATATGTCTGATGAAAAAGCGGCATTAATTTCAGCTCTTTGTATTGTTTATATTGCAGTTGTCTCATCCAGGCTTGTACTAACCCAGCCTGTGTGATCTGTTTTAACTTATTGTCAAAAATCTGCTTGATTGGCGAATGTTTTTTAATAAGAAATACGAAATAACTATTTGACAGGCATTGTGTCAGTGGTCTGGCATTTCTCGCCAACGATTCAAATCTTTCTATTGATACATCAACATCATGATAGACCAGATTGACAGGAGATGCAAATCGTGCATAATCTATATCGTTATCATCTACTCCAATTGTATCACTTCCAACTAAAAGTGTTCTTAGTTTATTTATATTATGATCATGTGAAGCGTTGATGAGTGGCAAGAGGCTGGAACTTCTGAGCTGCCATTTTATGTTCTGTTTGTGCATGTCAGCAAATGTATTCACAGGTTTGGTATAAACAGGAAAGGAAAGTCTTTTCGTGAGACCTGCAGTGTGGAAAACGTTTATCAGTATTGCACAAAGTAACCACACTCCCAAGATGAATCTGAGTGAGTTAGTTTTCGGCAGGGTTGTAATTGACATGTTGATGGTACTCTTGTAAACTTCCAGGAAGTAATAGACATAATCTGCATGTTGTCGATGAATTTTACTGAGTAGTGTTAGTAATATAGATAGTAAAATCATTGTTATTAAGAGTAACATGTACAAGGAGTAATGAAATGATTGTAAGATGTAAATGAATGAGAGAGGTACCAGCTTGGATTTGGGTACCACAAAAGTACTACATGCTTGTGTATAGTATCTAGTGGCATCCACAGTTGTATAATTGACAGCCTCAGACCAAGAACCACAAAGACCGATATCATCACCTTTTGCAACATCTTTTTGAACAAGATCCCAAGAATTTGGTACGTGTTCAACATAGGTAATATTCCATCCATTAATAATTTGATCCAAAATATTCTTTTCTATTCCATCGTGCAATCCTTTTTTCGCGTTGTAATACACAAACGGCGAATATTGAAATAAGGATACACGTAGAGTCTGCTTACGCATTGTAGGCAACCATATATTCATTTTGTTTTTTGACACAATTATTTCTGTGCTATTTATTGTACACAAAATAGTAACGTAAAGAACTAGTCTTCTAAACGCTTCTTTAATTATTCTAATGCTTATTTGTTGTAAAGTTATATTAGAATGAACAATCAACACGTTAGAATAACAAGGCAAAGTTTCTAAGTCCCTGAAAATCACCAAATGTAAATCTTCATTTGTTGTGTCAGAATAGAAAATAATAAAGTTCCGAATGTTTTCCATAACCTTGACATCCTGTAACATGAGGTATACGGGTATCCTGGATTCGATTTGTTTCAGAAAGTCATCCTCGCACGTGTGAGTTGACGAAACATTATGAATTATTTGCACGTAATGATTGTGGGCGAATGCCGAGTGCACGGTTTCGTTGAAAGTTGGAAAACAAAGTGTTGCAGCGAGGGGTAACAGAACCGCCATGTTTTCACCACACAACAAACTATATTTCAACTGAGAAACTTGACACTTGTGCAAAGTGTTGTTAGTCATTTATTCGTTTTACGAGGAGTGCTATTTTATAGATTGTAGATATGTTGAGTATTTTTTCGATTACTATCATGTTTATATTATCTATATACGTTTATAATAGCACATTGTAGGGTTCACGAGTGTGTTATTTCTGGTGTATTTATCAATTTTGACACTTTAATTACGGATATTGTTTATTTAGTGTAATTGATGGGTTTGCTCAATTGTTAATATTAATGTAAACTCATATAATTTGTTGCTAACATAACTATATTTTTTGTTTCAAACCGAAAAACAAATTATGATATTTTTAGTCAGGTAGGTGTGAAGTATACGTGTGTCATGTATTGTGCCTATTGTGCCATGAGTTGTGCCTGAGTTGTCCAACAGCAAACTCAACGGAAAATGAAAAGTGCTATGTGGATTTTTATCATAGAAAATGCCGAATTTTAGTGATATGATTAGTTTCTGTACGTTTTTAGGAAAATAGATGACATTTCTTGCGTCACAGTCATAAATTTCACTCTAATTTAATATTTACTGCATCTGCCATCAAAATAAACACCAGAATGACAGTGACCTATGCATAATTCTTGAATATATCCTTAAAATTGACAATAAAAATCTGAAAAACATAAGATTCCTATCAAAAATGACATATCGATGTTTATTTTCCATTCCAGAAGCAATTTTCAACAGTCTCGTGTTTTATAAAGCTTGCCGAAAGTATGCGTTAATATTTATTCTATTGTGAGCTTTCTTGAAAGCGTCATAATTATGAGATTGCGAGATTACGTATTAATGATTTGCTAAAAATAACGCCATCGTCAGCAGCACACCGTTAGCTCACCGTGTCTGACGTCGAGGTGCGAGTTTGCGTGCTCGCGCCGCCGCCCGCGCTCAACTTTCCCACGTGGCTATCGCACCCTTGGTGCTTACATGCCGCCACAGTCATGTGCCCGCCGCCGCCCCTACAGAAACACAAAGCAAAATACGTTCCATGTTCAGTACGTGCAAATAAAAAAAAATCTCATCTAAAAATTCAAAAAAAAAATCTTAAACCTAAACAATGGTGATTGCCAAAAAAGGATGCGTTCTGCATCCAGGCATCAAAGAGGTAATATACGTTGTAAGTGTTACTTGTTATAATAATACCTTAATCTTAATTATCTCTACGTTTGCATCTGTTTGCAATTAGTTATGTTATGCATTCGTGTTTTGTTTGAGGCCGGCATTGCTTGGCATTAGTTTTGGTGCTTGAGTAATTGGTAGTTTAATTATAAGTATGCCACGTATGTTGTCATGCGTCATAAATGTACCTACCCATAATGATGGGCATAATATTTCATTTGCTAATTAATTTTACTGATGCCGCCGCCGCCGCGTTCGTGTATGCATGTAATTTGAAACACAGGCGGTGTTGTTTTGAAGGTGGTGGCGGTGGGGGTGGAACTAAGCGTGAAATTTTGATTATGCATAGGGGCCAAGGCTTTTTTCGCGTGATTCGTGCTCGCCGGTTGTTATTAACTTGTGATTTGTACACGCCACATGCGATTTTACAGGCATTCCCAACCTTTTTCATTTAATTAGATTATTTTTTGGGGGCTTTTCATATTTTTTTGGTCATAATACCGGTAAATTATTTGTTTTTTGCCTTCTTTTAAGATTTTTCAATTTGAATTAATTATTGAAAATTTAATCAATATATTTAAATGTTTTCTTTTTGAGGTTATTTAGAATTAAATTCTGAATGTATCCATGCAAAAACTTGAAAATTAACAAATATTTTGCAATAATTATTGATTATTTTGGGTAATTTCTAATAGATTGAAATCTTTGCGCGCGTAAAGTCACAAATATTTTAAAACTTGAATTGAAACAGTTGTAAATTAAACGCAAATATTTTTGTGAGTAATTTTTAACAACATTTCCGCGTTCTCCATAATTTTATTAACACTCTACTCGCCTAAAAACAAATATTTTGTATTTGTGTACATTTCCATTTTTAAGTCACGTTGGGACCATTTTAAAATCTCATTTTTGTCCTATTTCTTTTAAAACTATAAACATTTCTTTTTCTATTTCTTTTAATTTTCAGTATTTTTTTGTTCCAATTATATTTTATTGCAAAATTATTGTTCATGCCGAATTACTTATAACGATGCCAAGTTGTAAAACATTTAACTCATAATTAACACGTATTTACTCACAATCTATTAATAACATATGTATTAAAATATTTCGTGTCTTTATAGAAATCTTTTCACTCTTTGTTGAAATTTACTGATAACAACAAAAGTATTTTTTCTATTTCGATCACAATCGTATTTATAAATAGTTTTATTGTATTTTGAAACAATTACCTACCTAACTAGACTTTCCTCTTACCACACTCACGCGAAAACAAAAACGTGCACAAATTTTCCACCGCCTGACTCTAATCTCGCATAAATTTCCATTTTAATCACTCGCCTAAACCACGGCCAACCTTTAGCGCCATTCAAATGAATTCTAATTGAAATTGAGTGTCTATTGTGACAAATATTTGCATTTAATAGATTGTTAATTTTATTCTATTGATTTTTGCCTATTTCGGGAACGCAAGCGTGCGCAATTTTAATTCCACATGCAAAACAATTGCCGACGTGTCAAGTGTCAACGCGAACACAAAAATATTGCGACGCTAATTGAATATAAAGTACGCCGACGTGCCATGGCATGCGTGCGCGCTTCTCCGAAAGTGTGTTATGTGTTTGTTTGGATATGTTTTTTTTTTGCGACGTAATTGGTATAGGTACAAGGTATCGACGAAGCGTCGCGGCGGCACTTGACGCCGCTTGATTGTTAAATCAACTCGTAAAACACTCCGGCGTGCCGCGGCACTTACTTCAAGACGGTGTTACCTATAAGGCGCGGAGGCGGCGGGTGCCAGCCACCGACACCCTCCGAATAAATTTCCCAACTTCGTGCTTGGCCCATTTACACTCGCTCGCGCAGCGTGCACATTGTTTTGTTGCGCGACATGCGATTATATATGTGTGTTGAACCACTTTGATTCGACCTTGACTTGATAGCCTCTTATCAAGATTTACTTAGTTTACATAGAGGCTTACAAGGGGGTTTATTGTGATTTATTTGGAATTCAGAAGCAGTCACATGCTGAAAGTTACGAGAATTTAAACCAGTGATACTCAAACTTTTATGAGGCTCATTTTCAGACTATAGGCAACTTTATCCACTAACCTAAAATGTTGGTTTTTAGTCGATGCCATCGGTGCAAGTTCCGAAAAGATTCGTGGAAAATCCGCGATGTTATCGGCCGCGCAGCACGAGCGTGGTTCGCCTGTCACCCTTGCGAATTAGAAAAGCTGGCAATTACGGTCACGAACGCGACTTGAACCTGAACACCATCGCCTCCAACAAATCGGTATGATTAATATAAAACTTGGTGCATTTTAAAATAAAATTTTTATTGCAAAATATGATTTCAGGCTCGTCGCGTGCGTTTTGCACTACCAACACCAAACAATACCAATACGAATAATACGATTAATCGAGTTGGTGTAAGCAGTATAAGAATGGTGCCGCAACAGCCGCCGCAGTCGCAGCCGCAAAGGATGCTGCCGACCGCGGCGCGCCGCTTCTCCACGACGGTCATCGGCGCGTCGACATCGCATTCACGCTCGAGCCGCCGTCCGGGCATCATCACAACATCCGAACTAGAAACAACGCGCCGGCCCATCGCCGTTGTGGTACCAGCGCGCCGTCCCCATTGTTACGCTGCGCCCGGCGAGCGTGATAATCCAGTAAACGTGAAGGTGGCAGTTGCGGCATCGCCGGGAGTGCGCGCCAGAGTCCATCCAACGGGACGATACGCGCGTGGCACGCTGTCGCCGACCGCTAGTGCCGCCCCCGTTATGGGGGCACCCCCTGTAGGCAAGGCATTATTACAAGCCGCCGCTGACGGGGACGATGACCTGCTGAGGGATCTTCTTCGACGCAGTTCAATCATCAGCATTTCCGAAAGTGAACTCAATGCAACCGATCGCAGTGGACGGGTAAGAATTAAAACTTGAATTGATTATGATTGATTGCACATATGCACATGTGACGCATGGAATAATTTAAATTCAACAGCAAAAAAAATGTCCCCGTATCATGTGCTTGCCCACCCTTGGCGCAGTCATTGTTTGATGTGCTCGACGCTCATTTATTACGCGTTACAGAGGCAGCATCGCTAATAAGTAAATATTTAACCAAGCCGAACACCAAACGCGGCGGCGGCGTGCCGAGCGCGCGCGCGCGCGACTCGATTTCGTTTCGTTTCATTTCATTTCGTTCGCATTGCAATTGTATAAATAGTACTTGAACCAGTTGCGCGCGGCCGCGCCGAATTTCCTGCAAGCCGCCTGCAGGCGTGCAGGTTGAGATTTATATCTGACGGGTCTGAGAAGAGAGGCAAATAAAGCGATGCGCTGCACGACATTGTAATTAAATATAGGATTAATTGTACTAATGAAAGATGGAAACTTTGGTCGATGCGAGCGAGTGTTTTTGTTCGCGGTGTCACACACATCGGCTTTTGTTTTTCGCCGTTTTGTCTCGGGCCAAGCACGTGTGCTATCTTCACGCACGAGCTGGCAATTTATTCTCGGCTAAATGAGCGCACGAATTAAAATCGATAAAAATTATCTCTAAACAAAGAATACGATGATTATTTTATAGGTTAGTTTTTTAGGTTAGAGCTACTGGAGGTCGCTAACCTATTAGGAGTGCACGTGGTGTATGGTTTGATTGAAACCGATAGCTGAATTATTAATTTCCCTCGAGTGACGCCACTAATTGGTGTTTGCCGCGCCAAATTGAATCCCGATCGAGAAAAACGTGTCTGGATGTTAACGTTCCACATGTTGCGCGTCCACGTGTACTTTTTCTTCTTCTCTCGGTTTTTTGTTTTTCTTGTTTTTTTTACGTTTCTACCCAACAGTAAATTATTTACTAGAGTAACACATCATCACGTCTGATTATAGATGTTCTGGTTTCTGGTCCAAATTGAAAGTCACCTTTTTGTGCGCTGTTTAAATCTCGCGGTAGTGCCGCAAATTGAAAACACATCATGCGCTTAATGTTTCACAGCGGCGGCGGCGGCGTGATGGATTGCGTGCGAAAGTGTGTGCGCCCGCTAAATATACCTACACCCGTTTTTTCAAATTTTTATATTTATAGCCGGCGCGATCTCCAGGCCCAGGCTCAGGGCTCTCGCCATTGCTCTCCAGGCGGGCGCGCGCACGTGCGCCGCCGTTTTTCGCCGAAAAGGTCAACCGAACAAATTGTGCGCGCTCGCAGTGCTTTTGAATACGCCGGTGGAAATTTTTAACGTCGAATTAACTATTTAAAGCTTTCAATCTCAATTCGCAATATGTACTCTTTCGACGTCATTGGCATTCGAAAAGTTTCACACATTTCTTATTGAATTTTCAACTTACTTCTTCTTCTTCTTCTTTGTTTCCATTGAAATTTTGATAATGGTTTTTGTTTCTAGACGATTTTAAGTCATCTTGCGTCTAATGGTCCTGCAGATGTCCTTGAACGTATTCTGTTACTCCCTGGTTTACGCCCTAATCAACCGGACAATGAGGGTAACACTCCCCTGCACTTTGCCGCACAAGCAGGTGAGTATCAATAATGCACTGAGAATTCAAACGCGTGTATCGATTTCGTTACATTGAATATATTGGAATTTAGGCCAAACCGAATGCCTCAATTGCATGCTCACACGCTGCAAGACAATTGAAGTGGATGCAAGAAACAACACGGGATTCACTCCGCTAATGAAAGCCGCGCTTCAAGGCCGGTATAAATGTGCCAAGATGCTTTTATTCGCAGGTAAAGTAACAAACATGCTATTGTATAGTTGGTTGCCTACACATTATATCTTGATAGGTGCTAACCCAACATTAAAGGACGACGGCCGTGCATTACGTGCTGACCAATGGGCGCGATTCTGCGGGCGGTACGTTTGCGCAGACGTGATTGAAAAACATGCGAGACAAAAACTTCTCGAACGTACCACTTCCTATGGCAATTGGGGTACAGCCGCCGATCGGACACCTACCGCATGCAAAGTACCTATCACCACCACCATTGTACAACACTCCACCGGGATTCGTAGTAAATTGAAGAAAGTCTTCCGGACTTCCTCGTCGGGCGCAGCCGCCGCAGCAGCAGCCGAAGCAAACAGCGTGCGTTTAGTTACGCAACTGACAACGGCGGCGCTGTGTGCAAGCACACCTGTCTTACCAGCCGCCCCGAGTGTGCCACCAGTCGTAAAATCACTTATTCGCCCGTTAACAGTGCCACGATTACAAATCACCCTTGCGAATGGTGATGGCAACGGTGATTACTACGCCACTCCTGTTGTCACTCAAACCACGACGAGCACCACAGTCCGGACGAAGAAGAAAAGCAAGTGAAACAAGTGAGTGACCAGACAGATTGTATTCAAGTGAGTGTGAAATGAAAATGGCGGCCTACCCATATTAATATATCTATATATCCGTACTTCCTCCCCCAGTAAATTTTAAATTATCATTTAATAAATAATATCAAGTCGTACTATTTATAATAAGTCATCAACAGCAATGCTAACAATTAATATATCTAATTATAATAAGAACCAAGAATATGGGAATGTGGAGAAATGCGGAATAAGGTAATAGGATGGGTTGCACGTTGGATCACTCGACGGAGCGTTTATTTTTTCGCCGCCGCTTGCTTTTAATATTCGAAAGAATCTCGTAGGCTTGTTGAATCTCCATGAATCGCTCCTGCGCGGCTCGCTGCAGTGCAGGTTCCTTTACTTTGTCGGGGTGATTCTCTCTACTGAGTTTGCGCCACGCAGTGGTAATCTCTGATTGGCTAGCGGTGGGACTCACGTCTAACACTTTGTAAGCATTTTGCTCGCCTTGCACATCAGATAAATCAATTATTTGTTTCCAAATCTCGTACCATCCGTGGTGTTGCGCGTACGTGTACACATCGTAAAGCGATCGCTTGAGATCCGTCCACCACGGAGAGGTGAAAAAGTGATGTAGGGCTTCGCTTACTGGTACTTCATCTCCGTTGGAGTCAGTCACTGTTCCGTTGAAATAAAGGTATGATCCCCAGAGTGCGAGGTACAAAGTTCCGGCAAGGAATAGTACAGTCATGCGTTTACAGAGTCCTTTGGGTTTGCGTGGTGTACGCCGCCATTCTTTGCTAAAGGTATCGAAAGCAAGCGCTGATGAGAACACCATTATGGAGAACCACACGCTCTCGTCGAAAAAGTACCAACGCGATGTGTAGGTAATGTACGCTACCAAAATGGCGATCCATGGCGTACCTTTCTCACGACCAATGTTGCCTACCGTCCATACACCGAGCCCAACCGCAAGCGGTACTAACCAATGTGTAAACGACCAGTTAATACCAAAAACGTCTTCTTCCGGTGTGGCGAGCATTACTAACTGGCCCCAAAGGTAGCCTACCATTATGGCTGAAGTAAACCGACTTGTTGAAAACAATGGCTAAACAAACAAAAACAAATGTCATGCTGGTATTGAATTTGAAATGTTGGTTGCCTACCTTCTTGTTACGCTGTAATTTAAGAACAAAGTCTTTGATAAACTCATCGTCTTCGTTACAATCTCGTACGTATCGCGGTATCTTGGTGACGTCCGCCAACCATCCGATTGCGTATCCACCGAAGGTACTCCATGTGAGAAATGCGTGCACATCTCGCTCCAGATAAAATAAATGCAGACCGAATACACCGCCAAACAGCCAGCACAAGTAAGCCACGAAGACACTTTTCTTTTTCTTATTATTGATTGTCATCGTGTGTATGTCACTGGTTTATTAAAAACACGATACTCTACCTACACTCGCGGTGCGTTATCTTTTGGGTACTAGCGCGCAGGTAGATAAGCGCGAGCTCACCGTGTCAGCGAATTTCCATGCGGCATACGCCGCCTTGAATAAATAATATTAATGCGAGCTGATTATTCCTGTACATATTAACCGAAAAGTGAACGCGTGGACTACCTGGGATTGGACACGTAATGGTACATCATTCGGCGCACGCAAGCGGGTTACTGGCTCAAGAATAGTCAGTCTAACGCCCGTGTAAGTCAAGTTCATTGAACGCCGGCCGACGGACAACTGTAAACCAAACTCGCCAGTCGTCGTAGCCGGCAACAGGTAGATACTTTTAAACGGTAGGACAGGTTATTTAAAATTGTCCACATAACATAGGCAACCCAACATACCATCAACAAACAAAAATTATAAGCATACAACTCGTACATACACCAGTAAACATAATTAATCAGGGAAAAAGATAGATAGGGTTACTTTTTGACTAATTTTTATTATAAGTAAGTGCATAATAAAGTAATAAAGGTATAAGAAATAATGTATAAATAAATGATGTGCATTTTAAGCAGTCATTGCTTGAATCTGAGAAAGGAGTTGTGCGTTGTAAGTCCTGTAGTTGACCGGTTCGACTTTCACCGCAACCGTTTGCAATCGAGAATCATCCTAGACCAAAACAAAATATCGTGAAAATTATATTAAAATCTCATCATTTGAGATACTTACATTGTAAGTTTCAGTCTTAACACGAAACTTGAATTGAAATTGTTTGAAATTGGCATCGCTAGCCAAATTTTGCATGAACGATGGATCATTTCGGGCTCCATCGCCGATTTCCTGAGCTGTTTTGCCAAAAATAAACTCACAATCCGGATTGAAGATAGTCGACCATTGATTTCCACTCCAATCGCCCAAATTCATCTGAAATTTGTTTAATTACATATAAAAAAAAAACACTTAATGTTTATTTTAATTCTTACGTTTCCAATGAGTCTATACTTGAATTCAGTTGACTCAATGTTGCATTTTTCACATCTGTATCTTCCATTCTCAAGATTCACAACCTTCTTGTTGCACCCTTCATTGGCGCATGCCTCATACATCAAATTCTCGCTGCGGATCATAAGAATCGTAGCAACATTCTGATAGTAATCGCCACGTTCGGTAGCTCCAAGTCCTTCATTTTGTACTTGTTTGAAACTGAACCAACTAGCAGCCCCGCCACCTCCGCCAGTCCTAGCGCTCAAATTCGCCGCTTCTTCCCTGTTTCCACCATTATCGTACCATCCACGCAAAGCAAACGCCTCTTTTACATCAGGGTTCAGTTTAAATGTACCGCCGTTCGGTACAGAGATACTTTTGCCTCCGCCAAACTCGGTAATACGCGCGCCTTTGACAGCGACAATATCGTTGCTTGAATCGAATGTCTCTGCATCATTTCCCCATAAAGTTAAAGTGATAGCAGACTTGCTTTGATCAACAAGAACAATGTCACGCTTCTTTAACTCTTTTCCTGTTGAACGTGCGGTTAGGGTTTGAACATCACCAATTTGCTTACAAACTCCAATTACATCTGCGGAAGAAAATAATTTAAAGTATTTTGAGATTTTGTTGTAAATTTTTGCTCACCAATCATCGTGTTGGCTTCCATTGCAGCAATCTTATCAAAAGTAGTAAAGCTGTATTGAACAGTCGGCATGTCTCCATCCTCAGCACATTCTTGAATAACCGACTCGGCTCCAAGAGTCATTTCATAGTCATTCTTCAATGAAGAAAACTTCTTGTTCGCCATTTTGATCTGACACTTTGAAATGTAGTAAATCTTATCAACTTGTAGAAATTCATAGTATTTATCAACCATGTCTCTGAATCCGGTCGCTCGGATCTCACCGCTTTGGTCCAGTAAATCAAAACTGAACAGTTGACCCTCACCCTTCGAGTTGGACCATTTTCGGATTGGACCCTTATTGGTCACTCTAGCCTTGATCACCCATTTGTTTTGATATGGACTCAAACTGCTGATTGGCATAATCAGCTCTGCACTGAATGAGCTGGTATCTGCAGATGGGGCTGGACCAGAGAGATTAGGTCTCTTTGGAGCTGGTTCATAATCATTTGAAGTGGGAGTCCTGGAATTACTTTGAAGGGATGATGCAGAATTTGATGATGAATTGTTCTCTTTGTTCTCAATGGTGGACAAATCACTGGGGAGCGCCTCTGGGCTGCCAAGAATTCTGCCAACCTGCTTGCCATCTTTGACTACTTCCACATCAAGTATAATAAGAACATTCCTAGATAATTTGAAAATTCAAATTAATAAATAACATAATGAGAGTAAATGTAAATTTCCCTACTTCTCACCACCTTTATTGGGTGCAGCAATGGTACTGGTAATGAATTTCTTCATCTTGATGACAGTGTTTTCAGCAATCTCTCCACCAATTGCAAGTGTATCATTAGGTTGCACTGTGTACATGGCATAAGAAACTTTGTATTTTCCATCAGAGAGCAGAATGCGATGGCGAGATTTCTCTGCGGATTGAGAATCGATGCGTTTACTGCCGATGATCTGCAAGATTGGATCCTCCAGCACAACGCCGCGCAGTATTTTCTGGAATTACACAATAAGACGCAATTATATATTTCTATAAGTAAAGAAAAAAACAATAGGAAAACGTACATAAATAGCTCCGGTGGTTAATTGTGGATCCGACATGATGACAAATACTTGATAATAACAAGACAATGATATAACACGATTATTTTTACAAAAAACGAATACAGGTTTATCGTTTTACAACATCAAACGGCGGTAATTTTCGGTGTGTAGTTTCAAGGTTAGAAGCGAAAAGGCGCGAAGGATGCAGGTGTCACTAAAATGCGCTTGCGCTAAATATAACCTTCAATTTTAAATAATACGCATATAAAAACATTGATTTGTAATTTAAATTTATATTAACTAGTGTTTATTAACGTATAACTTCTAGTTTATGCATACAATCATTAGAAAATATTCTTAGTGGGTGTATTTTAATTCTGCACAATAATTGTGGCTCCCTCAACGGCAGCCTTTAGAAATAACTAGTTCAGCAAAGAAAAAAGTGAAAACACAGGGTCGGGAACGGGGGAAACAAACAGGAGTGCTGGAGGCTAGATAATCCGCTAGATCCGTAACTAGTGAGTTAAGAAATATTCGCGAAGCTTCATACAAGTGGTGATGTGGTAAAACGCCTTTAAAATGGCCCAGAGTTCAACGAGTGGGACGTCGTCAAGGCGACATGCTAGGGAGCATGATACAGCCTCCCTTGCATCGTCCCGATTCCCGGACGCAGAATGGGAAGCCACCGAGGTAAGCCACCACATCAAATTGCATAAATTTATCAAGATTTTGCTACATTTTTGTTCATTGTCTTCGTGCAGACAATGCGAAAACGCGAATTAGAAGAAGCGCGTGCTCGGGCGGCACAAATGGAGAAAACAATGCGTTGGTGGTCAGACTGCACAGCCAACTGGAGAGATAAATGGAGCAAAGTGCGTAATGAGCGCAACAAAGCCCGCGATGAGTCAAAACAACTCCGCACCAAGTTAGACATGGCCCTAAAAGACAGCAACATCTACAAGAAAGAAAAACAAGATGTAGAGTTGCAAAATGATCATCTTAAGAAAGAAATTGAAAAGATTCACATTCTTCTACTCAAGCATGCTGGACAATTTGATACTCAGATATTTGAGGCACTTGGTGAAGAATTCAGTAGTACTATCAAGGTGAATGGTATTGATTGTGATAGCACTACAGAAGAACAAAAGAACAGGTCAATTCTAGCTGAAGAATATGTGCTGCATGGAGCTGTACCAAAGCAAGTTGATAATGATGAGAAGAATTCAATTACATCCAAATCACACTCTGATGAGTATGATGAAGAGTATTTAATGCAGAAGATGTCTATGTTGCAACTAAGATTGGATGAAACCAATAAGACACTTCAGAGTGAAAGAGAGTGAGTTAAAATTCAATAATAAACTTAAAATAGTAATAATATAATGTATTTATAGTGATAAAGCACAAATGCATCACACACTTGAAAGGCTGGGAAGTGAAGTCCAAGAATTGAAAGAAAAACTGGAAGAATGTCGTGAGGCACGACAGGAAGCTGTCCGCGAAATGCTCACCCTGCAAGATACCCATCAGGAGGAAATTCGATTGTTGAAGTGTGATCTTCAAGACGAAACAAACACCCGCGATGGTATGGATAGACGTATAAATGATCTACGTGCAGAGGTAATATATTTAACTAGTATTTATAAGTGTTTTTAAAATCAAATTATTAGTTGGAGCGTCTGCAAGCTGAAAACGCCGCCGAATGGGGCAAACGCGAACGTCTCGAAACCGAAAAACTTACACTAGAACGCGAAAACAAAAAACTTCGCGCTGAATTGCGTGATATTCAAGAACGCATCGAACGCAAGGGCAGACCAATCACGAACTCAGACGCTGAATTCCGTCACCTACAGTCTGAATTAGTCGATAGAAATAAAGAAATAGTCGAGTATAAGCACGCACAGAGTAAGTTAAAGAAACTGCTACAAGAAAGGATTACAGAAAACGCGCACGCAGCACGTCGCGCTGAACAATACGAAACCGACGTGAAAAAGCTGCGTGCTAGAGTCGAAGAACTTAAACGAGATCTGGCACTAGCTGAAGATGAAATCGACGTGACTAGCAATGCGATGCGAAAGCTACAACGCACCAATGATGAGCTTCAGGAGCAGGTGGATAACTGTCATGTGCAACTTCAACATTTAAACTCAAGGTTAGCAAACACACGGTTGAATTTTATTGCTTTTCTGCTATCGAATAACATAATCATAATTGTGAGGTGGTTTTGGGTAGACGCTTATCTCATAACTTTCTTTTCATTCACTGACTTAGCGATGAAATACTAAATAACGAAGATGGCGGTGAGGAAATGGCGACGCTCGATGACGACTGCGTAAGTAACTTTGGTTGCGGTTAATTTGGTGCGCTTGAAGTTTTACTATCATCCTTTTCTTTATTTCGGATTGATTGTAACTCGCAATTGCGGTGGATTCTGATTGTTTAGATTACGTAACTCTAGCAGTGCCGGCAATCTGCTGAACGTCTCCTCGACAACGATGAGCGACGAAGAAGTTAGCAACTTTTAGGATTCCACTTGTGATTTGCGGTACCACTTGTGAGGTACGTACTATTTATTTAACCACGAATTAACTATGATGTATAGCTAAAGAAAAAGTAAAAGGACTGATTTTTGTACACGGAAGTTATTTTATCTGCACGAGCAGTTTGTAGACTTCTAGTCCACGGCAAAAGCGCGCAATTCCTCGTCCTGCTAGTATTTCTACTTCTTGCGTGTCGCTTTTTGAATCGGAGATGTACAGCGGGGCTGGGGTGGTTTTCTGCATTCTTTGGATGTAGCATTTGTTGGTTGATTTGTCTTTATAGGCAATTGTATTCTAAAATTCGATTTACATCAATAAGTATATAGGAGAATTTTATTTTTTGTGAGATAATACCGTTGAGTAATCATACATCCTTGCTGGAATCACATTGGGGTTAAAATCGAATTTTCCTTCGATACTCTAAAAATGTAGTTTAATTACATCTTATTTCGAATGATTCTTATTTCTATTACCTCTATTTTATCAACAACAGTTTGTCCTTTAATGCTAACAACACAAATCACCAGGAACACAATCACGTAGCTATTCATATTGATTGATTAAATTGTGTTTCCTACAATTTCTTAAGTAGGCAAATGATAGGAAGGCCGCACTTTCAAATTGTAATCACTTAGCGTCATTCTATTAATTTAACAATCAACAAAAGTCGTGACTTGGAATATAATAAATTTTCTAGGCATTGTGTTTTCAAACGTTTAATCATTATTAATAAAACTACAATATTTTACTCGCAGTTAATTAAAAAAAAGCAATGTATGAAAATAGATACTTTAAGTTATAATTATAATACGTCTGGCAGTGATGGTATTATATTGTTTTATAGTCGAGTGTCCATTTAGTTTCTGCATACAATGGGTGTTCCATCCGGATTGGCCTTCGGTTTCGGTAGGCAGATCTTTCGCCCATTGCTATAGACGCACGTATTGGTGAAATATCCACACGTTGATGATTGTGTATAATAAACTGAGGGAGTTTTCTTTCCAGTGATGATATTACGTGAACCTGTTTCTGATTTTGTCACTGAGACGAAATTCTTTGGTTGGTTTGATGATTTGAAACCGTATTGGACTGGGGAGTATCTTGGTTGGTAGGAATAACCTGAACCGTATCCATCGTTGTGCCCACGACGATTTGCGTTAGCTCCAGCTGCGTAGATGATTCTTTTGCCTAAGTCGCTATCTGTTTCGTGTTGCTGTTGATCTTCGGTGACACGGCCACGAAAACCTTGTGGGATTTTGTACCCGGTGCTCCCTGGAATGTATTGACCTGTTTGAATTATATCGCCGTGTTTTAGCTGGCCTTCGATTTGAATACCATGATCTTCTATATCTTCTAGAGGATCAAGGGCGTCATGCATTAGACTTCTTGTTTTTGCTTGTTGAACCAAGTTATGTCTTGGTGGTGGGTTAGGATCTTCATAGTCGTCGTATTCTTCTTCATCATCATCATCGGGTAATGGAGTTGTTGAAGATGTAATAATTTTTATTAAGCTGGGGTCGTCTATTTGACGCACGTTAACTTTTTCTTGTTTTGCTGGTTTGCTATAAGTGTTTTGTGAGAAGTCGATTGGTCGCATTGTTGGTAAATTGATATTATCAGCCGTGTAGCCGGAATTTGCGGAGGAAGCTTGAGCTTGGCCCGTGTAGCGTATACCAAACGCGTATTTTCCATTAATTTGTACTTGGGATTTACCCGCGTGAGTTCCACTTGAGGCGCTTGCCGTTCCTCCTCCGTTGTGGGGATTTCCAGGATCGTCGTCATTGGTGTTTGCGTCGTATGGAGAGAAACCTATTTGTGCTTGAGAAGAGGTGCTACCTGGACCGTTGGCTTGTGCATCTGCCATTCCCCCTTTAATTCCCGATTGTACTTGTGTGTTGGTACCGTGGTTTAATCCACCGGATTGGGCACTTGAGGTGGTGTCACCAGTGTCCGCTGAAAGTTGGACTTGTGCTTGGGATTTACCTCGGCCTCCCATACCTTGAGAGGAACTGAGGGTACCTTCCGAATTACCGGAAACCTGTGTTTGCGCACCGCGTAATCCGTCGTTGCTACCTGCCGAGGCACTAAATGATCCTGTACCTGCGTAAGATCCAGATACTTGTGATTGTGCCGTACCGCCAGCAAACCGACCCGAAGAAGAGGCACTCGCCTGAGTTTCATTATCTGACCGCTGAATTGTACTTTGCGCTTGCGTATCAGAATCGTCCGCTTCTAAACCTTGACCTGCTTGACCGGGGAGTTGGAATTGTCCTACCTGTGGAACGCCAGAACCTGCATAGTCTCCAACACCGCTTCCTAATGTTTGACCACCTTGTTGACCATAAGGTGTTTGTGTACCGTAAGTTGGTCCGCCTCCTCCTATTTGTTGTCCACTTGTTCCTGGTTGTTGGCCATAAAATTGTTGTCCTCCGGTTGTACCACCTTGCTGACCTGTACCTGTAGTTTGGCCTGGATAACCCGGTGTAAATTCTGTTCCTTGGTGATAACCAGGTTGACCAGAACCACCAGGATACAGAGCACCAGTAGGTGTTTGTAAATGTCCCTGTGGTTGTCCTGTTCCTGTTTGGTAACCAGGTTGACCACTTGCACTACCTGGGTATTGACCATCTGTCCCTGAGTGAATTTGTCCAGGTGTTCCTTGCTGATAACCTGGTTGACTGGTACCACCCGTTGGGTATTGTCCCCCAGTCGAGATTTGCAATTGTCCTGGTGCTCCTTGTTGATAACCTGGTTGACCACTACTGCCACTAGGATATTGACCGTCAGTTGTTAAATGCGATTGTTCAGGTATTTGTCCAGCACCTTGTTGATAGCCTGGTTGGCCACCTATTGGACCTTGTCCGCTCGTACCTTGTTGATAACCAGGTTGGCCGCCTGCACTGCTAGGATATTGGCCAGCGGTTGTTGTATGTATTTGTCCTGGTGTATGTACTGTCCCTTGTTGATAACCTGGTTGTCTACCTCCACTAGGATATTGACCACCGGTTGTTGTATGTATTTGTCCTGGTGTATGTACTGTCCGTGTTGATAGCCAGGTTGACTACCACCTGGAGATAATTGACTTTGCCCTGGTTGTCCACTCCATACGTGCCCCGAACTAGTTGTATCAGGGTAACCGTTCTGAATTGTTTGACTTGTTGATGGGATTTGAGTTTGACCGGGAATGAAAGTACCTTGTCCAGTATGTGTGGATGTGCCGCCTTGTGTTCCTATACCTTGTACATATTGGCCCGGAATTTGTCCAGTAATTGATGAACCTGTTGGGATTTGACTTCCGGGTGTACCTGCTTGTGACCATTGCTGTCCTCCAACTGACTCGCCTGGAAATCCTTGTTGTTCAAGAGAACCTTGCCCTCTTTGACCACCGGATCAATAATAGATCCTGGATAATGAACCTGCTGCGCACTATCTCCAGTTTGCTGTCCACCTCCACTAATTTGCGCTCCTTGTGAACCTATATGTGTTCTAGATCCATGTGGGCTATATCTACCTTGAAATGTGCCGGAAAATTCCCCCCTGGGCCACTTGCCGGTCGGTATTGTCCGGCTAATTGACCGTTGAAAGTTCCATCTTGTATACCTGAATCTCCTCCCTGGATTCTTCCACCTGGTGTTCCGGTCGATGGATAGTAACCAAAAGAACCATCGCCTGGCCGTTGTCTTATACCACCAGGAATAAAATAGGTTGTTTCACCTGGTTGAGTTGTTACACCACCCTGTTGAATTTGCGCGCCAGGTGCAATTGCTCCAACATCACCGGGATGCACTGGACGTCCGCCGGGTTTTGAAGACCATCATGATCGTATATTTGCGAACCGGGTTGTGTGTGTATGGATCCAGGTATTTGACCACCGCTTGGTCCTCCTACTTGGCCTGGACGAATTTGTAATAAACCTGGTGCTTGTCCTGGGGTAAATTGTGTTCCAGTTGCAGGGCCACCTGTTGTTCCTTGTGTTCCACCTGCATGAGTAGAAGGTGTTTGGTCCGAACCAGGTTGACTACCACCACTAGGATATTGACCACCCGTAGATACTTGTCCTGGAGTAAAATATGTTCCTGTACCAGGTCCGCCTGTTATTCCTGGTTGTAGTCCACCGGTTTGGCTTGGATGAGTTTGACCAGGTCTCAATATTGTACCACTTCCAGGACCACCTGGGTACGTTTGAAATGATCCTGATGGACCTCTTCCTCCACCAGTTGTAGTGCCCGGTAATAAGTCTCCACCTGCTTGACCAGGTTGTATTTGATGTGTTCCTGGAGCTTGTCCACCGTCCGGTCCTCTCAATATAGTTTGCCCAGGATGTGTTTGAAATGATCCAGGTGCTTGGCCTGCCTGTCCTGGTGTAAAAATGGTTCCACCTCCAGTACCGGGTTGTACTTGACCACCTTGTTGGTAGCCACCTGTTTGACCTGGGCGAGTTTGATGTGTTCCGGGTGTTTGGCCGGGTATAAAGAGAGCGTTAGTGCCAGAAACGCCGGGTTTACCATTCTGGCCACGTGTTCCTGATTGAATTAAGCTACCAACCGGTGTTTCTAATAGTTGACCTGGCACTTGCCCACCATGTTGTTGACCAGCACCGGGACCTCTTCCAGGAATAAATCCTTGTCCTGCCTGGGTTGGACCTGTGACTCCTGGGGATCGACCATCGCCACCAATAGGTCTTCCATAAATATCCGTTTGGGATAATCCAGGGTCTGCGCCAGTAGTTAAAATTGGTCGGCCCGATGCATCAAACCGTCGACCACCTGATAACTGTTCTCCATTTAATCCTGGGGCAAAAGGTGAGGTAGACGTTTGTGAACCCGGAATACCGGAACCTCCATATCCATAGCAATCAGCACAACTGAATGGATCACTTTGACTTTGCGCTTGTCCCATTCCTCTGGAACCATCTTCAAACCATCACAAAATCAATTATTATTGATTAATATTATCTCGCCACTTTTAATACACTTACACACAACAGCCTTGCTTCCTTGTCGAGTTGCTTCCGCCTCAGCTTTCCCTGGATTCTCACCATCTCCAAACTGCAAGTATTGACTTTGCGTTTGGCCCCTTGTCTTACGACCAACGAAATAATATTGCTTGTTGGATCTTTTACTTCTCACTTCAAAGTTGGTCGGCAGACGTAACACCCTCGACGGCCATCCGAAACAAAAGTTTGCAACTATATGTCCTCCAATAATTTCCACCTGTTCATTTGTGAGCAGATTTGGATGGACGATTAACATTCGATTTTTTCCCACGGAGAATCCTTGCTCATTTTTTCTATGTAGCATGATTTTAATATGTGATCTTTATAGGCAATCGTCCCCAAAAATCAAAGAATTTTCTATCAAACTTGAATTCTTAAAAATAGAATTATTTTAAGTACCGTATTTAGGTCGATCACCTTGGAAACTCCCATGGAATTTGAATGAAACTCGGCATCGTTGCTGCCTTCCGGCAAATCCTAAAACAACATTGTATCACCATCAACGGTGGCACACATTTCGTTCGCGCGCGAGATCTTTTGACCCATAGAAATTTAACAGCTTCGCATCGCGATAACGATACCAGATTGATTCAGTACACGAAACAACACATGCGCGACTTAACTAAATCACAGGTTGATACTTACGACGTGTCTTGAGGGTTGAGGCAGTCCTGTCGCCTTAGCAATCAGCGCTACAACGAGACAAACATCGATGAGACGAAGACGCCGCGTGAGCACCACGCCGCGAGCCATTGATTCACACACTATGCACCACACGATCGGTGGACCGTTCTCGATTGAATGGCATCGACTACAATTTTGACCCCTGACATAAATTGTCTCCAGGCCCCCTCTTTCCATTCATAGTTTGCGTTTGACCCATTTACATTGAAATATGTTCAGCTATTTGTCCAGCCGATAGCCGAGATTATTAATTACTTCATTCATGATATTGCTGCAACTCCAAGATGGCATCGCGTTGCAAAATCAGTTTCTTAACATCCGTTTTGTTGCGTCTTCACATAAGAAAGCTCACATTGCAGTTGTATGTTTGAAATAATTGTATTAACGTAGAAAATGTGCTCATACAAATACATATACAGATAGACTTAACACTTAAGTACTGAACGCCTACAGACAGATAATTATTTATTGGCTATATGAAAACACACAACTAATTGTTACATTAACTGCAAGAACGATTAATAGGTTACGCTTAATCTACAAACGGGAATGAGAAACATGTACATTTATTTTATTGCGCGCGAGCACGTGGAATGAATACGGGATGTGACGTGCTCGCGATCGCCACATTGCACACCACCGGCCAAAAAAATAAAAACGAAAAAAAGTAAAGCAAACGATATAAATACGTATACACAACGACATACACTTAAGCTATGCGCACCGGGCGAATAATTGGACCCCGTGCGAAGTGTGTGTATATTTTTTGACTAGGAGCACTCTCGTCTTCAAGTCAAAGAGAATCAGAAACATTAAAAGCTTACTAAGTAACAGCACCATTGCGACCAGCTTATATTCTAATCTAACCTATATTAAAAACTTGATTAACTTAAGTAACTTTATAAGTTATCTAAGTTTAAATCAATTAAAACTAATGAGATTTAGTTTTGATCCAGTTTGGTCCCTAATACACTAAAATTGATGCTGTGTTTTTGTGTGGTCAGACAGCGATGGCCAAACCCAGCGTATAGTTGCGCTTCGATGATTTGTCGGAGAAATCAACGGGTTGTTCTTGAACGATGGAGCGATGTAAGTGGGAGGTGTTCAAGATGACGGACGGATGCTCCACTTGCGCGAGGAGTAGTCTCTCCGGATTCGGACTGATGACCGTCGAGCGATAGAGACCTGTCCCACTGCGTATAACTGAGTTGACCGTCACGATCACTGGTGTTGGTGATGAAGCTAGTGATTTCTCTGGTGTGGACTCCCGAGTTTGCTGCGTACCATTGATACGCATACAGGAGGATTCTTCGTGTTTGTACAGGTATGATTTAAGAGCGAATGCTTTACCACAGCGGGCACATACGTGTGGTTTGGTGTTGGAGTGGGTTTGCACATGCGCGCGTAGATTAGATTTGTCAGCGAAGGCTTTATCGCAAATTGGGCACTTGAAGGGTTTCTCGCCGGTATGGGTACGGATGTGTCCTTGGAGTAACCATGGTCGCGAGAAACACTTACCGCAGTATTGACATTTGCATCCTTGGTTGTGGGTACGCACATGCATGGAGTAGGCTGGCATGCTGACGTAGAGCTTATCGCAATGTGGACAACGACGAGCTTTCTTATCTGCTGGTGAACGATGTGTTTGTCTATGACGGGCCAGGTTACTCGAGGTACTGTAACGTTTACCGCATTCAGCACATTCGTGTTCACTACAATCATTCTGTGTGCTTGCATCGACCAGTCTTTCCGGTGTTACAACAATGGAATCGTTCTAGAAACCAAAAATGAGTTTAGTTTATATTTAATGATGAGGTCAGGTAAACTTACTGTGATAATGTGTGAACGTGGTGTCCTTGATGATTTGTCGAATAGTTTATGGGTGTAGGTGATGATGTCATCAGGACTCCTCGAGTGGACAGACAAATGGCGGCCCTCGAAGATTTTCCCCGCTGCTGCTGCTAAACTGACTTCCGCTAGTTTGGTGAGATTGTAGAGTTCATCAGGACACTCGGAGCTATTCTCCGAATGAGTGGTGTCGGCGCTGTTGCTGGGAGTTGGACTCGATCCTGCAAGAAACGCCATGTCACTATTTAAAGTGGACGAGATGACCTTTGTGCAGTGGGAAAACGGACTTGTTGATCGCGTTTATTTTTATCGGGAATGTGTATGCGCTTTTCCGTGCGGCGTAAAAACGTTTCGTGTGTGGACGACCGACCGTAAGGTGGGATCGGCACTGTGCCAATTCGCAACAAGTAGCCAAAATTACCGACCGCACATCAAATAACCCTATTAGTTACAACTAAATTAATGGTTCGGGGACATTTTGCATGGGACCACACTTACTCACCTCTGGTATCCATTTCCTCGTTGTACCGACGATGAGTAATGAGGAAAGCTCGCGGCATTTTGTTGCTGGGACACTGACCACTACATTCAATGACACTTTTTGAAAGTTAAGTTAACACTTCAGTTTAGGTAAATTTCTTGTTAAGTGTAAGGAGCAGGGTGATTCCCTGACGACGTATTGAAACAAACTGGCGATGAACGAGAAGGCACCGATTCGAGAAAACGTGGCCCGCGTTCTATATTTACGCAATCTGAACGTGTGCCAAGATGTTTACGGCATGTTATACGTATACACCACGAGCGCATGTTTACATGTGTGCATCAGCGCGCTCCCTTAAGGGCCCGCCGTTCCATTGGCCCTCCCGCGCGGCTCAAGTCGTTGGGTAATTTTTTTTTGTACCACCGCGTGAAGATTTTTACGTATACAAGTGCGCGGATGATTTCGACGACGGCGATGGTGGCGACGGGCCGGTGAATGAATGCTTACGTGGTTACTCACGACGCGCCGTGATGCTAAATCGGGAGCGCGCAGGAATGCGTCGCGACGCGCGATGTTGGCCGCCGGCCATCAACCACCTATTGCTGCACCTAGCCTAATGTTTCGCCATCATTCCGAGCGGCCACTGACTCACATTCAGCGGAAATATTTTCATCCTTTTACTCTTTCATTCATATTTTACTAAATTTATATATTATTGGCGGTGTTTGGTTTGTTTTCATTTATTTGCGTTTAAAGGTATGTTTAGTGTCGATATCCGATTCGAATTACTTGTGCGCAATGTGCATTCGAAGGTGAGTCCTCCAGCTCCAGGCGCACACTTGCATCGCGCACTGGTTTATTAATAGCGGTGCTATTTCGGGCAACATCCGTTCTACAATGGCTCATACTTTGACAGAAACAAAGTACATCGCGATAATTGACTTCCAAATACTTTCGATTGCTTTGTTTTTTTTTTTTATTATTTGACTCAAAATGCAATTAAATTCTGATATAAAGTTTGCTTCGCAACTGAATAGAAAGTTTTGCAGTTAGTGGTTCAGTGATTACATCCAGTGAAATAAAACTGTATCGAGCAACACCCGGATGTTTACATCTACATAGTTCCTTTCTTCACAAATCGAAAATAAACATTTCTCTATAAAGCAGAAGCTGGAAATGCGACAAGCTCCACGATGCGCTCGCTCTCCCGAGAGTTGCGAGATGGTAGGCTATTTCTGGACGCGACACGACCACACCACGCCACACCATGCTCCATGGTTCCCTCTTGGTCTAAATATGAGCGGCGTGCCGCAGCTGCGTTCAGCAGGTAATTAACCAGCGGCGTGTGCGCCGCCCGAATCGATTCCCGATTCGTCGTGGCATGCAGCGCGCACACGAGACGATTATATAAATATCGAAGATTTGTCACCTGCGCCCTCCGGAAGTTCACGGAATTACACGACGAGGTTACCATCTGACGAATTTGCTAATTGAGGGTGAGGGGTGAGTCAGGGTGAACGAGGCAGACACGCGTCAGACACACGATGTGCCCACGGCGGGCGCACCACGTGTTAACATCTCCCACCGAGACATGTTGACACTCTTATGTTGACGTCTTTTAAATGTTGCACTCTGTTACCAAATCAAAGAAGGCGTTGAATATAATTAGAGATTACATGCAGTTAAGTCATTTTATTATGCCACTTGTTAAACATTTGTGTATTTAATCAATAACAATCTTGACCAGAGCTGTGCTTTCAAGCTTAGGTGTACCCATATCCTATAAGTAATTGTAAATGGTAATTAAAATGTATTGTAGAAAAGTTTCTGAATACTTACGGTGACTTTAATAGTCAATACCATATTTTGCTTTGCTGGAATGTCTTTCTTGGTGGTTAAAGTGGCATAGTGAATTTTCCGGTTTAGGTATTCTGTTCCTTTATAGCTAATCTCAATATAATCGTTGACATCAATAGAAAATTCTACTTTGGTGTTGGTATAGTCAACATCCACTGCATAAATTTCAAAATGTTGGTAAGCAGGGCTCCTGCTTTGATAGGCATTCCAAAGTGATATTGATACTCTTTCCGGTTAAACATCGGCTCATGATTGTTAACATCCGTTATGGGTTGCACGAAATACTTATTACAGAATTTTTAAATTTATTATAACGCATTGTATTGTTTATGATAATAACTTACGAACTGAGTTTTGTTTTCGTAATCATTTTCATCTACATAGCACTCAAAAGGCAAAAGAAACTCTATACGAGCGGGTTCATCATGGATTTCCTTGTACTCGAAATTTCTGAAGTTTTCCGTAGGTTTGAAAATAACTTCTTTATCAATTACTTCAGCACTGATATAGTTAACACCATGATACACATCCAGATTGTAGTCTGTTAAACAAAATTGATTTCTTTCTTTGAATTGAAAACGTTTACTAGCAATACTTTACTTACTTGTTATATTTGAAGGAAGTTTAAATGTGTAGAAAACCTCATCGAAAGCATCATCATTTTTTGGCTCATTTACGAACGTAGGATCAAAAAATGATTCGTGGGTAAATTCCAAGGGTAGATTGCAGTTGTTCTCATCAGATCCTCTGGGTTGATTTTTGTTTTCCGCAGCGCTTGCAAGCACTAACACTGCGCAAAGCAATAGAATTTTTCCGAACGCCATATTGCAAGTTGTATTCAGGTAATTTTTACATGAAATGTGAAAATGAATGCACAACTATCCTTATAATGGATGAATTTATCTGGGCTTTGTTCCAGTTTCCAACAATGTGGTCAGGATCAATGTTATCGCATCACGTATCTTGATATCTTGATTGGGCATCATTTATTTCGACACGTTTTTTTGTTGTGGTATTTTAAGTGTTTTTGCATTTATCACATTATCACATTTGACGACGCACTTTGAGCTGAGTATGTTTATTCTAGGGATCATTCTATACCCGCAGACTCAAACAATAGATTCTTATCTTATAAAAGTTTAAAGTTAATAAGAAGAAAATAAGTATTTTTGTAGTTGCTGTTTATTAAATTGGATATATTTTAAGTAATAACATAGGTATTAAGAATTAACATTTATATGGGCAGTTTCTCCGGAAGTGGGGCAGCGTTCGGCTTGCTTTCAACGAAGAAACGTTTGCGGATGATATACAACATGGCGGCCAGTCCCACAAATGAAACAACAAACATCATGATGACACCGAGAAGCGAGGACAGCATGAAAGCACTAAAACCGTGCAGGTCACCGCCTGGACCACCGACAGGTGTGCTAGTTGGAGTTTCAGCAGTCGTAGTTGCCGGGGTAGTAGTGGGAGGTTGAAAATCTTTACTAAAAACAATCGTCACTTTTGTCTCTGCTTCTAATTGCCTCCACTTGGCTTTAATCGGGAATGTAAACGTTGGGCAATTATCACATAAGTCCAGTCCGGTTACTTTCATTGTGACTTCCGGTTTACCAGTAAGTTTATTTGCTGTTATTGCAAATTTATCTTTTAAATTCTCATCAAAAATTTCAAACGTGATCTCTGAATCCATGCCGTTTTTCAAATTAGGTGCTTCGTATCCTTCGTACGTTTGCAATGTTTTACCATTGTCTTCAAACGCTTTCAGGAAATATTCAGCTTCAGTGAATAAAGGCTGGTCACTTTCGTCCTTGGTCACTTTGATGTGTATATCTACTTCTGACATGCTTTCATCATCACCATCATCTACTGTTAGGCGGAAGGTTTCGTCAAATTCAGCATCAATTGCTTTCAAACTGATAATTTTTGCTTTGCATACTTTTCCTTCAACGTCAGCCCGCCTCACTGAGAATAATTCTTGATCTGGCAGTTTGAAATTGCAATCCGTGGTTGTTAGGTCTTTCTCGGTGACAGTTATATCTCGCATCAACGTAATTTCAAAATTTTCTGGAATTCTATTGTAGAAAGAAAAGGTGTAGTCAGCGTCTTTAGGAAATTCAGGAACGTGGTTATTAGTGTCGCGAATCCTTTGTCTAAATTCCTGTATAAAGATATAAATTAGAATTCAATAACTTATAAAATTATTTAATGTTTTTGTTTACCAGTGTTTTGGTATCATAGGGACACTTGATCGTGATATTCATCTTGATGATATCTTCAAATTCATTATCTTCGTAGTTTTTATACTCTTCGGTCGTAGACATTTTAAATTCGCCGTTGGCAAAATTACAAGTGATGTATTTATTACTCTGGCAATCCATTGACGCCACGTTCTTGATGTTTGAAATATTGAAAAATGTGCCTTCGAAAACATCATCCATTCTTTCCAGATTGTCGAAAGATTTCTTGTTAATATCAAGAACTGGTACATAACAGACGATCTCAAGTTCTTTATCGCTTGTAATCTTCAGTATAGTTTTAATCTCGCGTTTCTGCCATGTTGCTTTCAACGTTAGAGAAAAATCAGTGTTACTATAAGCATGTTTCGGTGCTTCCGGTAGTGATTCCTTTAGTATCAACTTAATACTTCCGGTCAAATAGTCCAATTCAACGGAGAAGTACTTGGAAAATTCTGAATCTTCAATTGTAACATCAATATCATGGTCGAGGCCTTCAACTAACTCGATGGTATCTTCCGAAACGATTTTATCGTCAATCACTTGAAAGTTGTACTCTGGTTTTGTAAACTCAAAGTTCATTTCGTTTTCATGCAGGCGAATGATTAACTTTGCAGTGGTTTCTTTAGAATCATCATCAGAGTGACGATCCTGGAGAAAATATAAAATAAGATTAAGATTACAACTAAGGTTATTTTAGGTTATGTTATTACCTTAACACGGATTGTATAGGTATCGTCGATTCCTGATTCAATTTCTTTCGTTGCATACAAGATGACATACGTTTCTTTTCCTTCTACGTCTCCTCTTTGAATGCTTAATGCATCCACCTTTTTGTTGTTGTCACTCTCAATAGAGAATTCCAGGCGATCCGGTGAGCAATCCTTATCAGTAGTTGATATCTTCATGAGATCGTTTAAACGGAAATCTTTTGGAATGTTGCCGTACATTTCAAACACATATTCATCCTGATTCCAAGTGGGTGCGTAAGTATTGAGGTCGTTAAGTTTTTGATAATAAGTCTAAAGATAACCAATTAATATTAATAACTACTGCTTATTTTTAAAATGTAAAGTAAGTTATTAATTATTTTCTACTTGCAATATCGTATTCTTCGTCATCCGGGCAAACAACGCTCAGGACCACTTCAATTCTATTACCAACGACTTCTTCTTCGTAGTTTTTAAAATCTGCAGTGGTGGAGATACTCAGAGTGTTATCTTTATCAGCATAGTTAAACGTCAGCCATTTTGATTCCTCTTTTACTTTGAATGCTGTGAGTTGAAGTTTCAGAAAGTCAGTTAAGAAATTTTAAGATATATTGTGTATTACCTTTAATGCCTTGGGTTGGGAATGTAACAATTAATTTTTCTGATGCGTAGTTGTCATCAATCTTTTCACCACTCAATCCTGAAATGCTAAACTTCACATTTTCTCCGTTGATTCGGCATTCGTCACTTCTCACATCCTTCGATTGCACCTTTGCAGCAATAGTTGCAAAAATGATCGAATAAACAACCACCACCAAAGTGGTGATAATCTTACTCATTTTTATTTCTCTTAGCAAATTCGGCGATGATTTTGTTTGAAGTATTATGGAGGCACAGCTAAATGTCGCCAAGTATTGGCATTAATAATGTATTGATCTTTATCACCTTATCTATTGAAGGTTTTGATGATGATTTTAATGATAAATTTGTTATCGTCACGTATAGTAGCTAATGAGAGAATTTTGTATTTTTAGCTTCGCGTGGCTACACAAGGTTTATTGTAAATTGTAGATTTTCATGATCAAACTGATAAGTAGTATGTGACCACTTGAAGGTGTTTAGAATGTGTTACTAATGGAGCATGATTATAGTGTCGCCGTTTTGTTATTGCTTTATATTGACATAATTAGTAATCTTTTATAGATGACGAGTTTTTTTATGGTCTGGGATCCGAAAAAGATAAAATTTGTGGCAGTTTTTTGTATGTTTGGCATAGATGTAATTTGGTATGTTGCCGTATGCTATGTCCTCCAGTGGGTGAGAATTTGGGTTACGCATATCTCTCCAACTCTTGCATGAGCAGGTATTCAAGGCTGACGCGCTTTCCCCCACTACTGTGTGCGGGTTTGGCGCAAGCATATAAGGGCAGCCCGCAGTGACCCAGTAATCAAACAGTACAGTCGCGGGTCTCTAGCTTCTTTTCTTTTCAAGTTAACATAAATATCGCATTTTTAAATGAGAAGCTTTCCTTGACGATTTTGCAATTTAAATTATGGCATACAGATGGTGCTAGTGCTTACTTTATCACATGCGCTTATCTGCACACATGCATACATCTATAATATTGTACGAGTATTTTGTTTTTGCCTTTTGACAAACCAAAAGTAAATAAGGTTAGTTGTCAGCCGTGTCAGCAACAATAAAACAAATATAGCACATACGAATAGTAGTGTAAAAAAAGTAAAAACATGTCAGAGGCTTTAGAAAGCACTGACCTCACGGACGCAGAGTATCTAAACAAGTTAATCTTTGGAGAAGACTCCAAAAAATGTAAGACACCTTTCTTCACCAAAAGATCATTTGTTTTATCTTAAATTTTCTAGATGCTTCTAATGTATCAGCCCAAGAGTACATTAAAAAACTTGGTGCTGGCACAGTTGAAGAGTTAACAAAGGAACCAATAAGACTACAGGAAGATAAACAAAATGTGCAAGACAAAACTCAAGAGCTTGCAATTAGTCACTATCAGACCTTCATACAAACAGCAGAGTGTTCAAGAACCTCTTTCAATCATTTCAATCAAATTGAGGGTAAAGTGAATGACTTACTGGAGCATATTCCTGTATTTGGGCAGACATGTGTCAATTTTCTGCAGTCCAGTGAAGATATAAATCGGATGAGGAAGCTGAATACAATCACAATTGTTAAAAATGCACAATTGCTGGAAATTCTTGAACTGCCTCAGTTGATGGACAGTTTTGTGAAGGACAACTTGTATGAAGAAGCTTTAGAGTTAGCTGCATATGTCTACAGATTACAGAGCAAACATAAAGATATTGCTATTCTGAAAGTGAGTTTCTTACATCAATATATTTCATCAATACATTCATAATATTTTCACAGACTTTGGTATTGGAAGTTGATAAACTATGGCTTGTAATGCAACGTCAATTAATATCACAATTAAGTACCGATATTCAATTACCGAAATGTCTTCAAGTCATCGGCCACCTTCGCCAAATGGCGATTTTTACAGAGACAGAACTTCGACTTAAATTCCTGCAAGCAAGAAACAGTTGGTTGGAGAAGAGTCTTAAAGATATTTCACAAACTGACGGTAGAGTTCTACAAATATACATGAAACATAATTTATATTGTTATTTATTTTGCAGCAAATCAATTCCTAAGCAAACACATAGAAATAACGCGTGTTAATTTATTCTCGATCATCACGCAGTACCGAGCAGTGTTTAACGACGATGAGCATTCGCCTCTCGCGAGCCGTAATCAATTAGTCAACCAAAACTGCATCTTCTTTGGCTGGTTGCGTTTAAAATTGATCATTTTCTTCAAACCTTAGAAATGCATCTTCCACGTGTGTCTTCGGTTGATACAATTCTTGGCCAATGCATGTATTTTGGTCTTTCATTCAGCAAAGTCGGCTACGATTTTCGCCAGTTGCTTGCTCCGATATTTCTAAAAACAATCGAGCAACAGTTTACTAATGCGTTGCAATCTGCAACCAGTGGTTTTGACGTAAATATTGAAAAGTTCACTCTTATCAATAAGAGTCACACGAAAATGCCGACTTCATGGCGGACAAAATCGCAGGATCCACTACAACCGCCAGATAATTTAATGGAGTTTTATCCGCTGGCGGATTATACGAACAAGTTATTGACAGCATTTAATAATTTGAGATTGTGTCCAGCGTTGAGTATACTAGAGAGCGTGACACAGCAATTGGAACGATCTTTGATTGCGGTTGCAGGTGGAGTGTTTGTGCTCTACGAGCAGGAACATCAGGCATTTACGATGAATTCAAAAGATTCCTTCACGAGATTGTGCATGTGTTTTGCGGATGATTTAGTTCCGTTCATCCAGAAAGCTCTGCATATTATTTATCCCCCAAGTTGTGTTGCTCAGCACCTTGGAATAAGTGTGCAGAAGTTGCAAGATAGTGGTATTGGGTATTTAAATCGCGAAGTCATTGTTGCGAAAATTGTTGATTTATTGCCGGGGAAGGTAATTAGTTTGCCAAAGGCAGAAATTAAAGTTGAAGAAAACAGTGAAGAGAAGATCAAAGAGATTAACAATGAGTGTGTTCCTAGTGAACATACACTTGAGGAATAATAATATGTAATGTTGCAATAATTTTCTTATTTTATCAGGCAAAAACAAGAAATGAAATATGTAATATAGAAAAGTACCTTTTTATTAGAATTTGAATTTATACAACCAGTTGTACGCATAAGGTCCGGCGCACGTTTGTTTTGTGTTGAGGTTAAAAAGGGAAATTAAAATCTAAGCAGAGAAAAGTTAAATTACAATGAATAAACTGCTTAGAGTGCTTCAAACAATTCGGCCAGCACATCTTACGAATCAATGTCGTCGTACTTTCCTCTCCCAGGCGTACAACTGCAGTGATGCTTGGAACCAAAGAAGTTCTTCTCAAATCTTAAGCAAAGTAAACCTCGATGATCTTTACTATGAATTGGATCAACGCTATCAGAAATCAGGAGTTATTAGTGCGGTAGATGTAGATATCTTTGCCAACAAAGTACAAGATGACATTTATGTTGATGAGCTGCTGGATCTAATCCATAAATTGAGAATGAGCTCGGAAACAAGCAACACCCTAAACTCCACTGGACATGCAGTCATTAGATATCTTCTTACACAAAATAAAACATCAGATTTGTTGAATGTGTTGGATGATAGGCTTAACTATGGTATTTTCTTGGATTACTATACAGCCAACCTACTTATGGACCATTTCTACAAGCAGAAAGATTACACAGCAGGGTGTAGAGTAGCCAGTCAAATGATACTTCAAGAAGAAGTAGATCATCCAATAACTAAAGCATTAGCTCTGCTGCATTGTTATAAATATTTGTGTGATCCACAAGGTTGGCCTGAAGTTGTAAAACCTGAAGAACCTGAGGAGGAAGTGAAGATCAGGGTAAAATTTCTCAGAAATCCATATGATGATGGCCATTTTGATCTTGAGATGGCCCAAAATAGTTGGCAAAACTTTGATGGAGTTCACTAGAAACTCACAACAGTCAGATCTACACAAATCACTGCATACAATTGGAAGAAAGCTACTGGAGAATGAGGTTGATGTAAAAACAGAGTTGGAGTCCATTGAAAATATTGAAAAACAATTAGAAGAAGCTGTAGTCCAAGCTGAACAGAAGGTGGCATCAGAAGATATAACACAACAAGTGAAGCTATTCAATGAATGGGAACAAATTCGCCAGAGCAACTTGGAGAAACAGATCTTACGACTGGAAACAGCGCGTCGTATCGAAAACATTAAAAAGACGCAAGAGGATCTGAAAGCGCGCGAGGAAAAATTGTGGTTCTTTGAAAACGAGGAACAAATTGAGCTGTCCATCGAAAACAAAAGGGTTTACCACCCGAAGCGGTGGTTCGGCAAGAAGAGGAAGCCGAGGAAGATTGATGAAGGCTATGTTCCGCCTGAATTGTAAAGTAAATTAAAAAATTAATAGTAATAGATATATAGTTGGTTTTATTTGTTAGAAGGCGTTATAAATCGGCGCTTTATACTCGGTGCGCTTAGTCTTTGACATGAAAACACTCGTCAAGTTCTTCTTCTTTGATTGTGAGCATGATTGCGAATATTTAATGTGATATCTTCCTGGTCCTGGCGATATCTTCCATTTTAGGGCTGGTCGGACTTCCAAGCCGGTTATTCCAAACATGTACTTTTGTTCTTTAGAAGCGGTTATACCTGAAGGAATAACATACTGTGCTGGACCAGGCCAGTTTGGATTTTTGTAGCATGTGGAAATATCGTCTAGTAAGTGACGACAAGTTGGATGTGTTTGAAACCGAGTTGCTTTGTTAAATTTTCCTTTCCTGAAAGAAATTATGTTTATTAGAGGAATTATTTGCACGAGATAGGGGATTAAATCATTTACATTTTGTTTTTTGGATGGCGTAAGTAAACGTCCAACGCACTGGGCCAATTGTAGTACTTATCCGGCGAACATCGCGTACCAGTCGACATCTTGTTAAACATATTGGCATTATCTCTCGGCCCAGTGAAAATATCATACGGTCCACGTACAGATGTGACTTTGTTCAGCAGCGCTTCCAATGAATTCGGATGTATTACTGTGTAGCGATTACAAGGCAACTTCCACGACTTGGATAGTTCTTTGAAGCGTGGGCTACGATTTAGAGTGTTACCCACATGCGGTACTTTATGCGTGTATGGTTTTGAGAAGTATCGCCCGGCTGAAAGCAGAAAGTTTAACAATACTATGATTAAATAAGCTTTAGCTAATCTACCGGGACCAGGTGAAAGAATCTCTTTCGATTGGAAGCGTTTTTGCTTGCCAAGGTTCTGATTCAAGCAAGGTGAGACATCTGCTTGCTTATACAAGCCTAAATTGATATCATGTGAGCCTGGGCCAAGTTGTCCGCGCATGAATTTGCGCTCGGCGAGTAGATCTGCATGCTCGTACCCGAAGTTCTTCGAGAACTCTTGCGACTCATGTTCAATCTGCCATGGCTGCCAGTTGTTCACATTTGGCTTACGGATGCACCTCGGCTGAATGGGGTCGTAATCACATGGAGTACGGTCATTCGGGGCTGTGCGATATAGACCCGGATGGAGGCCCAGTTGGTGGAAACGCTGCACTTGCACCCCGAATGGGTGATTCCATGTCTTTAATTTCGACATTTGACTTTAAGCAGAAACAAAACTAGGTAAAATATGTACACAAATCAAGTGAGTAATGTCTCCAATACAAATTTGACGTTTTCGAAATTTTATATTAAATATTTATTACATATTGAAGATACACTCAAGCCATGATGAACACAGTAGACATGGTAAGTTAAAAAAGATTAAGAACATTATTGCATCTTAAGTTTAAGATTAGATTTAAATACAAAAGTCTTTGGTCCAAAAAAATTTGCCCTGAAGAAGTATTTCAATCACTGTCTTCATCGACAGCATTCCGCACAATTAGCGGTTTTAGACTCTTGTCTTCCAGCATTCCATGCTCAATTAGATATGCTTGCACATCTTCTGCATCAAATTCATTCCCCAAGTCATCCGATAACCGGACAAAATTCCCGATTACTTGTCCAGCTTTATAGATCAAAAGTGCTGGCACCCCGTTGATTTTAAAGTCGCGGCTCATACCTGCGCGAGTTACATCGATGGCGCAAAACTTCACTTTATCATAGATTTTGCTTAGATCCTGCAGGGCCTCATTCATTGCCTTGCAAGCAGCCACCCTCTCCTCATAGATGTGGACTATTATCTTAACTTTCTTGTCTTCTTGATCAATAGAATCCAGATATTCTGGCCCACTGTTTAAATAGACGAGTTTTCCAAATGTTTTGTGATGGTCATTTTGTTGAAGCATCTCATGCATACGTTGTTTTGATATTCAAGTAGAAATTCATCATTGAGCAGTTCTGCCAGGTCAGCATCTTCTAGACTTGCAGCTTCGCGTTCTTCGTCCAAAGCGGAGCGCACTGTCATGCTTAGTTTTTTGTATAATTCGGCGCGTTCACGCTCATCATCAACGCGTTTCTCGGTCTCCAGCTGCTTGAATCGCTGCCAGTCTTTGATTACACCCTTGGGGCCTGTGTTTGTTGATGTGCCCTCCCATTTGTTTGGTTCTGGAAGTTCTGAAGGAGCTTCTTGGCTATTGCCGGACGGTTTCCGGTCAGAGCCTTCATCGTCACTGTTATCATCCGCGCTTTCTTCGCTACTGCTACAGTAATTATGCTGTTTCTCGCCGAGGATTTTATCTTCTAAGGTTGCCATGGTAACAATCGCACTTTATAATTGTTTATAAATACAATTGATAAAATGGGAATACTTGTTTTTTAATCAATTGTGGTGATTTAAGTACTGAATTTGGTTTATTCAATGAAGGTAAAGGCATTCGTGCCGGTTAGTATATGCCACAACGCAGGAAACTCAACAAAAGCTAATAAAATGCAAATAAATGTCTTCTCTTGATCATTGGCTTGTGATTGTAAATATTGGTTATGTTTTGAGGCGAGCCCTAAAACTGTAATTCATGAGAAACCATAGATTCTCTCCATTATCGCCACTAGATGGCGATAGATTACACATTTAATATGAAAGTGCGTAAAGGATCAAACTTTTTAAATTAAACCGATTACACTATCTACATTTATGCATATCACTCGATTCGCGTTTGTTTAATTTGACTCATTTAATTAACATGTACAATATACAATAGGAAACTAAACAATAACACATTATAATTAATTATAAAACTTTCCAGGATAACCATTCGAGATGTGCAAACGCCTCTTTGTTAATTCCAAAAATAAAATCAATCGTGAAATCAAATATTTAATATGTAAATCAAACAAAAACCGGTCTGCCACACACATACATAGAAAGAGTTACGAAAATAAATTGAAATTGCGCTTTAATTTCGCTTTTCACATAACTAAAATAAGAAATTATGTTGGGAGAGGCATTAATCGACATCCTGAATTCAAGTTCCAGATCGAAATATTTTGTTTCAATCGCAATTACACGTATATGCAATTTAAAGTATTGCACCAGACTCATATCAGACATTACATATCACTATTATTAATCAAACGCTGAGGTAACATTGATTTAATGTTATTTATTAATATAGTATCAACACAGAAGATTACACCATAAACTTGAGTGTTTCGGCAAAGGCGAGTCGGCGTTTATGTAACCCTGAACCTGATACTAACATATAAAGTATGACCTCACCGGATGCCAAACTCTTTTTTTTTATTGCAGACAGCGTATGTGACGTTGTGGTTAAATATTAACATTAAATATTGCACCAAACTTATATTATTTGGGAAATACATTAGATATCACAATCATTTATCAAATTGATTTAATGCTATTTATTCGGCTGATACTTTTTGAGTTTAAAATTATATTGGACAAAAGGAAGCTCACATACGGTCAAGGCCAAGTCGCATATTTGTTTGAATAACACGTCTCAAGTTCTGTGAAATAATACAGTCGCAGCAAAAAATAATAAAAACATCGACCAGTTTATTATTGTTTAGAAACTAGAGCTGTGCTTGGAAAAGTTTTCTGTTCGCAGATTTATGTCATTTCGATAACACCTTGAAACTTGAAACTTTTTGCGTTCTGGTAACTGAACTAACTGAAAGTATTAGTTGCGATTTAATAAATCTACATATTGCAAATATATTTATAAATGTATTTTCATGAATCAGTAGAAAGAGAAAATACCAAAAACGGAATTTATATTTGTTTGTTCCATTACCAGCGCCGGCTTAGGCGTCAGTATTTCTGGCAGAATAAGCGTAACTACAACAAAAAGTAATAACGCTGTTACCAGTTACCAATTAAGTTAATCAGAAAAAGAAGGAGTAGAAGTATTCTATTGGTGGGTCAACGTGTTGAAGGTTGTGGGGAATACCGCCGTGCGCATCGTGTTGATCTCCACCGACACAAAATAAACCGGCAGTTGCGGTCATTCCATGATTCCCGTAGTTCGGTTCGGATCTGCCGAGTTCACGGTGCAGCTGCCCCACATCCGTCCCGGTTTCCAACAAGCTGACGAATAATATATTGTTACCGAATCGGATTTTAGCCGCAGTCGCTGCGAATATATTGGATTGTGAATTTGTGTTTTGTTTTGTTTTGTAACTGACTAGTGTTTAGTGCGATGGGAACGTGTTTGTCGCAGGTGGACCCCGATTCGGAGGTACATATAGGAATGCCGCTATGTTGCCAATTGCTGCAAACACATTGTTCTTTTGTATTCATATTATATTTTGTTTTTTCGTTACTTTTACTGCAAAATACTGTACAGAATACTTGTGTGTGTGTGGCTTTCGCTTCCGTTGCGTGCGTGTTCTATAAATGTATGTATATTTTAGTCAACTGGCGATTTTGTGCAGTTTGGGGACCGCGACGAGGATGGGAGGCCTCAAAGGAAGCGCAAGTGCACGGATATATTTTTCTTGTACTTTTTCGGGACATTTTTAGCGATCACGGTACGTTTTTCAGTTGCACGCAACACGTACCTATATTAATGTTTAATTTAGTGTGCTTTTCTGATTTATTGTGCTAGCATTGGTGACGTCAATCGCATCCTCACCGGGTACGACAATTGTGGAAATGTTTGCGGCGAGCAAAACAAGCGAGATGGGAATGATGTTGGCTGTGTTGGTCTGGACATGACTTCCAAGCCGTAAGTATAGAATCGACAACACCCCTCGCAGCCGCACTTCGGTTAAACCCGATGCGCAGATCAAACGCACTCGTTTCAAATGTAAATAATTACACATTGGCGATAGCGGCCGCCATTGGCAATGTAAACATGTGCTGATGTGCATAGCATAAATATAGACACACAGAACGCCTGCTTATTATCCTAACGTGATGCATTGCGATGATTTTAATCAAATGCGGTCTTGTTTTTTAGATTTATGCTGGAAAGAAGCAATGAACGGATTTGCGTTACGAACTGCGAACAATATGGATAGTAAGTTGATTAAATGTTTTTTAAACAATAATTGTTGCATGTTTATGCCTGGGTACAGTAATCGGAAGCTTTTAGATTAATGAAATGTGAGGGCAAGCCTTAGTGCATTATTGGTAAACAATTATTGAATGCGTCATTTTAAAATATATACATAGTTATGGCATGTTAAACTGATGTGCTGGCAGTCATTTTGAATTTACGCCCTTTTTTAATTGACGTCAAAACAAACAAAACAGATGAATAATTAATCAGCATGTGTGACAAATAAATGTTTGCGTTTCCAGAACGAACATTTATGCGTGTTGTGTTTTTATTTTATGTATCACCGATATGTTGTATTCACGATAGACGCATTCAATTGTTTTTTTTTTTATAGACTTTCATTTGTTTTCTTGCATGTAACAACAGCATGTACTACTGCCCTCGGTAACAATCTATTAATCGATGACAAGTTACGCCGGTTTAACAATATAAAAATAAAATGTAATGCCATTACGTGTCTCGAAAAACACGACACATGTCGATAATTTATTACTCGCAATAATTGGACTTGTTTAACCCAAATTTTACTCACTTTGTTTTCGCAGCGACACAATTTTTGGTAGATGCGTTCCCAGAGCTGGTGGTGATGTTGCTAAGGCTGTAAGTTTATTTAATTTAATTTAATTTAAACAAACATAATTTACGTTTTTTGCAAATCAGAAACCATTTTGGCAAAACCTGACGGAAGATATCAATGCATCCAAATTGGAAATTTTTACATGGCACTCATTTCTTTCGGTGAGCATTGAGAGTTGTTTTGTTTATGTTTTTCTAATTTAAAACGTATTACCAGCTCTGGTGTGTTTGACCGTGATGCTGATGAGATATAACACGGAGCCATTCATTTGGTCGATCCTCGTTGGTGGGGCGGTAGCCATGACATTGGGCTGCGTCGCGATATGGTAGATACGCTTGTTTTGGAAATAATGCCACGCCATTTCACACCTTATTTACAGGGTCCTCAGGTCGACGGCAACAAAACGAGAGGAAAGGGATATGTTGATGAGTTTGGGAATATTCTTCACTGTTTTGACAGTTATTCTGCTCTTGTGTCTACTGGTCATGTTCAAGCGTATCAAATTGGTGGTATCGCTGTTCAAGGAAGCGAGCAAGGCCATCGGTGCCATTCCGCATATTCTTCTTGAGCCTGTAGCTGTAAGTTTGCTATTGGCATTTTCGCATCTTCCAGCATGTTACTTTAATTTTCGTAGACAATCGCTGCGTTTTTTATCAGTTTCGTCGTAATTGTCTACGGTGGGATTTTGATTGGTAGCGCCGGCAACCTGCAGATGATTCATGAAGGCTTGTACGAATACGTGCCGAACAAAGCGGTCATCTTCACCGGCGTCATCTTTACAGTCGGTTGGATTTGGATGCTATACTTTTTCGTTGGGTGCCAGAATATGATCGTTGGTGGTACCATTTCTTCGTGGTATTTTATCAGGTATGCAACGCGCCAGTTAATTACATTTTGAAGATGCTATAATTGTGGTGTTGTGGTTCCAGGGATAAGTCACGCTTAGCGTCGCCAATTTTGTACGCCACACACAACCTGTTGCGCTATCATCTTGGTACGGTTGCTTTTGGCTCATTTATTATGCTGATCATGCAATTGATTCGCATGCTCATTGAATCATTAAAACGCGCCGCGCGCGAAAATGGATGCGGTCTTTGTCTTATTTGCTGTAGTTGCATTTTTAACATTCTGGAAGAGTTTGTGCGCTACTTCAGTAAACTGGCGTTTATTGTGACATGTAAGTTGATATCCTCAGAGTAATATTATGAATGATTATAATTATAAATGCGTGTTAATCTAGCGATGCACGGTGTACCTTTCTGCAAGGGAGGCAAAAACGCCATGCGTCTGATTGTCGACAATGGGCTAGCAACAATAGCGCTCAACTCTGTCGGTTCTTTTATTTTGTTTTTTATCAATCTCACTATCATGCTAACGACAATGTTGATTGGGTACTACATGATGGATAAGCCAGGTTTGCATTCTGTCTGGGGTCCGCTGGTTGTGTCGACACTTATCGCCTTCTTCATGGCGTACTGTGTACTTAGCGTATACGATGTGAGTATAATATTTGTTTTGAATGAATAGATTGTGACGGCTTATTTTTTGACGTAGACTACGCTTGACACAATTTTCCTTTGCTTCTGCGAGGATTGTGAGATCAATGACGGTCTTTCACGCCCGTACTACATGTCCGCTGAGTTAATGATTTTCGTGGAAAATTCCAAAAAGGCACTGGAGCAATTGGAAGCGAACAAGACACAACCGAAAACGGAAGAACCCAGGGATGCATGGAATTCCACAACCCCCGCACATCCAGCCTAAATGTGAAGATTCAATGGTTGGTGAACTGCTAACTAAGTGTATACAGTAAAGTAATCTTATCAAAAAGCATCCGCATAGTGCAACCTTCAATATGTAATTGTAACTTTTGTCATTGTGTAAATGAACCATGAAAAATAAAAAATGGTTCGTCCAACCCGTTTCGGCGTTATCATTCATAAGAGGAAACAGACTAAAATGATAAATTATTATCGAAAATTAATAATTTGCGACACAAGCCGGTATTCAAAAATGGAAATTAATATATTAAGTGATTACGAGAAAAATAACACCCAAGCAATAATACATACATAAATGAAACGAAATTCAGTAGCTTCGGGAGGGGAATACCCGGCGTGCCTCTTTCATGTTCGACGTTTGCTTAACAATCGTTGAGCTATAAAATTTCGTCGCCGTGGAGTAAAATAGTTTATTGCAAATATGCAATAAAACGAGCCGGCGTGAACAATCTAGGATTTTAGCGTGGAGAGAGAACTGAGATACACGGGTGGGGCCGTAAGGAAGTTTTAAGGTCTGAAACAACACATGCATAAGTTTGCAAACATCTCAAATTCAAAGGCGATTATATCCACTGAAGTGAGCGCTGCGCTCAGCACATTTAGACGGCGTTCAGTCTTCTCCCGTACTTCTCGGCAGGCAGGCGTCGGGAGTGTTTGTTTTTCTTTGCAGTGTGTGGTTGGTCGCCATTCGTTTAGTTCATTGCGGTGTATTTTATTATAGAAATCGTACGCGCATACCCCTATTTTTGAATAGTTTATTTTAAGAAATCACATCGCACCGAGCGAGAAGAATACACCGGCACGATGAATTGTTTTGCTAGCGCCGGATTGCCCGATGAGGTAAACAACACTTATCTTTTATTATTATTGACTTAAGTGTCTTTTCTAACTGTTGATACGTTTTATCGTTCAAAAGGCATATGTTTCCGTTCGCTCCAAGCTTATTGATGAGACTGATGGCGAGATTGATCGCCCTACGCGCCATCGGCGTAAAACAAATGAGAATTTCATCTATGTGATGGCGTTCTGTTATGTGCTACTGGTAAGTCAGATCAAACGGTTGAAAATGCGTAACTGCTTAACGAATGTCTCAATCAGGCGGGCATGCTGATCTACTGCGGTGTTAACGGCCCTGCTAGTGGCCATCGCGATAATTTCGAATATGGCCATTTTAATAACGATCCAGATTCGATTTGGGATGATGTAATGCACCAACACCTGCAATTGGGTAGTACAGATATGTTGTACATGGTGGCGTTCATACTCGCAATTATAATGGTGACAATATTGCTTCTGCGTTACTTTATTGGCGTTTTCATTTGGACCATGCTTGTTCTTGGATCATTAACGGCACTTGGGCTCACCATCGTAGCATGGTAATCAATTTTACATCCGGAATAGTATACACTCTGATTTCTTTTTTTGTTATGCAGGGCTGTTTTTTCAAGTGAAAAATGATTCGCACGGAGTAATTCTGCTTCCGCTAGCCGCCACCGTGGTGACGTTCGTCATTGTTTTTTTGATCTATGCAACGCGAAAACGCATTCAAATGATTATTCAGGTCTTCAAAGAGGCCAGTAAAGCGATTGGCGATATGCCGCAACTGTTTATTCAACCGGCAATTGTGAGTTATTGTGTTTAGGTGAACATTTTAGTAATTATTTCATATTTTAGTCGTTTGTCGCATTTCTGGTATCGGCCATTGGGTTTAGCTCCTTTCAACAGTTGTTTTAAAGCTGGTATTAAGGAAAACGGGTATTTCAATCCTGACGATATTGTGATCTGCACGTACATATTTCTGAGCTGGGGTGGTATTTGGCTCACATATTTCTTCAAAGGATGCCAGAGTATGGTCATTGGTGGAACCGTTGCTACATGGTATTATCGAAGGTAATCTCATTTAGTGTTAACATACTTGTTACCGTTGTTATAACAATGAAATAATATCTTTCAGAGATAAATCGGACTTGGGATCGCCGATGTGGAGGACAACCAGCAATATGTTGCGTTATCACATGGGCACTGTTGCTTTCGGTTCACTTTTGATGCTGCTTATGGAAATCATAAAGAGCATTTCCGATTTCTTTACGAAACGCAAAATCGCGCGCGTTTGTTGCTGCTGCTGTGCTTGTATCTGCTGTATGCTGAATAAGTGTATAAAAAACTTTGAGGAAATTATAAAATATTTCACCAAGATGTCTTATATTATGACTGGTGGGTACCTAGAATATCTGTTTTGTAAAGTCTAAATTATTTGTTATATGTTGCAGCTATTCACGGCGTGTCGTTTTGCACCGGTTGTCGCGAAGGAATGATACTACTGCTCAACCATGCGTTTTCACTAATGCAACTGAAATGTTTTTGCAAGTTCGTCCTTGGTCTGCTGCAGTTGATTATCGTCGCCATTGTTATTATCGTATGCAGAAATATTGCACGTCCAGATAGTGCCGATTTCGTATCGGTTGTTTCTGGTATTTTCGCGTTTTTTGCCGCTAATACTTTCCTCAGTCTTTATAATGTAAGTTTGCACGTATCATTCGATCAGTTTTGATATAATATTACATTTTTTTTATGCAGATCGCGATCGACACGATCTTCTTGTGCTATTGTGAGGATCTGGCTGAGAATGATGGCGTCTCGAAACCGTATTTCATGTCCAGGGAACTGATGTGTTTCATGGAGGATTCTAAGAGGACGTTGAGTGATATTGTGAGGGATATGGCAGGTGAGGTCGATATGCCTGGTCGAGTCGTGCGTGGACATGATGATGGTCCAAATGCGCCTTCAATGGGCCCCATCTGATTACCTTTTTAAAAATGTTCTTACGTCTTTTTTCCATCGTTTTCAATTGTTATTCATGGTTTTATGATCAACGAAAAGTTTATATACTTTATACTTTTTTATAACATTGTATTATGTACTTCCGAGTATTTTATCAGTATAATAAATTTTTGATATAATAGAAGACTTCTGTTTTATTATGTTTATCTGCGACAAAAATGGAAAACCCCAGTGTTCCAGATCTATAAAATGGCTGATTTAGTTTTTCAATTTTTCGAAGTTTCCAAAAACCACTCAAAGTCAGTCAAGAGGTTTCAATTTTCCGATGAAGGACAGAGCCGAACTTATTCATAAAATTATTTTGTGTCGAAAAACAGGGCCAAACAAACAAAGGATTATTTATTTTGAATGCATTATTTGTTATAACTTTACTATTTATTTTGAATGCATTTACAATGTATTAAACTTATATCTTTTAAACCTTTAGCCAAATTACAAATAAGTATTAAAATAATTTATCTATAAAGGCATTTGCCTTCATAATAAGTAATAAAACCTTAATTATTTTTTAATTTTTGGGAAGGCATACGTAATTTATAAAAATATGGCGGAGGCGCCTGACATTTTAATTACTCTTTATAAAAATTATTAAAAACTTATATTACCATTGGATAGAATGGCGTTTAATTACATTACTAACACAACTTTTCACGTGATAGTAATAAGGGTTTATTTAGTAAATACATTTAAGTGGAACATGTACTTTAAGCCAGGTTTATTTAGCGATTATCTCAGAAACTAATAAAGATAAACAATAACAAAAAACAGCATTACGTTAAGTAAACAATTTTACATATAATAAGATTTTAAAAATTGTACATTTAAGAAAGAGAAAAACAATTTTCCGATGCAATTTCCTCAGAAACTATAAAAGTTAGAGTAAAACTTTTTGCACTTTCTTCATGTCACGACAGAGGTCTATTAAATGACAGATTTAGTTTTTTGATTTTGTGAAGTTGACCAAAGACCACTCGAAAAATGTCAAGAGGTTACACTTGACTATTTTATGGGCTAAAAAATAAATTTTAAGCTAGAGAAAAATAAAAAACGCCAATCGATAGAGAATGGCAAGGGGATGAAAGATATCTAGTCAGTTTTTCCTTAACAGCAATATTTCCAAAATGAACTGTGAAAACCGAAACGGGTCTATTTGAACCACCTTCCCGATTTTCACGAAACTTTCTGGTCAAACGTAGAATGATGCAGAGAATCCATTAGTGAAGGATTGGTTTCGATGACGTAATTAGTTTTCAAGTTATTGGACATTTTCATTTATTACATAACTGTCGATTATTGAAAATATTAAAATGCCATATGATGTAAAGTTTTATCGTCTATTCAAATGTGAAAACCGTTTTTCTTTAATTCCTTTAATTTTGAAATTAAGTGCGAAAAACTGAATTATTCGTTGCATCCATCATTTCTAAAGCAAAAAATAAAAATTGGAAATTTAAATTTTTTATTGCGGAATATTTAAGAAAACGTCATTTGGACCTCTTTATTTTAATAAAATTTTCTTCTCAGATGCACGGTTTTTTTAATAATCGGCATAATAGAATTTGTTTTGTGCGAAGTCAAGTTTTTTTTTTTAATTGTCAATAGGGCCTAAATGGCTACATAAAAATTGTACTTAAATAAATGAATTAGAATTAAGCAAGCTACCCGAATCCGAAATCAGAACATAAAAATTCCAATTTTTATTTTGTGATAAAAAAATGAAAAAGTTTTGCCTTTTTTATGACGAAATCTTTTCACGGTTTCATGTTTTTATAACAAAAATTAAATTTTTGAATTTTGAAATTGTTTTTTCTGATTATAATAAAACAGAACAATAGAAATCATTTATTTTAGTAAACTTTTCGTCGACAACCATTATTTAAGGCCCTATTGATGCCGGTACTGATTAAATTGTATTCAATGGTTTTATGTGTATATCTTTTAAACTAAACGTTTAATTAAAATATTGTACTAAAATATTTCATTGAGATAATTGTCCTCTTGTATAATGTGCAATAAAAACTTTATTTTTTTAAATTTTTTTCAATAATGCATATAATTAATTAAAATATGGCGGAGGCGCCTGACATTTTATTGCGTGATTTTATTATAAAAAATTAATAATATTATTGTGTAGACAGGCTCTTAATACACTTATGAATAAAACTTTTTGTCATTAGCACTAACCGTTGGCCCTATAGAAGCATTTAAGTGGAATCGTTTACTTCCATCAATACTGAAGTACCGATTATCTCAGGAACTAATTAAGATCTACAAAAACGGAAAACGGCATTGTGTTCAGCAAACTATTCTACATGTGATAAAACTTTAAAATTTGTATTTTTGAGTTGGAAAAATTGATTTTCCGACGCGATTTTCTCTGAAAGTAATAAAGATGGAAACAAACTTCTTACAGTTTCTTCATGCCACGATAAGGATCTACAAGATGGCAGATTTAGTTACTTGATTTTCCAAAGTTTTCAAAAACCACTCAAAAGTAGTCAAGAGGTTACACTTGACTACTTTGTGCCTCAAAAATTATTTTTTAAGCTAGAAAAAAATGAAAAACGTCAATCGGTAAAGAATTGCAATGCGATGAAAAGTATCTAGTCAGTTTTCCGATATCACCATTATTTCAAAAATAACTGGTGAAAATCAAAACCGGCTGAAAAGAACCACCTTTTCGATTTCCACGAAACTTTGCAACTTGATGTAGAATAATGCGAGAAATTCATTAATCTTATTTTCATTGCGGTATCTTAATTGGTTTTCAAGATATTGACGATTTTCATTTCTTACATAAGTGTAGATAAGAACAAATTTTAAAATGCTAAATAATGTAAAAATATGCACTGAATAAGAATCTGAAAACGAATTTCTTTTAGAATAAATAGTTTGCAAGATAAGTACAATAAACTGGATTATTCATTTTGTCTATCATTTCTTATGGCAAAAATTAATTTAAAAAAATACATTTTTTATTGCAGATTCTACAAGAAAACGTGATTCTGAATACTTTATCCTAGTAACATTTTGTTATCAGACTGATTTTTTGTACAATAATCAACCCTTATATTTGCATACATATTTCTTATCATACAATAAATATCATTTTACATTGCAAGTATGTAGCTGATATGCTTTTAAAAACATAGTGTCGATTCATATTTCCTATTTAGTTGATTTCAAAAGGAATTAATTTTAAAAAAAGTTCGACCCTGTCTTTCGACCAAAAATATTTTTTAAAAAAAGTTCAACCCTGACTTTCGACACAAAAATAAACTTTCGACACTTTCGACCGAAAATATTTTTAAAAAGTTCAACTGTCTTTCGACCGAAAATATTTTCATAAAAGTTCGACCCTGTCTTTCGACCAAAAATATTTAAAAACAAGTTCGACCCTGTTTTCAACACAAAATAAACTTTGCAGACAAAACTTCAAACTGTTTTTCAAAAATTAATAAAATCAAAATTTGCCTCTGTTTTCAACTTGTTTTCATAAACTCTGACAAAATGGGTATCAAAAATATAATCAATAACAAGCACTGTTTTATTGTTTTCTTTCACAAACTTTCATACAAGCAATTTGTTATAAAATTACAGAATTTTGATGAATATACATTGCATGGACACAACAACCATCTGATTAATTATCAGTACATTTTAAGTTCCTTTTGAATTGCGTATATCTTCTGCCTATAAACACTGTTCCTTGGGGTCCAAAAATATGAAGAGTGTAGTTGGAATCGTTATCCAGGACCAACAAATGATAACTGGTATGCCATCTGCACAACAAAAAATAAATAAAAATAAAAATTTTAATCGTTTTCCCAGATTATCACAACAAAATACATTCAGCAAAACGTTATGAACTTGTTAACAATTTAGAAAGTACTAGTATTACTTCTATCAAGTAATCTAAACAAAGTGCAAATATAAACATAGAGTTACATTCATGCACCAACCGCAGCAAATGCAGTCGCAAGATATTCCCGAACGACATTAGCTGAAGAAGTAAATCGAAGAAGCCTTCTTCTCTAACACCAGCCGAGTGGATCAACCTTGCGACTGCTGCTCGCTCATTACGCGCTTACCTGCCTGCTACTTGTGTGACGTAACGGTGTCCACCACTCCGCAGCCGCCTCGTAGAATGTGAAAAATCCACGACGCTTGAAAATTCCGACCTGCGGAGTACGAGTCGCAAGCTGCGATCCGGTGGACTCCATCTCCTCTAACGCCGGATTCATTCAGCAGCAACCTCAATGCAAAACTACTCTCTGCAGGTCTGCAGCCTTCGCTCGTTCGCTCCTACGCCAGTCGTCGCTCGATGTTCGACTCGCACACCTCGCGTTACTCAGAAATCTGCATCGCGCGTTTCACAATTCGTACTCGAGTACCGTGTGGGTGTCCAGCATTAAAATCACCTAATACGACCGATAAATCCTCGCAGAGAATGGCCTAAGTGTTGTCCAAGAAAACCTGCAATCAAACAAGAATCAATGATCACAAACATAAATTCATACATTTTGGATTAAAAAGTGAGAGTCGATCTGAACTTGCCGTGCAAACCTTGTGCGTTGTGTGAGTGTACATTCCCGCTTCCTCTAAACGAGCAATCATGGTAAGTCTGTGCGACGCAGAAGAGTCTGCAAGACTTAAATGATCGGCATCTTTGGTATCTTCTTTTGTGCTTTGTCAGACAATGGCATAGAAAACAAGCAAACGAACTAAATTTGCGCCGCGGCAAACAGAAAAAAAGTCATCAATATAACAGCTAACAGGACTACCTCGTACTATGAAAGGCGCAAAAATTTTGAGTAAAATATTAAATGAATGAAAATATTTAACAGGTGCAAACAAGCAACACTTGAATTCAGTACTCAATGTTCACCTTGAGCTAGTAAACAAGCGCAACGCAGAGGTGTGTTTTACATTACCACGCACAGCTTCAAACAAACAACTCCAAAACTAATTGTTGCAAAACAGTCATTCAATTATTTACAGTACGTGTTTTTCTGCGTTACGTCGCGGCATCTTTTTCAAAGATATCTTGATAGTGAAGAAATAAAACTCACCACGACTTGTTAGAGATTCTTTTCCGCCGGATGGAAACACACCGATGACGAGGAGACGCGGCGACCACGGCGGTCGTTTGTCCATCCGTGCGTTGCGATTCGCGTTCGTGCGCGCGCGATCGCGTCGCAATAATTCACGATCGCCATGAAGAGTCGAGACGTGACCCTGAAATCGTTCCGTTTGGCGATCCTTCATCCTTCATTACTTGTTATACCTTAGTGTCTATTCAAAATGGCGACGATGTCAACCTACAATTTATACAAAACCGCAGCTGTTGGATAATGACATAACGACATAAATAATGCATACTTATGTGTTGTGGGCGTTCATTTTTTAGTTAAATCCGCATAACTTGTTTGATATTTGGGCACCGCACGTCCACTTTCGTTTTTTTCGCTCCGTCTCGCCGACCATTGTACATATATGTATATGTAGGCAACGCGCAAAGGCACAAATTTATTCTTTATTCCCATGGCTATATAAGACCATGGAACGCTTTCACTTCTCGAGCATCGCTACATCGCCATCATCATCATCGGCTTCCAACTTCCAATGACAATGTGTGCATCTCGAGACTTAATGTTAGCAAATTGTTGCAACAGGGAAAAACAATAGAAAAGAACGCGGATTATTCTAATTAAACTTAAGTTATTTCCACATAAGTTAATTATGACAACATTAGGAAATTGGGAATAAATTTTGTTGAAATCAGTCACGCAGAACCGCATTTCGTAAGACGATTGTCAATTGTTTAACTATACACTGTGCACACCAACTGACCATACGTCTGCCTGCAAATGGCGTCGTCGATAAATAAATGTTGACCTAAAATGTCTGCAACAATGTGTCAGAGCGATGGAAACGTCAAAATGATGTCATATATTCGTTGTTATGCACATGCTACAACATGTAATAAATTACATTCATGTTTATGCAGCCGCCTTTTCTTAAGAACTCAACTCGAGAAGCATCGTAAACACAAACCCAAACCGAAACAGAAGCACAGCGGTTGTGCGCTGCGCCAGAGATGACATTAAAATTACCTGCGCGTGTGTGCACGCCTGGTAATTTAAGTTCGTCGTCTTTAATTTTAATACGCTACATAATTACACGCGCTCGGTGCTCAACAGTTGTGACGGGGACATTATGTCGAAGCAGTTAGAAAACATATGCGTACCGTTTCCGTTTGAACTTTGTTAGAATCTTTTAAACACTCAAATTTTGGTGACGTTTTTCTGAGCGCTATTGTTTTTCTTTTCAAATCAAACATTGTTCAAATGTTTTATCTGCTACACGTATTGTTAGCCAATTGTTTTATTGTATTACTACGTACCTATGCAGCACACATGTGCTTACCTTTGTTCCGTTGTGTTTTCAGTAGGTAGGCCAGTTGCCAGCGTTTGCGTGACGATCAACAATGGTGAAGCGCATCAACAAGAATCACTACGTCGCGACGCAGCGCCATACGGACTCGCCGACACCCGTTCATGTAGCCCGCAGCGTCTACTCCGACGGCGAGGAAAGTCAACGAGCGCCATCGGAGCGCACCCTATCAGAATACACAGTATGACGTTATTTACCAGCTCTTACATTAGGTTATGTTGTTTACACATGAATCCTTACAGCCGTACACGGTGGTGAACGAACGAAGGTATTTAAATGCACGCAATCCACCGCCGCGGGCTTCTTCAGCACTAAGTAGACACAGTGCCGGTTACGACAATGGCAGTGATATCTACGTCACGAGCGGCGCATATAAATCACCCTCGGAAATCAGGTGCGAGAATATCCTAACAATTACAACCAATGAATTAACATGAAATTATTTAAATTTTTAGCCGAAGTAGGGGCGCGCCAAGTCACTATTCTTATCGCAGCGCGCGTGCACCGTCGATTGCCAGTACCGCAAAAACACGCAACTCACGGAAAGCAGGCGTGACGATAGAGACTATGGCGGCGCCTAACCCCTTCTGTCCCAACATCAAGGGCATGTGCTGTCTGATGCTTCTCCTAAATTTAGGCATTATCCTGGTGACACTTGGCTTCGTCATCGTAATACAGTTTTTCGAGCCAGCATACGTATGGTACGCCACTATATACACTTACAACTAGTGAACGCAAATAATTAATTTTTCTGTTGTTTAAAAGGTTTTTGGGAATTGTTTTCTTGATCTTCGGTTTTCTCACGTTGATTGGCAGTTTAATATACTGCGTGGTAGTGTGCCGGGATGCAAAACGGCCGGACGAGATTCACCCCGAAGATTTATACTGGACCCACCATTGGCAGAAGTCCTTTGGGACTGTTCCGCCCTCTGAAGTACACTACAAAACAAGCGAGAAATATGCCGACGATCGGTACTCGGATCGATATTCTGTGAGCAAGCTGAGTGGAAAATATTCCAACTCACACTCGCGCAACGGACGATACTAACGTACTCTTCAATCGAACAAATTAATACGTAATAGTAATTAATTCTGTGGGATGAAAGGACATAAAGTGACTCTATAGTCTATCGACTAATATGATTTCATATTGTAAAACAAAATGTAAATGTGTTTTTTTTTATTGTAATTAACTTGTAATTATTAAATTAATAGACGACTAAACGCCTACCTTATGTATTCTAGGTCAACATTGATGTCCAAGTAACAGGTTCCAAAGCGATTTTAGACAGATCCTCAGCTAAATCATCAACGATAATATTTTTACCAATTTTCTTCAATTCCGACTGATTGTTCCCCAATTGTTTTAAGTCGTCATTTGTGTCCAAATCAGTTGTTTGTTTAGGCTTCTCATAAATCATTGAATTAATTATTGCGTGCGCAATCATTCGCATTGGCACCATAGTGTGTATAGATCCTTCAAGAAGGTCGTCCAGCTTGGAATTTGATAACTTTTGGGTGAAATTGTGGACGACTTGTGAAGCCTTCTCCCCACCAGATTTTAACGCTGGCGTTAGGTGACTGAATGCGCTTTGCGTTTCAGTCTCGTTGAAAAGGAAATGCATAGGTTCCAACATGCCATCGTCAAAGTCGGACGAAGTATCAAAACAATGCAATTCCTGTGAAGCAATCATTGCATATGTTTATTTATGTTATAAAACTTATAACAAACCGTATCATTTACCTTATTAGTGTCTATTATGTAGAGTTGTGTCTTATCATACCAGTTTTGTTGCTTACGATGACTATACACGCGTCCAGTAGGAACCAAAATGGCCGCCATGACAGCCTTTCCATCATCAACTAATTCTTCGTGTACGTACAGCGGAGTTTCACATTGAGGTTCAAAAATAAACACTAATCACAAATAAAAAATAATACAATACAAATTATACCAGCATATATAAATACACTAATTAAACCAGAACACTTACATTTATTATTCTGCGTGATGGCCCCCATGTGAGCACTCATTGGATTCGTAACCAAATGCGTCACTCTCAAAGGCACTGTCCACATCATCGACAACGTTAATAAATTCCACACACTGAGACGTTTCTTACTAGCAGCAACAACTAAATGACATTGTGTGCTTGTGCCGAATGCAATATGTTCAATAAGTTCGGAATAAGTTGAGTGCAACAATGAGCACTTAAGTGCAATTGTTTCAGGCAACCATGTTGTCAAAATGTTCTCAAATGCGACTGCCAACAGTGAGCCATCATGCGAGAACGCCATAGTTGTGGGAATCATGTTACGATAGAAACCAGAACTTGCACAACGCCAAGAGAATCCTTTAGCTAAATCAAACTAGGATGACAAATCGTTTAAAACAAAAGAATCACACTTACTGTAAACACTTGTGACATCCACAAGTTGCCAAACTTTGAAAAACCCATCCTCGCCAAGTGTAACCAAACGATAGTCCTCTTTACTCGACGGCTGAAACTTCAAGTCCAAAACTTTGCCTTCATGCGCATACTCCACGTTTGTATTTAACTGAAAACTATTTAGGCCAAGTTAAAGGTTTAGTTAAGTATAATAGGTTTACTTTACAAATTACCTTTGCTTTGCTTCATTAAAATTCCAAAACTTTAATCTGCCTTCGAAAAACGCACCATCGTCGTTGCGTTCCTCAATGGTCGCCATCCACCGGCCATTTTTGGAAATTGCGAGCGCTTTAATGTTTGTATTTTCAATTTGGACGTCTCTTTCATTGGTAATTCTATTCATACCAACTACATCCAACTAAGCAACACAACAAAAACAAAATAACAAATAAAATAAATAAAAAAGCAGTAACTTACATTATATAAAAGTTGTTTGTTATGCGGCGAATAGAATTGCAAATGACCAACAGTGCCATTTAACACCAACGCACGAGTTTTCGAATCCCAGTGAATTCCAGCAGGAAATTCATCCCCAAGAATCAATTCTTGTATAATAGAAACTGGATTAAATTGCATATCAACGATATGAATTGCGTTGTCTTTGCTCGCTACCGCAAGATACAAATTCTCAGGTGCTATCCCAACTTGCTGAATGCAATTTGACATGCGTGGTAGAAAACCTTTCCTCGTTGAATCGTCCACAGTCCATTTTACCAACACGCATTCATCAGCACCGCTAAAAATGTTGTCCCCGAAGACGAAAAACAAATCGTATTCACTGGTAGCGTATGCCAATGGAACACCGCTTGTGTATAATATCCGAATAAGTTTTGCCATAGCACAATGCGACCTGTATCGTCACCTGTTAAAACTGCAGATTCGCTCGGATGCGCCGCAATTGCTGTGAATTTTCGTTTCGCTATCTTTATCTTAACCTGCTGCGACTTTTCGTTTTCAATGTTATCTATGAATAATTTTCGACCGGAAATCAACGCAATGAAATTGGCACCTATTGCTAATTTACAGTTTTTGCTATTTTTATAAACTAATGACATAGGATGCAGTTTATAAGTATCAAAGTGGAATAATCCAGTGCTGAGCTGTCCATTATTGTTTACCCACACCAGAAATGCTCTATATTTTCCAGAATGTTCAAAAGGTTGAAAAAACCTCACTTGATTAATATCCAAATGAATATGTTTCACTTTTAGGCCATTTGATGCTTTCCAGCATGTAATGTTACCATCAACAGTGCATACAGCAATGAATTCAGTTGCATCTTGTTGGTATAAGCCAAAATTTACAATGTCTGCTTCAATTCCCTTAAAGTCAACAAAACGTCTGCCGGTTTTCGTTGTATAACTACACAATCGTCGCAAACTCGCAATAAAAACGAATCTAAAGCAATATTATTGTAAATTTATAAGTTAATAATTTAATTGACAAAAGCTTACTGTGAATCCTTAGAAAATACAGGTGCATGATGCACAAAAGACTCGCCATCAACGTATTTAAGTTTTAATTCAGCGTCTTTAATCATTTTAAAGCTTTTCCGGCATAATAACACGAAACTAAAACCACTGTATGCCACAGAATGAAAACTGTTGAGGTTATAAACTACACACGTGCGTTATTTTGAAAGGTCGATTAGTTTAACATAGGCAACTATATTTGCACTATACTATTTGTGATCAAACGTAAAGCGAAAGATTTAAATTGGTTTGATAAGAAAATAAACACAATTCGTAGTTTGGTAATCTCTATTTCAGTTTATGGATTGTCCTAAACATTATCTACCATAATTAGTAATAAGAGAGTTTGGTTTTTCGTGTAAATAAATATAGAACGCTATAAATATAAATATTCAAAGTAAAATTTCGAAAAGTGAATAACAATAGTTATATAGTTGACTAAGGTCGTAATTGGCACCTTGGAATTTAAGTAAAAACGAATAGCAATCATACACACACGGATGCCACACTTGACTGAGGTAATCTCCTAGGTGGCCGCCGAACCGTACGTTCCGGCCGGCGGGCGGTAGCACCGCGGCAACGACAACAGTTGCAGCGTGTTAAAGGCGTACTTTCGCACGTTGATGTTCTTCATGGTGTTCTCCCTGCGACAGCCTTCACTGTAAATTAGACCATCACCGAATTTAATTTGCATAATTAACACAGCGCATCAATTAATTAACAACTTAAATCCCAGAGCGACCGCTGTCGAAAAGTGAAAAGTAGAGCAAATAAAATAAACACGTTTAGAATCAAAACGCGTGTCCATAAAAAGTTGATTGATTAAAACGTTCCAAAACACTAATAAAAAAATTAGAAAGTCATAAATTAACCTGGTCACTCAGTAATATCAGTATAACCCAAAAAATTGAAAACACGACAACAAATTTAAATTAAGCGTGAATAGAGAGATTGATGGTGATGGATCGCATTTTTCGAAAGATTAAAGAGATGATTAAATCTAAATTACCTGCGAATGCAATCCAGCGCTCTCTGGAATTCATGCTCTGCCAAGTGATACTCTTCAGCCAGAATGTGGCATTGTTCCAGTGTGACGCCCATTCCCGTCCTGTCTTTGGCACTCTTGCAACTCGTGAAGCGTAAGCCACGCATCTGGCGACATATTTGCGCGGACAAATGCAAAATCTCCACGTTCTTCGACTTATCACTATGCACCGATATCTTTAGCATCTCCATCAGTGTAGATAATGGTCGCACATGCGCCGCGCTAGATGTCGCCCTACCATGATACAATGGCGTCTCCGGCATGTTTAACTTCCGGTACCTTAAATAATACTCGTTCAACCGTTCAAAGTTGTCACAATTCGAGCGCTCTTGAGGTTTCGTCGCGCCCACGCTCTCCGCCCACGTAGCACGTTCGTTGATACCAATATTAAAGAACACCGGAGTCACGTGGAAGGTCAAACTCATTCGGCTGGGTATCAGCGAGTAAAGCGAATCAGGTACGGGCAGCGACACGGTAAGCGCGTTGCGATTACCTGTAACCTTAGGCATCAATTGTGGTTCGCCGGCACCGCTTGCCGGGATGGGTGAACGCACAAGAATAAACATCACCGTGCGCAGATCTTCAATCGCAACCGACATATCGCCCCACATGTCGATCTCGTTGCCGTGGTAACTCAACAACCCTTCGAAGCAGGCCAATGGACCCAGGGTACTTAAGCAGGTGACAAACGCGGGGTCTGGTTTTTGGCACCATAGGCGTGTCATTAACGCCGCTACTAAGGAAGTCAACGCTTGCGAGAAGCAAACGTCCCGTCGATATCTTACATTACAAACCCTCTGCGCAGATTTGGGTTCCTCTTGCACGCGAAACACGGAATGCGTTAGTCGTGCAGTTTTAAGTAAACCGTCCATAGCCTGACGAAGCTTTTTCATGCTGGGCCGCAACTCTCCGACCCAATCAGCGATTTTGGTGAGGTCAAGACCATCCGTAAACTTATTACCATTCCGGATGACATTCTTCCGAAGGTCCTGAGAAGGATCCGCAGTACCATTCGGTTGATTAGTGATCACAGCCTTTTTGGTTTGATTCTGCCGGAGACGCACGGCTGGGGATCCGCATCGCCCGCAGAGAAACTTCACCTTGCTCACCAGACACATAACGCTTGCTTCAATATTCAGCTGGGTAAGGTCCCAAGGTTCTGGCTCATCTGTCGGCTTGTAGTAATTCGCCGACGGTGAACTACACATAACATGCGTATCTAGAAAGGTTCTACCGTTATCATTCCTCCTATCGTCATCGGATCCTCCCAGTACTAGCGAAGATGTGATGTTATCGTTGTGGTCCTCGCAATCGGGAAAAATTACAAAATTGCACTCGTCCGGAGTTTGCATATTGGAGCAAAGGCTTCTTACGCCCTCGCTGGTATTCAACAAACTCCGGTCAACTTTCTCCATGTTCCACATATTCTCCATTGGCGTACAAGGAGTTGCGAAGTCATCAAGATCCGGACTCTTCAGATCAAGTGTCAATTGTTGTGTGATGCGTTTGAAGGGCGAAAGTGTCAGGGGGCGCTCAACGGAAAAGTCTTCACAAACACCCGAATCTTGATCGGTTGATACTAGCTTGTACTCTTCGATAAAACCTAACGCCTCCTCCACCAATCCGCTATCCCATAGGCCTAAAAGTATCCGCGTCTTCTTCACCATATCGTCGCAGATCGGTAACATGCCTATGGTCTGCTTGTCGCGTGCGAGCCGCATGAGTTGGCGCATTCCTTCAACAACATCTTTGCGCAATTGCTTGATGGCCTGAATGGCGTCGTGCGCCATCGAAATCTTTGTACTAATCTGATCATTCGAATTCGACTTGATCGGCGATTCTTTTAATTGTTGAACGAGCCTAAACACACAGAAAATCATTCAATTACCCAAATGGCATTACCCAATGTATTGGCTTACTTTATGAGTCCACCATTTTTAGATTTGTGCGAGTGTGCAGTAAATGCGCCCACAGTGATCCAGTCGTAGAACCCGGCCTTGTTAAGCGTATCATTGTGCACCCACATGCGTTGCAGATGCAGGTTGACCGGAGCAAACTCAAGACTCCTGTCGGATTTTCGCGAGCTCGCTTTAAATAGCGACCCTTTATGCGCCTGGAGATTTTCGCGTGCTTGCGAATACAATCGCAATAGATGCAAGTGCCGATCAAGTAACTCTACCTGTCTCGAATGCCACGGTTCTCTTAATTCGCCCATACCGGCCACTTCTTGCAGCAACTCCTTCTCTTGATGGATCCAGACACTCCTACATAAACATCATAATTCGCGTTTAATTATCGTTCTACAAAAATTCTAGACCGGATATTAAATGTACATAAAAAACCAAATCGCTTACAACAACTGCTGCGGAAAGGCAAAGCATAGCTTGCTTTCGGCCATTAGTTCATGCACGCAGATATCTCCACCAAGGCCCGAATGAAATCTGTATGTTTGCACAAAGGGCGATGCGTAGAGGAGTTTCAATTCGGCCTGACTAGGCAGCCGCATCTTGGCGCCCAGTCGCGGCGGCAACGACTGCGAACGACGATGGGACATCACCTAGAAAAGAGCAAAAAAGTGAAAGGCCTATCCATCAACGCATCATTTATTGACCGCGGTCGATAATTTAATATTCGGCGATCAGGATCACGCGTCAAAAACCAGAGCACTACGCAAGAAGACGTAAAAAGCGCCTAAATCTAACGGTTAATTACATACATAGCGCAGGCCGTATTATTACAGCGGGGCTAATCTGTGTTAAGAGCGCACGGACTAAAGAGTCGTCGATATGAGAGATAAAAAGAGAAAATATCAAAACGCAGAACAATTAGTGAATAAACGAGTCGTTCGTCAGTCGGAAGCTAGTCCAATGGCGACACGTAATGCGTACACGGAATTATGATTCTAATTATGTACCGGGAGCACTTTTCGAGTTAGGCGCGTTTTCAAACAAGAGCGCTCAGTCGCGATTCGTCGCTCGTCAGTGATCCACTGTTTTAGACCGTAACTAGTGCAAAAAAATACAAATAAAAATAAAAACAATGTCAGTGCGAATTTTATTAATTATTATGCTACTATATTCATCGGTAGTAAGTTTTTTAAATTTTATTACAAAAACAATTTTTTAATCAATTATATTATTTTTACACATTAAACTAGGACGTGTCTTGGGCAAGAAAGGATAATTTAAAACACGTGTTCCTAAAGGATACTCCACAGAAACAAGAATTGGTTGATAAATTCCTGGACCTTATTGAAGCATCCTGGGATTATATCATGCAAATACTCTACTATAAAGCAAACCTGTTAGGTTTGGACAAGGAGCGCGAAGGATCCGATCACATTATAATGGAATCACCAATCAAACTCTTCCATTCCTTTCCGGGATGGTGGATGATGCGCGATTTTTACATGGGATTCATGGACGTTATTTTCGAGGACGTTGAAGAAGAAGTGCGTCCACATCATAATCAGCATCAAAATCATCAACAACACGGCGGGCATCATCAACATCAACACCAACAACAACAACATGGTCATGGACATCACCAACGCCCTCGTCCTCATGCCCATAGACCCCATCGGCCACAGCAATCAAATGAGAATAATCATATTGGCAGCCATCTTTCTACAATCGGCAGTTTATTGCATCACGGCAGGAGTTTCGAGGAGATGAAGGATAGCGGTTTGCACAAATTGTTGGTCCGTTGGAAATTATGCGACCAGTAAGAATTGCGTGAATAGAACAAAGTGGATAAATAGTCAAAGTGATTCGGCCCCCGAAAATTAGAGCGTGTAACGGACAATTATTAAATTATTAATTGAGTTTTTGTATGTGGTCGCTGGTCGATTATGATAATTTGGTGAAATTACTTTGATTGTTTCACACGAAGTAACAATAATAATTTAATTTATTTATTTATAATAAAAAAATAATTGAACTCACTTGTGGATTGGTTAACATTGGCACTCTGCATGGCGTATGTTCCGTACTGCTGCCGCGATCCTCCGCCTCCAAAGACCACGCACTGATGGTAAGAAACCCGACGGTATTCTGGGAACTGGACATCAACGGAATTCGCAGTCTGGTCGAATCCTGAATGGCACTAAGCAACACAATCGCCGACCCGAGTGGAATCGCCGTGTGTGACACTCGCTCTTTAACATCGAACGCCGTAAAGCGAATCTTTGACTCGCCGGAGAGGCCATCGGAAGACCGGAAACAAACCGTGCACAAAAAGCCTGGATTGCTGCTGCGTTCGATGATTTCGGTACGCGCATACTGCACCCATAGTTTACCCTGCGGCATATGCACGTCCACCACCAACGTGGGATTGGGAGCTAGGCCATTGGCATCACAGAGCAAGTTATCACACGCCAGTGACACCTCGCACAAAGGTAACTCCGAAAGATCAATGGAGTGCGTGCGTTGCAAGCGCCACATGTTGACATCCACATGGGGTTTGTGCGTGCGACGGCGTTCGATGCATTGCCGAAGTGTGTGTAATTCGGCGCGGATGCCTTCATAGCTGGCCGCACGAATGGCGTCCATCCAGCTGATGCGTTCGGTTTCGGAAGAGGCGGCGAGCGATTGACACAAACCACCATCAAATACTAAACATAACATTAAAATCAAACGCTTGTATTATTATGGGAATTGATTTAAAAGGATATAATTACCTAAATAAAAGGGATAGTTGCCTTCAAGGGGTAAAGGGGTTGTAGCCATGGGTGGTTCCAGCCGCACCTGACACTGCTCCAGGACAACCACGCCAATGGGTTCCGACCAAGGGTCTTTGCTTTTAAAGTAGAAGAGAAGATTGCCACGCAGGCGACACCAGCGTTCCAAGCTCACTGCAAAATCGCCACCACATTGGTGAGAGTAGTCCGATTGCACATTGACGCACTAACAATACTGATAACTACAACTATATCACTACATAATAACAACAACAACATTTGCATACAGAGACAAACATTTACATATAAAGAAGCGGAAACCCATTACCAGATGTGTGTTATCCAAAGTTGATTAGTATTAATATTAATTTGGTGAGTAGTGAAACATTAAGAAGCGTTCGTTTTTATTTCCTTAGTTAGCATGTGTGTGATTAGTATTTGTTGTGCGTATTTTGTATGATGTATAGTTCATAGTACCTTTACTCGTTCCCCCCACACAGCTGAGATTACGAAGGCGCTTTTTCTTATTTTGCTACCTCTGCCTGCAAGATTAATGCACATTTGACGAGACAATCACTCGCAACGCTGCGATATAATATTCACATGTGTGTTAATTGTATTCAACGCCAGCAAAATCCGCCGCGTCCAGCTCAAAACCACTTGAAACTAACAAAATTATCGAAGATTATGTACACGACACATATTATTTGAATGCCGACAGAGTTCTCACGCAATCCACTTTAGTTTAAATAAATGACTGCTACAAATAAATGTCCCTTTACTGTTATTTTGATTGTCATGCAGATTTGCTCGTTGAGAACTTTGTCGGCAATTAAAATTGAAATAATTAATGATGAGAATAAAACACCACACACATATTGTGGAATAGAATGCAATGCATCATGCAACATGGTTTATAATAAACATTAAAATAACAATGGCGAATGGCGTCATCGACGCGCATGCTTTCGCAATTAGCATCATTCTCGGGTCGACCCTACACGACATCAAATAGCAATGATACGCATCATGCAAAATGCATTATGCATGCGTTTGATTTTTATTTTCATTCGAGTTCTTTAAATTTCGTGTTCACTGTTTTGTATGGCGAATCAACAATCCGTGACTTTGTAACGTAGGCAACCAACAATGCGTTAATCCAACACTGGTTTAAAACCGAAAGAAATTGATTTCGATAGTTTGAAATCAATTTGACTCACGTGAAGTGCGTAGATTAGCGTGTCATTGATCGCTGGGTTCAAGTTCACGGCCTGTTGTTGCCTGTGAGTTGCTTGAAATCGACTTCGTTTTGCTTGATTGCGGGCACGTAAACAAAAACGAATCGGTTTTCAATCAACTCGACCCGAAACCCCAAACTCAACCGCCGTAAATAGTTACAAGTGGGTTCTTCTCATGTTTTGAGTATGTTTTCCGTGCGTGTTTTTCTTTGGTTGTTGTATATTTATTACATGAGGGGCAATTTGCTAGCGCGGCAGGGGCATTCGGTTGCGGCCGGCGGTCGCATTAATATTCCACTCACCTTCCGACTTCCGAAAGAAGCCCTCCTGTCGCTCGCGGACGCACAGCGCGCCTTCCTTCTCGAACTTGCTGGAGGGCTGCGTGGCGAGCGCCTCCAGCTCCTGCTTGTTGAAGCGCATCTTTTACTTGGAAAACATCTGCAATAGCAAAGAAAAACAGTCATTTCAATGACCAGATAGCATAATGCGTGCGTTATCATATCGCGATTTGTCATTCATTATTTATTACAGGAATAAATTCGATGACAGTGTGCGAAAGAGAGTGGGAGTTGTTTATGTCGTTGGAAACTAATTTTCACACGTTTATTTTTGTCGCTGGACTTGTTGGCGCTCATTTTCCCATCATGGCCACCGGATAATGATTGATGATGTTTGCACTGACGCAAATGCAATTCGCGCGCGCACTTTTGTACGTGTATTACTCAATCGAAATAAATTACAAAACGTTATCGCGCGCGTTATTCGCAATCGCCTTATCTTGGCGATAATTTTTAAGTATGTGCATAATTCACAATTAGTTAACGCTATGTTGACACGAAAAATTTACATTTTTGTGCGTAACAAATGTTGGATATTTCAATTGTTTGCTTTCCTTTTAGCTGAAAACTGCAAACTTTGCGACGTGCGGTGTGCACATTGTGTTCTGAGCAAACATCATATTGATTTAGAAAAGCGCGATTAAAATTTCATGCGAGTGGCCACACATTGCACACACATCTCACCGAAATGGGATGGCCCGACCCACACGCTGCAATATTACTTACTCTTCTCGGCTTGCGTCTGTTTTCTCATCTCGCTTCGAGCAAGCAGACATTGCGAGCAATTTCTAGGAGCGGTTCGTTTTATGTAAACCATAAAAACCATGCACCTCAATACATATTTTTGAATATTTAATATTCATTTGTGTGTTTTGTTTTCATTTGATTCTCTCGACATTGTTTTGTTTAATAACAAATGTAGACGTGAGCACTGCGCCAAAACGTGTATACGCTTATCTGCGCGTCAAGATGATGTATATTCGCGTATTTGGGCGAGATTGTAGTGTAATAACTTCATATTCACCTGCCATAAATTCGTTGCAAAATCTCTCCCTAGCTGCGGATATTTCCTCTTCACGTCATCTCCGGCTGTATTGCCCTCGAATTCGATACTTTGCGATGATTTATGAGTCCCCTGGCGAGGATGGAAGAAGAAGAAGACGTTGCTGGTTCATCGCGCGCACATTTGTGCTATTTAATTACGATGTTGATGATGGGAAACACTGCCCGTCGGAGTGTAACGTCAACACCACCTTCACCTTCGTGCTTCGTGCGTTCGCGTGCCAGGTGAACGCGAACCTAACGAGGATTCTAGCGGCAAGCGGCCGCTGCACTCGTTGCACTTCCGCGCCGCACTGTGCAGCTATGCAGGTTGTGCGGGTCTCAGCGCTGTTTCGACCCGAACGAAATGCAGCTTGCGAGTTGCGAGTTAAAGTCCTGTAAGCCGCGCAAGTCGTCAGCACGAACGGGCAGGTAGACACCGACTGACAAGCAAAACGCGCGAGCAGCAGATTTCTAAGTGGGGAGTCGCAATGGATATTCATCTGCTACATTTTAGTATTGTATTATTTAATCTTTAAATGTCATACGTTAGCCTATTTTCATATAAACATGTAGCAACTGGTTTATAATTTTCTAAATTCTATTTTGTTCTTGGCATATATTTAAACTTAAGTTAAAGAAAACAAGATTTTAAAAATGATGTCTTCTGTACAATCAATAACCTTGCCCCTAGAATGCAAGCAACCCAATATACACAAATAATTAACCCAACCTCAAACAAAAATACAAACGCAGATATTCCAAACGTAAATTTTTCTTGGCTTTTAATAATTTAATACAATGACGCGACATGCACGTAATTGCACTGCGGGTGCGGTTTACACCTACCACGAGAAGAAAAAAGACGCTGCGGCTTCCGGTTACGGTACAAACTCGAAGCGATTGGGTAAAGATTCAGTTAAAGATTTTGATTGTTGTTCACTGTCTTTACAACCATGCAGAAACGCAGTTATCACGTAAGTTACTATTCTATCCTAACATTATATACATTAAACAATATATAATGATTTATACAAACATTAGTAAAGATGGTTACCTATTTGATAAAGAAGTTATCCTTCAATACATAATCACAAAGAAGAATGAGTACAGCAGAAAGTTAAAGGAATATGAAAGACTCAAAAAGAAAGAGGATGATGAATTGGAGCAGAAGGTTATGGAAGCCACAGACAAGAAAATCAACAATTTTCTGAACTCTGAGAACAACATTGTGAGTAAACCAATTGATGGCTTCAAAAGTGAGGCTTCCACTAGTTCTGCATCCATTTCAAATATGGAGAATGGAAGGAACAAGGTTCTGCCTAGTTATTGGGTACCAGGTCAACTAAAGGAAGCTGAGAAGCCCAAAGTGGAGAAACCAGATAGTAAAATCCCTTGTCCCATTTCAGGCAAGCCATTGAAAGCTAAAGATTTAATACCTGTTAAATTTACGCCGGTTAAAGATGCCAGTGATAAGAAGTCACTGATTGCGAAAGAAAATCGCTACATGTGTGCGATAACGCATGATATTTTAAGCAATAGCGTTCCGTGCGCTGTTTTAAAACCAACGTAAGTGAACATTATTACTTTATAATTACACAATAAAACAAATAATTAAACTTTACAGTGGGGATGTCGTAACGATGGAATGTATTGAGAAAATAATCAAAAAGGATTGGATTCATCCACTAACCGACCAGAAATTGACGGAAAAAGATATTATAGTGATGCAAAGAGTAAGTTTAAAACACATTCATTACTTAAATAAATAACAAATTGTTTGCTTATAGGGTGGCACTGGATATTCACAAACAAACGAGAAACTTGAAGGTAAACACGAACGACCCGCTCTACAAGTATAAAAGAAAACTTTTTCACATTGATTTATGTAGGTTAGGATTTATTAAATTTAAATTAAAAGAATTCTTTTGCTTTATTAAGCACTTTAAGTCCTTCTTCATAAAATTCACCACCATTTAAATATGGCGGTGTAAATTCTCTATATGCTAAACATATCCTTGTGTTACTAATGTCCTCCCTGAGAACTTGATGCTCCCAGTCATATCTTGGTGCTCCATATAATACCAAAAGTGAACGTCGCGGCATGGGAATTCGAACAATAGGCGCGTTTTCTACTGTTTTTAATTGATAAACACTTTGTTGACCCTCCTGCTCCTTTTTCAACATCACACTTGGATAACTTGCAACTTGATTTAAATTATATCCAGAGGGTTTTGAATTTTCAGTCATAGTCAAGACAGAATCAGCTAATAAATTAACTGTTACAATTCTCTCACCCCAAATCCAACAGTCATCAATGTGTGGATCAATTGATGCACCTCTGGTTGGATCATACTCTAAACTGCATTGTTCAATTGTTTGGAAGTCTTTTAAATAAGCTACATGTTTTAGTTTTTCCTGGATGAATTGCAAACCTTTTGGAAATCCTTTGAAATCACCCAGTTTTAGTTTTTTCTTCTTGAAGTTGCATTTAGGACCAAAGTTCTGCTTTCTTCTTCCACTCTGAGATGCGTCCCAAGGAATGTTTTCAATTTCACTTAAAGCAAGTTGTTCTTCTTCTATGGAGAGAAAGTTTAAGTCAATATACACTCCTGGATAGTCTATTGATGTCCCACTGTGGTTTGGATGTTGTTTATAAAGGTTAAAATCCCAACCAGACCATGCTTTATTGCAATGTGGACAGTAGACATAAGATCCGTTTGTCTTATTCAATATTGGATCTTTTTTTATACCATATTCTTCTTCACAAAGCAGGCAGGTGCGACAACCTTTACATCCACATGGTCTACACGTATCCATTATTTTGTAAATTAAAAGAATATCTTTGAATCGTTGAATAATTTTTAAAGGTTAGTTGAGTCAATAGTCAGCTGTTTGATGTGGCGTTTGGAGGGTACACGACATTTCACCGCCAGACGTTTTCAGCGGACGAAACGGAGAATAGTCTGTCGCGTTTAACAAGTGCAGTGCAACGCGTAACACTGCCCTGTACTATAAATGTGTTTTCTTTGCATTGGATCTACTCCCGCCTGGAATGGTCCTAAACGTGAGTAGCAATTGGAAAACAATTCGTATTTTGCCATCAAATTATCAATGTCTTTGTACATTTTAAAATGTTTGCATCAATTGGCGCTTATGATTATTTCGTACACTGTAAACAACAGCGCACACGTTTTAAAACTAGTTTGGTTATGATCGCCGACAGACACGCATTACTCGTTGTATATTTAGTTTTATGCAGCATTTCCATTCTTGGCTTCATTTTATATATTGCCTTAAATAGTGCCAATGTTGCCCTTTATGATAAACATTTGCACAATCCCAAGTTTCTGTTGGAAAAATATTTAAATCACAGCTCAAATTTAGTGTAGGTATATGGGAAATGCACCGAACATGCATGTTATAACAACAGTTAACTTTTTCAGTTTATAAAGTGTGATTAAATAAAGTTTCACAATTATAAAAATTTCTGTTTGTTTTAGGGCTCTAAAAATCCAATCGGACCTGCCAGGAGAGTGATTCTCGCATCAAATTGTAAGTGTTGTAATTCTTTATTATATTCATAACTTAGTTTTGTGATTTTTATACGCGAAAGCCACAAAAATAGTATTTTGGGTTTAGAGGCATTAATTTTCGTTTGTTCTAGTGATGATATTCGTTATCGAAAATCGGGAAAAAAAATTATCAAGCACCGCACCTTGCCAATTTTTTCTTATGAATTAAAATTTCATCTCTTAGATTTCCGTTTTAACTATCCTATCTTATAGAGAGAGAAGTCCGTAGAATAAGACGCTGCTATCCGATCCTAATTATCTCTTTTAGTTTACGAGATATTCGCGATTGAATAAAATGAGCAAAAATTGAAAAATGTCACTTTTTAGCACTTTTAGTCACGTTTTTTGACCTTTTACTATTGGAAATATGAGTATTTTATATTTTTATCTGATAGAGAATTTTCCAATCTTTCATAATCAGCATTGCGTGGGTTGCAATCTCTTTTAGTTTAAGAGATATTAATTATCAAAAATCGTCGAAAAAAAGTATCAAGCACCCCCCCTTAGCAATTTTTTCTAAAGAATTAAAATTTCATCTTTCAGATTTCCATTTTAACTATCCTATCTGATAGAGAATAGTCCGTACATTAAGACGCTGCGATCAGATCCTATTTATCTCTTTTAGTTTACGAGATATTCGCGATTGAATATAATTGGCAAAAATTGATAAATGTCACTTTTTAGCACTTTTAGTCGCGTTTTTCGACCTTTTACTGTAGGAAATATAATTATTTTATATTTTTATCTGATAGAGAATTTTCCAATCTTTCATAATCAACAATTTGTTGGTAGCTATCGGTTTTAGTTTAAGAGATATTAATTATCAAAAATCGTCGAAAAAAAGTATCAAGCACCCCCCCTTGGCAATTTTTTCTTAAGAATTAAAATTTCATCTTTCAGATTTCCGTTTTAACTATCCTATCTGATAGAGAATAGTCCGTAGATTAAGACGCTGCGATCAGATCCTATTTATCTCTTTTAGTTTACGAGATATTCGCGATTGAATATAATTGGCAAAAATTGATAAATGTCACTTTTTAGCACTTTTAGTCGCGTTTTTCGACCTTTTACTGTGAGAAATATAATTATTTTATATTTTTATCTGATAGACAATTTTCCAATCTTTCATAATCAACAATTCGTTGGTAGCTATCTCTTTTAGTTTAAAAGATATGAATTTTTGAAAATCGTCGAAAAAAAGTATCAAGCACCCCCCCTTGGCAATTTTTTCTTAAGACTTAAAATTTCATCTCTCAGATATCCGTTTTAACTATCCTATCTGATAGAGATTGGTCCGTAGATTAAGACGCTGCGATCAGATCTTATTTATCTCTTTTAGTTTACGAGATATTCGCGATTGAATATAATTGGCAAAAATTGATAAATGTCACTTTTTAGCACTTTTAGTCGCGTTTTTCGACCTTTTACTTTAGGAAATATAATTATTTTATAATTTTATCTGATAGACAATTTTCCAATCTTTCATAATCAACAATTCGTTGGTAGCTATCTCTTTTAGTTTAAAAGATATGAATTTTTGAAAATCGTCGAAAAAAAGTATCAAGCACCCCCCCTTGGCAATTTTTTCTTAAGACTTAAAATTTCATCTCTCAGATTTCCCTTTTAACTATCCTATCTGATAGAGAATGGTCCGTAGATTAAGATGCTGCGATCAGATCTTATTTATCTCTTTTAGTTTACGAGATATTCGCGATTGAATAAAATTGGCAAAATTTGCAAAATGTCACTTTTCAGCACTTTTAGTCGCGTTTTTCGACCTTTTACTGTGAGAAATATAATTATTTTATATTTTTATCTGATAGGGAATTTTACAATCTTTCAGAATCAACAATTCCTTGGTAGCTATCTCTTTTAGTTTAAAAGATATGAATTTTTGAAAATCGTCGAAAAAAAGTATCAAGCACCCCCCCTTGGCAATTTTATCTTAAGACTTAAAATTTCATTTCTCAGATTTCCCTTTTAACTATCCTATCTGATAGAGAATGGTCCGTAGATTAAGACGCTGCGATCAGATCTTATTTATCTCTTTTAGTTTACGAGATATTCGCGATTGAATAAAATTGGCAAAATTTGTAAAATGTCACTTTTTAGCACTTTTAGTCGCGTTTTTCGACCTTTTACTGTGAGAAATAGAATTATTTTATATTTTTATCTGATAGACAATTTTCCAATCTTTCATAATCAACAATTCGTTGGTAGCTATCTCTTTTAGTTTAAGAGATATGAATTTTTGAAAATCGTCGAAAAAAAGTATCAAGCACCCCCCTTGGCTATTTTTTCTTAAAACTTAAAATTTCATCTCTCAGATTTCCCTTTTAACTATCCTATCTGATAGAGAATGGTCCGTAGATTAAGACGCTGCGATCAGATCTTATTTATCTCTTTTAGTTTACGAGATATTCGCGATTGAATAAAATTGGCAAAATTTGTAAAATGTCACTTTTTAGCACTTTTAGTCGCGTTTTTCGACCTTTTACTGTGAGAAATAGAATTATTTTATATTTTTATCTGATAGACAATTTTCCAATCTTTCATAATCAACAATTCGTTGGTAGCTATCTCTTTTAGTTTAAGAGATATGAATTTTTGAAAATCGTCGAAAAAAAGTATCAAGCACCCCCCCTTGGCTATTTTTTCTTAAAACTTAAAATTTCATCTCTCAGATTTCCCTTTTAACTATCCTATCTGATAGAGAATGGTCCGTAGATTAAGACGCTGCGATTAGATCTTATTTATCTCTTTTAGTTTGCGAGATATTCGAAATTGAATAAAATGGGCAAAAATTGATAAGTGTCACTTTTTAGCACTTTTAGTCGCGTTTTTCGACCTTTTACTGTAGGAAATATAATTATTTTATATTTTTATCTGATAGGGAATTTTACAATCTTTCATAATCAACAATTCCTTGGTAGCTATCTCTTTTAGTTTAAAAGATATGAATTTTTGAAAATCGTCGAAAAAAAGTATCAAGCACCCCCCCTTGGCAATTTTTTCTAAAGACTTAAAATTTCATCTCTCAGATTTCCCTTTTAACTATCCTATCTGATAGAGATTGGTCCGTAGATTAAGACGCTGCGATCAGATCTTATTTATCTCTTTTAGTTTACGAGATATTCGCGATTGAATAAAATGGGCAAAAATTGCAAAATGTCACTTTTTAGCACTTTTAGTCGCGTTTTTCGACCTTTTACTGTAGAAAATATAATTATTTTATATTTTTATCTGATAGGGAACTTTCCAATCTTTCATAATCAACAATTCGTGGGTTGCTATCTCGTTTAGTTTAAGAGATATTAATTATCAAAAATCGTCGAAAAAAAGTATCAAGCACCCCCCCTTGGCTATTTTTTCTTAACACTCAAAATGTCATCTCTAAGATTTCCCTTTTAACTATCCTATCTCACGGAGATTGGTCCGTAGATTAAGACGCTGCGATCAGATCTTATTTATCTCTTTTAGTTTACGAGATATTCGCGATTGAATAAAATGGGCAAAAATTGCAAAATGTCACTTTTTAGCACTTTTAGTCGCGTTTTTCGACCTTTTACTGTAGAAAATATAATTATTTTATATTTTTATCTGATAGAGAATTTTCCAATCTTTCATAATCAACAATTCGTTGGTAACTATCGGTTTTAGTTTAAGAGATATTAATGATCAAAAATCGTCGAAAAAAAGTATCGGGGGGTGCTTAGCAATTTTTTCTTAAGAATTTAAATTTTATCTCTCGTTTTAACTAGCTTATCTTGTCAAGAATAATCCGTACATTAAGACGCTGCGATCAGATCCTATTTATCTCTTTTAGTTTACGAGATATTCGCGATTAAAATAAATCGTCAAAATTTGATAAATTTCAATTTTTAGCGCTTTCAGTCGCGTTTTTCGACCCTTTACCTCATTAAATTAAATTATTTTTAACTTTTATATGATTGAGAATATTCCATTCTTCTGTAATCAACAATTTTCTGGTTGTTATCTTCTTTAGTTTGGAAGATATTCGTTATCGAAAATCATCGAACACACATGACGAAGCCCATTTTTTCTTCTGAATTATTTTTTGATTTTCTAGATTTCTTAATAATGGAGCTTATCTTGTAGAAAAGTTTAAGAATCATTAAGCTGTGCCGTTCTATCGCGTTTAGTTCTTGAGGAAGTCGAGTAAAATTAGAAGATTTCTTTTATTCGTCGTTGTCATATTCTCATGCCACATCCATTTGCCGCCTGCAGCAGTGTAGTTCAAATCGCATATATGTGTGGTACCAAATGCAATTTGCGCACAAGGTCGCCGTTGATTTTGTGAATTTCTTACTTTTTTATCATAAACTGTCGCGCCGTTGCTTGCGCGGCTACGGCATGTGCTATCGTTGCAGCCAGTTCGTGTCGATCGGTGGTTGGTCCAGACGTGTTTTGAGAAACTCGTATTGTTTATTCGGACTTCTGTTTTTTTTTTTAATTTGCGTTATATTTGATTATCAATCGACTATTTAATTGTAGCTACTAGGCTAATGATATTTATTATTTCCGCGTTTAATGTACATTATTGAACAAAACTGATAGATATTTGATTGCGTTTCGTGTGCATACTTATGCAAGTTACAAGGTTCGGTGTCAGTTGCTAAATAAATCGGATTTAGAATCGCATCCATGTAGATTTATTCATCATTATTCTTGTGTAAGTAACTTTTAACTCAATAATATGAGATATTGTATTTTTTTCTCTAATGTATGATTATATTATTATCAAATCTTATGAAATCTTTCAACTTCTTTTCTTTAAATTACAGCACTTGCTGTTCTTTGGTGACTGATGAATACAACAATTCGTAAGTTTATAATTTAATTATATTTTTCATTCTAATTTACGCGACAAACATTTATTGGCTCAATACGTACCTCAAAATAGCTGCGATACTTTGCTTTTTTTTAGAAATTTTTAACTTCTTCAGTTACTGTAGATGCCCTCGTGGTGAAACATGTATAACCAGTACCGGCGTTAGGGTATGGCGCCAAAGGGCGCCGGACTTTAAGGGGCGCCGACTCGCACTTGGCCGGTCCAAGTGGTCTTACAATAAGTTCGGATTAATTTTATTAGATGCGGAATTTAATTCTGTATCTTCCAGTATCAAAATTTATTGCAAGAAAATTCCGTAACGCGAGTTATATTGATAGTTGTGTGTACACGCCCTTGTACTCGTTGCGCTAGGAATTGTAGTTTTCTTACTATAACACGCGAACGCGGTCTTACTATTGGTTCGGAATAATTTTGTTAGATGCAGAATTTAATTTTGTATCTCCCTATATCAAAATTTATTGCTAGAAAAATCCGTAACGCGAATTATATTGATAGTTGTGTGTATACGCACTTGTACTCGTTGCGCTAGGAATTGTAGTTTTTTTATTATCACACGCGAACCCGGTCTTACTATAAGTTCGGAATAATTTTATTAGATGCGGAAATTAATTCTGTATCTTCCTGAATCGAAATTTATTGCAAGAAAATACCGTAACGCGAGTTATATTGATAGTTGTGTGTTACCGCACTTGTCCTCGTTGCTCTAGGAATTGTAGTTTTTTTATTATAACACGCGAACGCGGCCTTACTATAAGCTCGGAATAATTTTATTAGATGCGTAATTTAATTCTGTATCTTCCAGTATCGAAATTTATTGCAAGAAAATTCCGTAACGCGAGTTATATTGATAGTTGTGTGTATACGCACTTGTACTCGTTGCGCTAGGAATTGTAGTTTTTTTTTTATTGTAACACGCGAACGCGGTCTTCCTATAAGTTCGGGATAATTTTCTTAGATGCGAAATTTAATTCTGTATCTCCCTGTATCGAAATTTATTGCGAGAAAATTCCGTAACGCGAGTTAAATTGATAATTGTGTGTATACGCGGTCTTACAGTAAGTTCGGGATAATTTTATTAGATGCGGAATTTAATTCTGTATCTCCCTGTATCGAAATTTATTGCGAGAAAATTCCGTAACGTGAGTTATATTGATAGTTGTGTGTATACGCATTTGTACTCGTTGCGCAGTACCGGCGTTAGGGCATGGCGCGGTTGGACGACCGCCCAGGGGCGCCGGACTTTAAGGGGCGCCGCTTCGATATGCTAATTTTTGGTTGTTTTATGTGTAGCAGGCGGACGAAATGTTTAAGACAACGGTCCTATTATAATATTGTAAGTATAGAAATTGTTTTTTATTTTTGTAAATAATTTTCATGTTTCATACATTGAAATGTAAATTAAATCAGTTATTTTAAATATTAGCAAACGCATTACAGATTTCGTAGTAATTTATTTCGAGTTCGCGGTCCCAAAACTAGATGGCGGCACAATCAGGATATCTAATATATTTAGTTCCGTCACACCTAGATGGCGCTAGTGTCAGCTATTTATTTTGATTTGTGGCGCCACGGCCAGATGGCGCTTCCGTCGATTTGGTTTGAAATCCTACTTCATTTTTGTTTAGTTTTTGGTGCATAAAGTTGCGGTGCGCATGTCACTTTTATACATAACTTTTAAGTTTAACAAAACGAAAAATTAATAAAGTTTGATTTTTGCTCGCTTTAATTTTCGGTTGCTTTAGGTGTCTTGCGGGCGAACGCGATGTCGTAGAACCACCATTCTTTCACAAGTATTCAAATTGTATACCAGTGTTATATACATTATTTGTGTTTAATACTAGCGGAATCCACAAATGTCGTATTTTTCCACAGTACGTTTACTAAAATCCTTTCTTCCAAATAATGTTGTTTGTAAGCTGATAACTTTATTTTATAACTTGCAATATATTTGTAATAGCATTTTTATCGTGCGCAGGTAGAAGAATGCCCCTCCAACTGCGGATCGGTTATCAATTCTCTTACCCGCTTAGTCCGACTTAGTCAGTTGAGCGCTGCCTCGTGGTGCGCACGTGTTTTATTCATTAATCAAACAAGGTGACGATTTTACGCGTTTCTTAATATGTTAATTCTGTAGTAATACTAGAATCGGTTGACCATCAGAGAAATTTAGTAGTAACAGCTCAGTGTAGCTCACAACGAGTGATTTGAGTAATCCTTTGCGGTGCGTGCGTGGCGTCCGTCGGTGGCTATGTGTTTGATGTGAGTACAAGTTTTCCATTTGTGATATCCGCGTGGAATAGTAACGAAGTGCGTATCATCAATTCAACTTACAATTTGCGGAAACGTGTTTGTGCGCTTTAGTACTTTACGGATAGAAGAACAAAGGAGTAAGTAACATCAAGTAGAATTTTACTTTTATTTAACTTTTTAAATCTTACAGGCACCATATTATTGCTTTATAATAATTGTAAATAATTCAGTCAATAAAGGATAATTTAATTTCACATTCTTGTTTAGATGTGTCCCTTCTTAGTCGTTTTCAGGATTAGCATTAAGTCATGTTCAACTCTAAGAGTATACCATAGTACGGCATAGTATAGTGCGGTATAGTATATGTATGTTGTTGTTTTATTTTATCATAAGATATGAACACATAAATAGAAGAAACGAATAATATTTGATAAGAAAGCCGCGTGGCTCTCAGGTGTGCAGCACATGCTGCTATACCCTAGATCGATAGTTCGATCCCCAGTTATAGAAGGCATTTTTCTCAAATATAAAAATAACAGGTGTAATTTGGGTTGCATATATGAATTGCAACGAAATATAAGAGAAGTTGCAATACAAGTAAAGGCAATAAGAGAAGTAAGAATGTAAGTCGAGAAACGGAGAACAGAGAAATAGGAGAAGTAGAAGAAGGAATAGCAGAGAAGAAGAGTAGAAGACAGAAGGAAGAGAAACAGAGTAGAGAAGAGGAGGAGATAGCAGAAACAGGAGTGGATCTGATTTTTAAATTTTTTGGCACGTGTCGTTATAAGACAGTCACAGGTCGATCTCCCAGAGCGCCTGAGGCCCACTGCTTCGATGTGTCCATTGCTCCCGGCCCAACCTACAGCTACGATGTCTCTGCGCTTCATCCCCGAAATTATCAGGCATATCAACAATTTTTATGGTGGGGGATCACCCCTAAAGAGAGGGAACTCCTTATAAGGACAATCCTTATAAGGTCTTGTTCAAATATTTCAAGTTTTAAGTCGCCTCAAGAGAGGTGACACTTAAAAATATTCTTACAAGTTCTGACCTGTAACTGAAATGAAAGAAGGAGTTCACAAATCATACAGGTTACCTTAACAATATTTATAGAGGGGATCATCCCCTGAGAGAGGGAACTCTCTTAGAGACCTGTTCCTGAAATGATAGTAGGCGAACACACAAATCAAAGAAGTCAATATATCTTACTATTTCTTTATTAATAGAATACAAGTTTAGATTTTACAAGTCAACAGAATACATGCCGCCATATTGAGACAGGACTTACGAGCTGCATAGCCGCGCACATATAAGCTAGTACCACGTCGTACAGTTCTGCCGGGATAAAGAAATTAGCAAATAGTCCATTTTCTAGGTGATGGAAAATGGGAACAAATATACTGGGTGTTACAAATAAAAAAATTAATATTAAAACAGAAAATCATTTAAACACTACAAATTTTGCTCGTTTTTCACTCGAGGCTTCGGGAAACTGATATACAGGGTGTCACAAAAAGAAAATAACTTCACTTTAGAATATACGTCAACGGCAAACTTTTAAACACTACAAATATGGCTATTTTTTCACGTGACATAAAGGAAAATTGATATACAGGGTGTTCTAAAAAGAAAATTCATAGATCGAAACGAGACACTCCAAAACAACAAATACAGCTCATTTATGCATGGATGACAAGCAAATTAAGATACAGAGTGCCTCAAACAGATATTTGCAACTTGCAATTAAGAAACAACCAAAACCTACAAGTTTAGCTTATGTTCACGCAATGAAAAGGAATGCACAGATTGTTAGAGAAAGAAAATCCAAAGTTCAAGAAAGACAAGGACCAAAACTAGAGAGACAATCTATTTTTCACGTAATACCAGGATACATAAATGGGCAGGATGTTATACAAAGAAAACAATTTATAATAAAATGTAATATATTTTTAATAGTCCCGCTGAGATGCTAGCCGACGGTCGACGGGTCGCAATAAATTTACACTAAGACACGTTAATTGTTGATGAAATGCAAATAGATTTAGCAAATTAATGCTACGGTTTATTAGTGTTACGCGTAATGGAAACAAAGATTCGCGATTGATTATCTTGTTTTGTTGGAGAAAACTTGTGACACAAACCGTGTTGGAAACGACAATTTCCTGATTAATTTTACTTACATGGCTATATTTGCTAATTGAGAACCAACAAGTTCTATTCCAAAATTGAGTTCTGTATAATTCCACAGGTGAAAAATAATCAGAGACGGCCGACGGAACCACACGCGAGCACAAATGAACTAACGATGAATCTGCGATTGATGCACATTTAACGCGTGCAATCGTACTAGCAAAACTCCGGATCACGCCCGATTCCTATATATGCCGTTAATTGTTTGTGGAATATAAACCGATATACCTATTTATGATCGGACGAAACAGAACTAGTTGTGATGAACACGCCCGATTTATCCGGCGTTCGAAATAAAACTGCAGCGTGCCCAGTACACGGCGACAACACGCGGTCACTATCAGTTTGCAATATGCTTGGTGAACGCGACCCTGGAGATAGGTTGTTTCATTTTGCATGTTGGCTGCGCGCAACTCAAAACAATGTTTATTCACTATTACTAATAAAGGCAGGATGTCATGAATAATAAAATAAGTAAAAATGTTATAAACAGGAATACAAAGAATAACAACTAGATTCTAGAAGACAATCTAAAATTGCAGGAAGAGATCTTCCTAAACTTCCAAAAAATCAACAAATTTTTGGATAATGTATCTTACCAAAGTATTTGACAGCGGAACTCGAAAAGCAATTACTGAAGCAGATTCCGAATATTTCGAATTCGAATTTCGAATATTTTCAATTTGTTTCGTTCTACCGCTTTTAGTCAATGAGAAAATAACAACTGAAATATTCATAAACACGAGTCTTATTTTCTCGATTTTTGTATGGTATCTAATAAAAAATTTCCCGTAGATTAAGAATTTGCAATTCATACTTTTCTATCGCGTTTAGTTTACAATATCGCGGAAAATGACAGTTCATTATGTTTAATTCGTCGCAGAAAGACAATACATGACAACCCACATCTTCTCGACAATATGGAAACTTACTTGGCAAGGCACTTGCACCGCAGTATGTGTAGCTGAATATCTAGTTGAATATATGTATATTCCATAATGAAGTTAGCACATGCACCGGCGGAAACAGTATACAAAACTATTAATTCACTCTAAATACCATTAAGTATTTGATCCGATACAGCGCGAATCACCAAATTAGCCGTCCGACGGCTAGAATAAAACTATTTACCTAATATCGCCGTTGATGTCAGCAGCGTGCAGAGTACTGTTTGCCTCAGGTAACATTGCGCGGAGCAACACACACAAACATATATGATAACACGCAACTGCAAAAAACGAAAACAAGTCTTGAATGTATGTGTACACAAGCCAAATTCAATAAAATCAAACGTAAACATTAAACAAATAACTGAAAACTTGTCGCAATATCTCCTTTCACTACTTCTATTATTTTTTAAAAATTATTTTATATTCCAATCTAATAGAGAATTTTCCACTCTTTCATAATCTGCAATTCATTTGGATTATAGCGCTTTTAGTTTAGAAGATATTCACTATCAAAAAACGTCGAAAAAATTATCAAGCACCCTCCCTTGTCCATTTTTTCTTATGAATTAAAATTTCATCTCTTAGATATCCAATTTAACTAGCTTATTTGATAGAGAATTGTCCATAGATTAAGACTCTGCGATTCGTTCCTTTCTATCGTTTTAGTTTACGAGATATTCGCAATTGTAAAAAGTCGTCAAATTTGAAAAATTTCAATTTTTAGCACTTTTAATCACAGTTTTTCGCCCTATTCGCAGTTATTCGAATAACAAATACATCACATTTGATGCTTCGGTACGAGCCTGCCTGAGCTTTATTTAATTGTTTACTTACCAGTCGTCTTCGACACATCTACGGCAAGTACTGTAACAAAATAATACTATGTAAAACATTTTGCACGACACTACATATCAAGTACCTTTAGGTAAAAACATCTATTAAACATGATTTATACACATTGAATGATATGTCTTACTTACGGAGTAACATGTGCGCCCGACATAGTCTGAAATCCAAGACATCCGACATCCGAGAGAATAATTTCACGTTTTCTAACATTTTGCGCACTATAACAACACATTCACTATTATTACAAGGCAACTTGGAACATGACAACTCGCGAAATAAATATACTCGTACACAGTAATCGACCAGAGCACATACTAGCAATTTCTACTCGTCGCAGGTATGTTTCGGCGACGGCGAAAGTCATTCGCAACTGCGCGAGTGGAAGACACTTAAGTTTCTTGCAGCGTGTGAGTTCCAACGGCATACTGTCTCAAGGACGTAAACAAATAAATAAAACAGATAAAAACAAAACCTGCTGCACCACGTCGCGTAATCTCACACTGAATTATGTGCATTCTAACGCCAGCTAGGCTTGATTTATAGAATTATAAGCACCCGGTCTGGTATTGCTGAGTACAGCGCCGTCTAATCGTAAATAAACTGTAGCCGCGTTATTTGAATTTATACTCCATCTTCACATTCACATTCTTAATACTACGGGTGTAAAGAATTTAAAATGAACCGAAATTTGCAATAAGTGACAAAACACATTTATAAATCGCCATATAAAACAACCACTATATTTTACTGGAAAAGAAACATACATCTTTGATCCCCCGAAATTTATAATTATGTGTTGTTGCGCGCGCAGCAATCAATTATTATGAGGCCGGATACACACAATAAGTACAATTAATTTACTAAACTCGATCGTTTCACATGATTGTACGTGACATGTAACACATCGCTCATAATAACAGATTTATTTACATGTTTGCTGTTTGGCGGCCATTTTATGCAAAAAAGACGCGCTGTAGTTGTTTTTTCCCTTTCGTTTTACATGGACGGTCCTCCCTCTGCGACATTGACATCGATTTGAAGATATGACATTGATAAAATATAGAGCCAACTATTTAACAATTATTAAATATATATGCATAGATACAACTAATATTATATAAAACAAAATAAACAAATTATTCCACTTTTTTTCAACCAACGAGTCGCGTAAAATTTAAAAAGTATTTATATCATTAGAATTAAAAAACTGTTTTAGGTTTATTGGAATGTAATGCAGTCTCTCCAAACAAGTAGAGTTTTTGTCCCGAATGTTTTTGTGTTGTTAGCTTTGTTCGCTCATCCCTGCTATTATTGTATTCATTAATATATTACACACTAAATTTATAACGCTATATTTACATAATCTTACATTATGGAAGAATTGCTGTTGGATTCTCTCGTTCGTGTCGCGCTTTCTCACTGCGTGCTTCATGCTTTCTTTGAAATGGCACTTTGGTTATTATTTTCCATTGTAAGTTAAAGAAAAGCTGATATATCTGTTCCGGGTGTCTGATATTAAGTTGCACACTCTGGCAATTTTTTAGTAAATGTTCACAAGCACACCAATAACTCGTTATAAAAATAATTTCTCATCTTCTACTCAATCCGCACCCTTCATCAACGTCATCGTTAGCATCAAAGTATTGCATTTATCATAATCGCTGCGAGTTTTAAAGAGACGCAGTTTTCTCTCTTGATATAATCGCGTCTTTGTTTTGGTATCAAACTCAAATATCTTTGCATAAAAATATAAATTGTCTATATGATATCCTCCAGATACGTAATCGTAAAATTTAAACATAATTAGGAATTCGCTTACTTACTTAATTACTTAATCATTCTTCAATAGAGTGGTCACAACAAAATTTAGATTTAGATTTTAGTTAATTATATAAAAAAGATGAACGAGCATCGTTTTTCTTGTTTTTTTTTTGTTCACTTTTTCGCATAATGCGTGAGTAGAAACTTGTATAAATAGCTCAGCGTCGGTAGGTCGTACTTGAGCCGATATCAGCAGTCCTCCTCGACAAGTTTCTGCGTATCTTTGCCGGTGTCATGTGCCGGATCCAGCTCGCGATGCCGGATGTTAATTTGCGGCGAAGAGCGGTGGATGACGCTCGACGGCGCCAAGATGGCGCTTGGTGGTTCCGTAAACGTATCGGATTTTGATTTTGTCACATCTACTGGTACTTCATATAAAGCTGAAAATTATAAGCAAGTTACATATTTCTGTTTTCTTTTTTCGTTAATCATATTTTACCTGAACTACCATTACCAGTGGAATCTGGGTTACCACCTTGAACCGCGTCATACATGGGATTGTGGAAGTCCCTGTTTTTATTGCCGACTGGATCTAGCGTATATGCAACATCCATCGGCTCTACCGAACTTCCATTACTACCTCCAAAGGTATTAGGTCCAAATTCCACATTGGTACCCTGTCGGAATGACACGGTCTGACTGCTGGACAAACTACCTAAACTTCCCTTTCCACTATAACAATAAAAAGTATGTAAAATCTTGATGGTTCGTGATTTAAAATATACATACAATGGTCTCTTTCTGATAAAGAACCAAACGCCAGTAGCAGCACCAACAACTAACAAGATAACCACTATTGGAATGATGATGGCGGCTGTGTTACCTCCGCCGCTGAATCTGCTATGTGCTGTATGCACATCGCAATTAGTACCACTGAAGTCCTCTTGGCATTCGCACATCAATTTATTGGTGTCGGTTTCCCTGCATACACCGCCATTTTGACACTCACAGATTCTGGGTAATGGTCTTGGGCGTTCGGCCGCCGCGTCACATAATATCTCAGCTTTTCCGCGATGCGCTGGCACTTGTGGCGTATCTGGGCAAGAACATCTATGACCACTCGGTACCAACAAACAAAGATGTGAACATTTGTTATCCATGCATGGATTTGAAATTGTTTTGTTATATCTTAAATTGTGATAGACTTTCACACCGGATGGATTCACCAGGTCTCTTTGAATGATAACAGGTACACCACGACCAAATTTATCTTGACGTAATAATTCGCCAGTGTCTCTTGTGACCCAATATAGACTGGACTCAAACACATCCAACGATATAGGATGTTTTAATACTTCTCCCTTCAAGATGGTCTTTCGGTTAGATCCGTCGTATTTCATTGTTTCAATAGTATTCAATTTTGTGTCAACCCAGTATAACGTATGGTCCATAGAGTAATCGATAGACAATCCGGTCGGGTGTCGGATATTCTCCGTAATCAAAGGTCTTCGTTTTGAGCCATCCATCCAGGACACTTCAATTTTAGGTGCGGAGCCAGAATCCGACCAGAACATTCTTCCTAATTGTGGATCAACGACCAGCGAGCTTGGACTTTCAAGCCCTACGTTGACTACAGCTCTTCGGTAACGTCCATCTGTCTTGGCAACCATAACACGTCCCTTAGGTTTGGATCCAGCACGGTCTATCTCAGTCCAGTATAAATTATCTCCGATCCAATCAATCGCGACCGCAGTAGGCTTACTATTTCCTTTCATGTTCAAATCTTGCGCAAATCCTGTTTTGACCTGTCCATTCAATGCGTTGACCATGTACGACCTCTTGATGGTTTTATCATAGCTATCCGCCCAGAAGATTATGCTTGAATCGGGGTTGTAATCTAAAGCTTCAATGCGTTTCTCCTCACTGATGACATCAATTTCGTCTTGGTCACGGAGAGTATAAGCACGGATCTCAGGGCCATTAGCAAACAACAGAGTCACTTCACTTTCCTCGGCCTTACAAACACCGGAAAGACCATCACTTAACTGGAATCCGGCCTTGCACGAACAACCATAGGTGCCGTTCAAATTACTGCACGTTTGTGAGCAGTGGTGTGTTCCTGTAGCGCATTCGTCCACATCTTGGCATTTCTTTCTATTTTCTTTTGAGATTATGTAACCTGAGCGGCACACACAGATATATCCGCCGTCAGTAAGGTTCATGCATTGATGATCGCAACCACCTCGGTTGCTATCTAAGCAAACACTGTTATGATGGCAACCAAGTTCGTCTGAACCGTCTCCACAATCATCCGCAAAATCACATACCTGCGCTCTATCGATACATTTCTTATTAGCACATTGGTATTCTACTTGGCCGTTGCACGGTTTGTGTTTAGTGGCGCATAAAGTCATGTTGTTTTCATCTGAGCCATCACCACAATTATCAACACCATCACAAAGTTGGTACCTGGGTACGCATCGGTGGTTAGCACATTGGAATCGCCGTAGAGTATCGCAATTAAAATCCGTACACAATGAGTGCGCTTCATCGGATCCGTCACCGCAATCATCAGCACCATCACAAAGATCTGCTTGACTGATGCAAAGATGGTTATCACACTGGAACCGTGATTCCGGACAATAACGACCGCCTGGGTATCTTGGAGGACAATTCATTTCATCAGACATATCGCGGCAATCGCGGTCACCATCACACCGGAAGTAAGAGGCAATGCAATGTCCTGATGAACACTGGAAGGTCCTGTTCTTGCATTGGTAACCACTGCAGCCCATTTCATCGGTGTTATCGCCACAATCATCTTCATGATCGCAGCGCCAGCGGTTTGATATACACTTTCCATTTTTACATCTAAACTCAGATTCAGAACATTCGCGGTAACTTCCTTTACATAAAGCTTCTGTTTCATCAGAGCCGTCACCACAATCATCAGCAAAATCGCAAGTCCATTGTTTTGGCACACAACGATTATTCGCGCATTTGAAGTCCGTGTCTGAGTTGCAACTGGGACAGTATTGTGGTAATTCATCAGAACCATCCCTACAATCGTCTTTACCGTCACAGAACAACCACTTTGGAATACACCTGTAGTTAGACCTGCCTGGGCAACGTTGCCATCCTGTTGTACAGTTCTTTTGTCGGCAGATGTAAGCAGGTTCATCGGAATCGTCCCCACAATCATTGTCAAAGTCACACATCCACAACTTTGGAATGCAGCGTCCATTTTTGCAAGAGAATTCGGTATCGGGATCACAGGCTCTTTTATGACATATGCTTGGGTCTTCATCGCTGCCATCTTTGCAATCCGCATCACCATCGCATTTCCATGAGTCCAATATACACCTGCCGTTCGACCGACATTTAAATTCAAGCTCGGGGCAGGGCATGTTACAATTTTGTTCATCAGAGCCATCACCGCAATCGTCGGTACCATCGCAGATCGTTGCCGAGGGAGTACAATTACCGTTTTTACATTGGAATGTTCCTGCGCGACATTGTCGAGGTGGGCAGGTTGCAGGTTCGTCCGATCCATCTTTGCAGTCTTTTTCACCATCACACTGCCAGAACCACGGAATGCACTTCTCGTCGTGGCCACCACAGGTCCATTGACCTTGGGTGCAGTTGGCGATGCAGGTCTTTTGGTCGTTAGCTAAGTAGAACTGATTGGGGCATACGCATTTATATCCAGTGGCTCCTTCGTCACCATATCCGTCAATGTTAAGATAACTGGATGCTAGCGGTGGTGAAATTAAGCATAAATGCGAACATCCGCCATTGTTGGTACCGCATGGATTAGTATATGGCAACTGCCGTAAACTGTGGTAAATGTGAATGTCATACGGTCTATGCGTTGTGTTCCTGATAACGGTCAAATCCTTGCCTGTGAACTTATTCGCGCGGCTAATTGCCTTCAAATTCCAATCAGTCCAATATACATAATCATCAAATAATGACAGCGCAAATACATGAGGCACACTGTCTCCGGAGAGTACGATATGTCTGTGACGGCCTTCTAAATCAGCAAATGCAATATAATCTAAATGAGCATCAGCCCAGTATACTCTATCAGTGAAATAATCGATCGTCAATGCGTTTGGCCAAGCAATATCATCCTCCCACGTTAAGATTCTCGTAAAATTTGATCCATCCATACCAATCTTTCCAATATAAGCTTGGAGATGCCACGACGCAAAGTACAAATATCCTGTGCCAGGATGCACAACTAGTGCTCTCGGATCAGGTATACCAGTTTTTAAGGTTTTGCGTTTCGTGCCATCCAGTTCCGCTACATCCAGATTCTTCGAATGTCTATCCAACCAGTATAATTTTCGTCCAATCCAATCAACAGCTATTCCTTCTAAACCATGGGAGTCATGACGAATGACTGGTTCCTTCTCTCCAGTTCCACCTATATTCGACCTAAATATTGTTTTAGCCGTCACATCGGCAAAGTAAAGTTTCTGATCTTGATAATCGTAATCAATGGCGACAACGTTAAGTAAATCTTGGTGCATGAGGTTGTAAACAGACGCGTCAACAGACATATTGCGAATGTAGTATTTGTTGGTAAAGATCAACCAGGGTTCGGTTTTGTCTTTTCGTTTGCAAGTATGCTCATCCAGTTGACGGTCGTAGTATTGGTCGTTGCATTTACAGTAGTAGCCGCCTGGAGTATTGGAACAGTATTGAGAACACACACCAGGAGTTTCTATACATTCGTCTATATCGATACAGGCTTTATTGTCGTTGAGCAGTCTACAATTATAATAAGAAATTAGTGTTTGAAGTTAATTAATAAATTAAGATTAGAGGAACATACTTATATCCTTGGTTGCATTCACAGTAGAAACCAGTGGGTGTATCCACGCACTTGTGGCCACATTGGTGGATCTCCACTTTGGCACATTCGTCAACATTACAATGGGCAGGTTCGTCAGATTCATCGGCGCAATCTGGAACTTTGTTACACACAAGTTGATAGTCAATACATTGCCCATTGTTACATGTGAATTCTCCTGGAGTTTTGCAGGTGCTATTATCTTTTTCTGAAATAACACAGTTAATCAAACTAATTTTTGATGTTTCATAAAAACTTACTGCATCCAACTTCATCTGAATGATCACCACAATCATCCTCCCCATCGCATCTGTACTGCTTGCGAATACACTTAAAGTTCTGACAGCTAAACTCCAAAGACGAGCAAGTTTTGTATTTAGAGTTGCACTCTTTACCCTCGTCAGTACCATCACCACAATCATTGTCATGATCACACAGCCAACCTTTGTTGATGCAGCGCCCATTCGCACAAGTAAATTGATCTTCTGAGCAGGGCGACGGTGTGGCACAACTGTGCAGCGTAGAGTTCTCATCAGCGCCATCGACACAATCTGGATCACCGTCGCAGAGCCATTTTCGAGGAATGCACTGCGCCCTGCCCCACGCTTTATTCGCTTCGCATGTGAATTCAGTTTCGTCATCACACCGTCGGTCATTGCACTGATGACGACTATCTTCATCACTGTTATCTACGCAATCATTATCACCGTCGCAGATGTAAATTCGTGGAATGCAATTGCCGTTGTCACAAGTAAACAGGTCCCCGAAACAAGTGCGACCTTCACTCTTGCAGTATTCTGGGGGTTCATCGGCACCGTCCCCACAATCATCGTCACCATCGCAATACCAAGTTGCAGGAATGCAACGATGGTTCGGGCATCGGAAACTATTTTGTGGACAAGTTCTTTGCGCACAGTGTAGAGGGTTTTCATCAGAATTATCACCACAGTCATTATCACCATCGCACAGCCAGTAAGGTTCTACGCAAATATTGGTCTTCTCGCATTTAAGATGGTTCACAGGACACGTAGTATTTTGCGGGCAACGTTCGTGGGTTTCATCAGAAGTCACGTTATCCTTGCAATCGTTGATACCGTTGCAGACTTGTGTCATCGGAATACATCTGTGATTGGCACACGTAAATTCACCATTCGCACATGGGGGATATTCGCAGTCCACCTCATCGGAACCATCTTTGCAGTCGTTCTCATGATCACATTTCCACGATTTGAATATGCATCGGCCATTGTTGCAGCGGAATTCATTGGGAGAACATGAATGGAATGCTATATAAGAACATTACAAATAGTGTTGGTATATTTTTGGAAAATTCTGCAATTAAATACTTACAGCAATAATTAGTGTCTTCATCACTGTTGTCCCCACAATCATCCTCTCCATCGCAGGACCACATGCGGCTAATACACTTCCCGTTGGCGCAGTAGAACTTGCTCGAGTCACAGGTGTTGTTCTTGGGAACACACATCCTTCCCTCATTGACGAGTTTAGTGTTATCATCACACTTGCACTCAGAAGTTCCATTAATACCAGGATGACAACTCTTCGCACAACCGCCATTATTAATATGGCACGGGTTTACCTTACACGCTTGCCTCAGAGTTGAAAACACTTGAATGTCCCTGGGACTATCCTCTAATCTCTTGACCATTTCAATCATATTTGCACCTGTATGTTTTTCAGCCCGATAGACACCTCTAAGCTGCAAGTCGGTCCAGTAAATATAATTTCCACTCACGGTGATCGAAAACGGATAAATCGTTGCTGAAATAAGCACTTTTCGATTGTTACCATTCAAATCGGAACGTTCAATTTTCTCTCTAACCGCATCGGTCCAATATAGCATGTTATCATCATAATCTATAGCAAGACCAGAGGGTTGCGCTAAGTTTTTATCTACGATGACCTTCTTAAGTGAGCCAGCCATGGTTGTGCGGAAGATTTTGCCCGATGTACCAAATTTGCCCCAGTCAGTGTAGAAAAGAGTTCCGTTACAAGGGTCAATCACAATGGCGCGTGGTCTCTCCACTCGCAATCATTACCAAATCAGATCCATCAAGATTCATCGCGTAGATGCTATGATTCGAAGAATCGGTCCAATAAACCTTCTTTGCGTCCAGTCATAAGCAATTCCTCGGGGTTGATTCCCTTTGAGATAATGTTCGTGATGGAATCAACTGATGGTGATTTTGCTGGCATTGTAGCAATTCTTGCCCAGGGACGAATTTGTGTGAAAAGAATAGTTTGATCAGCATGGTCAAAATCAATGCCCACAACATTGGTCAAATTAGAAATGGATTTGAAAGGAACTGATGTTTGTTTAGGGTCAAGACCAATGGCACGAATTTCAGTGCGTGTTGAGAACACGAGATATTCATCAAAGAATTCGCAGCGTTTACCGTCAGCAGCCAGTCTACCGGTAGCACAGTCACATTTATAATTCATCGGGTTGTTAAGTGTTGATACATCAGGAGGGAACGAAAAACATAGTTGATCACATCCGCCATTACCCAATTTATAACACGGGTTGGTATCATCAGATGGCTGATTTGTTATATCGAATATAGCAATATCTCTCAACTTTTGAAGATTGGTTCGTACTTTGGTCGGCAGAGTAGTGTTTCCAACCAGTTTGGATGCTTTGAATATGGTCTGCAGATTACGATCCACCCAATAGACGTCACCCATGTGTACTGCGATACCCATAGCATTAGGCAGATTTCTTCGAATGACTTGTCGTGAACCTCCTGTCCAGCTTATCTTTTGAATCATATCTAGTTTAGAATCCACCCAGTAGACATCGTGTGTCAACATGTCGACGGTTAAATCTCGTGGGTTACTAATACCTGAGGTGACCAATGGTTGCCAATTGGAACCATCCAAGTTGGCTTTACCAATACGCGGGTATTGTCCATAATCAATCCAATAAAGCATACGTTTCAACGGATTCACAGCCAGTTCTCTCGGCGAATCTGTTGTTGTCTTAACCAGTACCTTTCTGTTAGATCCGTCCAACCACGAAACTTCCAGATAGTTCTCATGTGGGAAAACATTTGTAAAGTAGAGGTTACCAGCAATCCAGTCAATTGTAATTCCACGGATACCATTGCTTCCAATACCATCCCGAATAATGGGTTGCAATTCGCTGCCATTGGGTCTAATACGAAAGATACCATTCCAAGTACCTCTGTTGAACTCAACCCAGTAGATCCAGTTATCAGCAAAATGTATATCCGTATGTAAGATATGATGTCCCTGTCCTGAAATGGGTACCATCGCTTCAGCGCTGTCCTTAAGGCTGTAACCTCTAGCCATATCTAATTGTGCAACTACCGCAAAGGTCTTATATGCCACGCAGTTTATGTCATCTTCTTTCTTGTAGCCGATATTGCAAGCGCAGTTCCTGTGTCGGTTTGGAGCTGGTAAACAAATGTGACTGCAACCGCCATTGTTTTGCAGACAAGGATGGTCCACTAAAGATCGTTTCTTGAAAATCGTAAAGGTCTTAAGATCAGCTTCATTCTCGATGATAATACGTTCGTTGTTGCCTTGTGGTAGGTCAACCCTAGCCAACTTTTCATAAGACGAATCTAAATAATACAGGCGACTATCCAAAACTGCGAGCGCTTTGGGTTTATAGATGTCATTCTGCTCTGCAAGCAGTACGCGGGCGTCTCTTCCGGTTGTATCCATCACCCAGACCGCTGCAGGATGGGGGGTACTAACGTACAACATTTTCTTTTCGATGTCCATCGTGATCGATTCAGGGTAGGGCATTTCTTTAAGGATCATCGGATTAGAACCGTCCATGTTGACACGTGCCACTTTTTGCGGCACACCGTGACCACCAGCATCAGTCCAAAACACCATTCCTTCCGTGGGATCAACACACATGCCTTTTGGTGACGCAATAGATGTATTTATTCCATCGTTGGACATTATTATTGAACGGTATTTAAGTTTACCATCAACTTTTATAACTTCAAGATTGCCAGCCATACGGTTGCCGATAAAGAGATTGCGACCGAGCCAATCAAAGGCAATGACAGATGCGGATCCAACCATACCGGAGTTCGCACTTAGGAATTGCGTCTTGTTACCGCCTCCGTAAGGTGTAGTGAAAATGGTGCAATTTTCATCATCATCTTGTTTTCCTTCAATCCAATAGATCGAATCGGTTTTCCTATCGTAATCTATTTGGATACCATTTTCAATTCCAACTATAGCAGTAAGGAATCCGGTGGTGACATCACCTGGTGTCAGAGAGACGTCAATGATCTGGGTACCTTTCATTACCATCAGGAACGCCGACTCTTCCTCGATGCAACGACCATCACTGGCCGAACGATAACCAGCTTTGCATTTGCACGTGTAACCATTCTGGGCACTTGGTGACAGTAAACAAATATGTTGGCACGGGGCATTGGCACAGGAATTTTCTGATATGGGTTGCAAGGATGGGTGGTGTACGTGAATACTCAAAGGTTGCGATATTAAATGCGAGACCACTGTTTGATTATTACCCTTGAACTTGTGTGCTGATAATACCCTGTTAAGTTGTCGATCAGTCCAGTATAGCGTGTCTTCAAAAGGGTTAATGAATGAGGATGTAGAAGGTAATGGCTTCCAGCAAGAACTTGTTGGCGTCCACTGCCGTTATAGTAGCAGAAATCAATAAAGTCAAGTTTTGAATCAGCGAAATAAACGCGTTGATTTGCAGTGTCAAGAGTTAATCCGTTAGGCCAGTAGATTTTCGTGTTAATAATGGTAGAGCGGTTAGTGCCGTCCATACCAATACGTTCAATACGTGGATTCTCTCCCCAATCAGTCCAGAACATCCACCGAGCACCAGGACTCGGATCCAAACACATACCACGTGGTTGAGTGATGTTCTCCTTAACAAGAACAATACGATTTGTACCATTTTCCTTTGCAACTTCGATCGTATTAAGTTTCGAGTCCAACCAGTAGATGTTACCACCAACCCAGTCATAGGCCAATCCTTCAACAAGATCCAACCCAGTATTAATTACGTCAATCGGGTCAAAACCGCGATCTAATCGTGATATTTTCTTCAGTTTCATATCCGACCAGAAAATGGTACCCGTGTGCATGTTAGACGCGGTCGCCACCACGTTTTCAACTATCAATGGAACTCTTTCCAGAGCTTGTTCGTTGAGGTCAGCAACCAAGATGGAATGTCTATTTGAGATGATCAAGAATGCCGCACTGTGATCTAGATTAAGATTTAGAATACATTAATAAACTAATAAATTCTAGCATTATTATTATTTTAATTAAACTTACTGAATGCTTTGCATGAATGTTTATCGGGTTCCAGAATGTACCCGCCGGTGCATCCGCAGAAGTATGATCCCTTGGTGTTGGTACAAGTCTGAGAACACAAACCCGCTGGAATGCACTCGTTAATATCTTCACAATTATAACCATCCTTGCTAAGTTGTTCACCAGGCGGACACAGACAAAGCGGGCCCTATAAATCCATCAACATGGCGTGTTAAAACATTATTCGAAGTGCATCCGCCATTATGTGTACTCACCGTCGGCGTTTGTTTACAACCGTTCGAACATAATCCGCCTTGATGGTCGCACTCAGACAAATCGCAATCGGATCCTTCGTCCGCTTCATTGGGACACTGTGGTTTGCCGTCGCATACATTGGTGAGATTAACACAGGTTTCCGTGATGCCTGGGCACGCCCATTGGCCAGTGGGACAACGGAACGGTGGTCGGGTGCAAGCGTGTTCATGTCCTTCATCGGAATTGTCACCGCAATCGTCCTTGCCGTCACAAACGTACGCCTTGAAGACACATTTGTTATTGTTGCACTTGTAGAAATTCGCTGGGCAATAAATCTCTCCGCACGATGAGGGTTCGTCCGATCTGTCATCGCAATCAGGAGTTCCGTCACAATGCCAGGATTTAGGAATACAGATTCCAGATGATTCACATTTAAATTGTTTTTCTTGATTGCATTGATCAGGGGCAATTGATGCTGAATAAAATTAAAAATTTAGTAAAATTAAAAAATAATAATTATAATTTGAAGTAATAAACTTACGACATCCCAATTCGTCACTCCCATCATTACAATCAGGAATTCCATCACATTTGTAAGATTCTTGCACGCATTGCCGTAAATCAGCACATTTAAATTGACTAGCCAGACATGTAATGGGCGGGCAATCCTTTTCGTCTTGTTTGTCAAAGCAATCGTCGTCACCGTCACAAACCCAACTCTATAATGACATAATTAAAAGATTTTCAATTTTAAATCAGGGCAAAACGTACCTGTGGAATACAATGCCCTGTGCGAGGACATGTAAATTGATAATATGCGCAAGTCTTTTCCGCGCAGGAATCCCCCTCGTCAGAAGCGTCCCCACAATCGTTTTCAGCATCGCATTTCCACGTGTTCGGAATACACCTGCCATTGTCGCATTGGAACTGAGTGGAACTGCAGGTTACATTAACACAGCCCGTTTCATCACTAAAGTCGCCACAGTCATTCTCCGCATCGCACTTAAACGTCATCGGAATACAACGACCTGATTTGCATTGGAATTCATTACTACCGCACGTTGGTTTAGTGCAATTTTGTTCTTCGTCGCTATTATCCAAGCAATCGTTGTCGCCATCGCACACCCACGATTTCGGAATGCATCTTTGATTGTTGCAAGTAAAGTCCCACGCGTTCGGACACGCCTGCACAGGTGGTTCAGAGTTAGGATCAGCTTGGCAAGTCTTGTCGTCACCATTCAATCTTTCTCCATATGGGCAACCACATTGGGCAATCAAACCGTTACCGATTTTATTAGGCATCGCGAAACACAGTTTCTGACAACCACCATTATTAATACGGCAGGGTTGAATTGGATCCACTTTTTGTTCACCTTCACTGTAGATTTTCACACCGTAAAGACGATTGGTTTGTGGTTCTTTCACTAAAGTCTCTTCATGGTCTCCAGTGATTTTGTGCAGTTTTATAATGGCGTCCAATCTCCAATCAGTAATATACATAAAGTTCTTATAGATGACAATACTAAATGGATGCCGGATTAGCCTTGAACTTACAGTCCTTACATCTGTGCCATCTAATGTTGAATGTTGTACGTGATCCAATAGAGCATCACACCAATATAATCTATCAGTATCGAAATCAATGGCTAAACCATTCGGCCAACCCAAGGTAACGTTTTTAAACACAATCAAATTGGAGCCGTCACTGAACGATCTGGAAATATTCGCGGGTCTGTCCCACTCCGAAAAGAAGATGTACCCTTTATTGGGATGTACCACAATAGCTCTTGGTCGTTTTAAATTCTTCAGAAGTGTTCTTCTATAAGTTACGTTCCGCATCGATAGGACATTTAATGTTCCTTTGCGACTATCAATGTAGTACAGATTCTTTGACACCCAATCCACGGCCAAACCCTCGACACCTTCGTTTTGGGAAGCCAGAACAATCTCTTTAGCTGTGCCATTGCGGTGTACCCTATAGATAACATCTTGCAGCACGTCGGAATAGTAAATTTGTTGATCTCTAGCATCAAAATCTAAACCAACAAAACGAGCGCGTCGGGAAACAACTGGCATCATTGCATCACTGAACCCTTCAATTACAGGATCCAGAACCTTGCCCTTGATAAATCTTTGCTGGGAATACATAAGGAAATCATTCACCAAATTGCAATTGCGTTCGTCTTCAGTTAAACGCCAACCGATGTTGCACGCACACCTATAACCCAACCCGGATGTTGTTTTCGTATTGATGCAAAGATGTTGACACCCCCCATTGTTATTTCCACATGGATTACTTGCTTTAATTTGATTGAGCCGATGCACCGCTTTAATACCACGAGGTTCACGAATGTCTCTCATCTTGTAAATCGATTGAATACTACTGGAGCTTTCGTACTTATCAACTGACATAATGCCTTGCTTGGTACCATCCGTCCAGAAGACTCGGTTTTCAAACAGTGCAATTCTAGATGGATTAGGTACCGATTGCCCGCGGATAATTTGGAAGCGCCTTTCTCCATTGTAATCAACGGTATCAATATAATCCAATAAAGAGTCACACCAGAATATTCTCTTTGCAATTATGTCTGCAGCAATACCGGAAGCTTTGTACGCTGCTTCCGAAACAATGGCGTGTGCGTCAGTTCCGTCCATGTTAGCTCTTACAACTTGAGAGTTATCAGCAACAAATAGGTACCCATAAAGTGGATCCAAAGCAATGTCTACAGGACTGGTTAAATTTGATCCGAGCACGATGGCGTGCCACCTTCCAGTCAACTCAAAAACATCAATCTTTTGACCAATGGTGTCCGCAACATAAAGTTTATCACCCACCCAATCCACAGCAATGGCAGACGGCATCCAAGATCCTGGTAGAGAGATGTGTAGTTCATGCACAGTTGGAAAACTATTTGGTAAAGCATTCATTTGTTGCACGTGAATCTTCTTCGTTTTAATGTCGCTCCAAAAGATTAGATTTTGACCGAAGTGATAATCTAATCCACTGGCACCCGTCGTATTAGCAATGACCTTAACATCTTCCCCGCGTGAATTCATTCGGTAAACTGACTTATCATGAGCGAAGAAAAGCATCATATCATTAGGATTGGTGGCTGCGCAACGGTTCTTATCTTGCTTGGCGTATCCTACTGCACAAGCACAGCTGTAACTACCATCGGTGTTGGAGCAATATTGGTCACAGAAACCCCATTCGTTGCATTCGTTGCGATCCACGCAGGTTTTATTATCAGGTGCAAGTTTGCGACCATCAGGACAGTAGCAAGCACCGCCTGTGAGTGACGCTTGGCATTTGTATTCACAGCCAAGAGATGGACACGAATGATGAGCTGTAAATATGAAAATACAAGCAATTATATCAAATGTCATATTATAAAACACAATTAAACATACAACAAGCTTGTTCTTCATCTGCATTATCCTCGCAGTCATTCTTTCCATCGCAGAGTTGACTCTTGGCGATACATTTCGGTTTACCACCAGGCCCACCTTTCGGACACAGAAATTTGTTATCCTGGCATGGAATCGTTGTACAATTCACTTCGTCAGAGTTATCGTGGCAATCATTGTAACCATCACAGTGAAAGCCGCCGGGAATGCATTGCTCATTGGCACAACGAAACTGTCCACCATGACAGGGCGGAAAATCTAGCGAAATTTAAATGTTAAACACGGAAAAGTCAACAAGTAAAAGAAAAAACCTACTGCAACCAATTTCATCACTGTTATCTGTACAATCCGCATGATGGTCACACTTCTTCGCACTCTCAATACACTTCTGGCCATTGGCACAGCGGAACTGATCCAACGAACAGGACAAACCTGGACAACCCTCTTCGTCCTTTTTAGACCGACAGTCGTAGTATCCGTCGCAGCGCTTCTCCTTTGGCACGCAAGGACTGGATTGTGGACCAACGCCACCACTACCACAGTGGAAATCGTCCTGTTGGCATTTTCTATACACTAAAGTGCAGAATAAACAAAAGAAAACATGAATGAAGAACTATCCTTCAAAATTGAGTTATCGAGAATTGAAGGGTTGCATTACCGCAATCGGTTTCGTCCGACCCGTCGACACAATCGACCTGCATATCACAGCGATGATGAGAAGGAAAGCAGTAAGTCTTGTTAAAGATGTACTGCCGACAAGATAACTGACCCTGGTCGCAATCGGGCGGTGCTGAAATGAACAATAAATTTCTTCGTAATACAAAAACTTTGCGAGAGAAAGTATAAAATCGTGATAAATGCAAGAATTTTATATTGAAGATTGAAGATGTTGCTGTTATCGAAAATTGGGTATTTCATTCCGGTTGGTTGATTTTCACCGGAATATCGCTACAGTTTCGTTTTCAGTTTTGGGGCAAATTGTTTCGCGCCGCGCGTGCATAAATCAGGCGAAACGTGAACGCGACGTACTCGTACTTTTTGATATCGTGCTCGGACCGCGCGTACACATTGTCCTGTGAGCCCTGTTGATTTTCATGCTCCATTATATTGCAGCCACTTTGCGCATGTTGTCGAAGAGGGCAAACTGTATGCAAAAGTGAACGAGGAGCATGTTGCAGGAGAAGTAGGTATACATATATTGATTCCGGTCGTGCTTTATTTATACATTTTTTTCTTTCCCGTCGAATGCCCGTATATGCACACCGGCACACCACTCGATATTTTCTGATATATTTCCGACTTTTCCTGCCGCCACCCGCGCGCAATATTGAATCGGGCGTGATTTGCTCGTGCAAATGCAACGCGAAAAAGTTTCCCGAGCGTAATACATACATATTCAAAAACATATTTAACATAGCATCTACATTTTTTGGCATTTTGAAGCCAGGGCATAGGGAATATCAATAAATATACAAAAAGTTTTACACGGCTGAAATGAATATAATGAATCGAAAATTGCTTTATACGTACGGCACTTTTGCAGCTCGTCCTCGCCGTTTTCGCAATCCTTGTGGTAATTGCACACCCACAGAGAGGGTATACACTTTCCTTCTGGACATTGAAACATTCCTGACGGACATACTACTGCAGGATCACCTCCTTTAAGAAAAAAAAACAACAAAATTATTATATTTTTAAATAACTATGAAACTATGTCTAATTACAATTATTTATTTAGTTGATGGGGACGTATTTTAATATTTTGTATCAAAAAGCCAAAACATAACTTTTTTATGTTTTGCTGACATAATAAAATTGCAATTCATGCTTAGTGAGAGATAATACACACCCGGCAATGATTGCTGGCGCACAGACATAGCGATAAATTACAAATTACGAAATTACGAATGCGAGGCGGCAAATTACAAATTACAAATTGGAAATCGCCGGACTTGACACATTGTCAGGACAATATGTCGTCGAATGAACTCAAGCTCCCACCCGCTTCCAGCCATAGCAGTCCTCATTCCCGTTCGCAAGTCCAGTATAGTAGTACTGGAACGAAGCGCATAAATCACGCGCGTTGCGTGTAAAACGCAATAATGCGCTCGGTAATCCGGCTGTAATGCCGGCGCGCAAAGTGTAAATCGCACACGACGCCCTCTGGCGATTCATTTACCCATCACGCAGTGTTGATTTATACGACTTTTCAGCACAAAATAATACCGATAGGAAAAAAAAAACACAACAAAACCTTCGCACTCCACGAATAACACCCAATGTTTACAATGTTGATTCAATCGATTACAATCTATTAGTGTAAAGTGCCATCCACTGACCTTCGATTCAAGTATGTGCACATATTTCCTTGTTTTGTTTACCTTCATGGAAAATTGTGCTTTGAAAACAATTTGAAATTGAGGAAAACGGATAGAGTTTAATCTTTCATTGGCCTATCTATGTCCGGGATTTGATGGTGGCAGTAGCCCGTTTGTACCCATTTTGAAATGCTCGAATGCACAGTGCGGCGGTCGCACCGCTGGCCGGCAACAATTTCACGCTTCATTTCCTCATTCGCGCGCTCCTCGCCTTCCATATTGTTATTTATTCATCGTTCAGTTATTGATTTAATCTCGTCGCGCCGGCTTCAAAGCACGCCGCGATAACGAGCGGCAACGAGCAAGCAGAGGAAGAAATATGCAAACTGTGATTAAGCTTTCGGAAGCGCTTTGCGCTCCAAGTATTTGCGCTGAAAGTTGATTAAACTGCGTTTCGATTAAGTCCCCTACACCAACAAACATGAAAACACATAATAGCTAGGCAACAAGCATCTACAACACTCTTAGCAGTCAAAAAAAATTGAATGTTATCAACGTCGTCAGCGTGCCTTGTAATGTGAAGGCAGGCGCACAAGCAACTCACAGCAATGTGCACTAATAAAACATTAAGCAATTTGTTTTTTACGCTTGGTCAAATAAACTCAAACCGCACGCGAAGCAAAAATTGTTTCCACTTACGACCCTTACGATCGTCATGACGACGCCTAAAACACGAATACTCTCTGCAAGCGGATAAAAAATTTCAATTTTCATTCCAATTGAAAAGTCCTCATCCCGCCACTTAGTGTTTATGAGCGGGCATGTGGAAAACGCAATAATTTCTTTATGGCCGCCATTTTGTATGCCCTCCCGCCAAGCAAATTATGACGCCACTAAAGCCCCAAACGGATGAAAATGTAATTTGCTCTTTGCACGGAGGGTGCTCTCGCGCGCTCGAGAACCGATTGAAATGTCAATAATAACAATTTGGTGGTCGTGCGAAAATTTCATTCAAACGAATTCAAATGCGCGCAACCTGTGAAATGAAACGAAATGCGCGCACGTGATACGAATATGCAGCGTTTTATTGTTTTCGCCCACAAAAGCTCACAAAACACACACGCGCAAAAAAAGCAGATTGGTAAAACGCTCAACACCCAATTGTTGGAATTTATTGTATTATTGGATTACATTCCGACCATTTTCAGCACCAAGCGATAAAAACTAGATTACCAAGTTTGCAATGATTTCATACCCAAAAACGGGTGTGAGTGGTAAGAGTAATTAAAACGAGCAGCTCGAGTTGGAAATTAATTTAACTTGTAAAGTTTGCTGAGAAACCCGAAGATTAGAAAGATCCAAAAGTTTTACTTTGTTATCAATTCAATTTTCGTCTACACGTGAGCCTGAGATACAAAAAAAAAATGATAATGAATCACAAACACTCAAAACGGCTAGTATATTATTAGAAACAAAAACAAAATACTTACACGTTTCTAAACAATATGGATTATCAGGTACACATTTGATATTCAAGTGGGTGCACACTCAAAAGTTTTAAATTAAGATTACATAAGTGTGCGAAACGAGCTTAAAAATAACTCCAACTTTTTCGAGATTAATCGAAGACGCCAGACATGAATAATTGTACAGATTTGGCGGCGGCGCAAGCACCTGCCGGCACGGAACGTTAAAAGTAAGTACGTACAAAAGTAATAAAGTGTAACGAACAGCTTGGCAATTATAATGGCGCGCGCACACAAAAGTTTCGGATGCTTTCAATCATGTAGTAGATTAACTAGCCGACAATGGACTTTCTTCACGACGCGACTCCTTCATTCCCTATTATAACTTGTTATAACTCATCCCGGCTTCCATTCAACGACCAGCGTCGACGCGTAGCAAACTCTCGTTTGCTTTCCCATTTTTCGCTACTTCCCTATTTTATTTCAAGCGATTTCTAGCGATTCTTGCCATTTTCATCCGGTATAATTTTCCACTTTTTTTCGAAGGGTGTAGTAAGTCTGGATGAGGATGAGAACGTGGATGATATTCGTAGAATGTGGGGATAAAATGAAATCAAAAGACTTGAGTCGCACTCGCAGTCACGTCGTTAGGTTATTACGATTTCAACCGGTCGCCTGGTTTTCGGCGGCGAACTCGACTCTTATGCATTATTCCGCGAGAGTCGGCCGATGTAAAGTCATAAACTAAAAATGAATGGAGAGAGCCAAGAGGAGCCAATGTAACCACTGTAACGTAATGTCGGATGCAGTGCCAAGCGTAATATAATCATAGATGAATGGTGGCCAACAAAAAAATATTTTATTTCCAAAACGTGGTTTGATATGTACTAAAGTAGATTTATCCTAAAATCTACAAAAAAAAACTGGATGCAACGCAATATAAAGTAATGTATATTAAGTTGCCCATCTACATATAGATATATTACAGCGACTAACCTAGTTTAGTAAAATGGCGTCGCGTTGCAATATGGCAGACTTTTTAGATTTATCTATTTCTCGGGTTGCGCTGCGCGCCTGAAGGTGATATCCGAGAGTGAGGGCACAAAGTGATGATGTTGATTGATGTTCGTAATAAATATGATTGATGATCGCGAACTGCACGCGTCTTATCCGCTTCTATCTGCACCGAATGAATCGTAAAAATAGATATATGGCTTCAACTCCTACCTCTGACTACCAACTCCCTCGCATAGATAAAGATAATAAATGCATTTATAAAATTGAAGAAAAAAGTATAAACTATTGAAAGTTGTTGGTACATTTGTGTAATACAGATTGCAATGAGGTTCAGTGACCATCTCTTGTCTTGTTGTCGCTAGCGAAGCGACATCGCCACCGAAATAATCGCGACGGCCGCCGCCATTGTGTCGATTAACGTCAGTCAATTCTTTTCAATGAACGCCGGCCTCCTCCACGAACGCACGGTATGCGCACAGCGACCAGATGAGTAATTGTGGGAATATCTGGCGAACGAGCAAGCGAGCGCAACAAGTGTGTGTGCATAGCGGTACATCGGCGGCGGACGGCCGAAGAGGTGACAACGCAAAAACGACCTCGTACCACTCGGTGCCAAGCGCCGCGCCGAAGAGATCTCTCGCTAATGTCTAATCCAAACTGAATGTATCGAATGCTGTGTGTGCCTGTGTGGGTCAATGAATTTTCGTGCATAAAAACGCTCGCACGTCACGTGCTAATTAACGCGAGTGTCTTGGGTTTTGGTTGGTGGCGCGCGACGACGACGACGACTCCAGTCGAGTCAGGATGTGCTCAATCAGCGGGCAACAATGCTTGACCTGATTCATTGAGTTGTCTTTCAAACTCCACTCTCCATGATGATAGAATACCTACCAGAGAGATACAATTTCTAAGCGGGTCATAATTTCTGGTAACCACATATAAAGCACTTCGATACAGCAGGCAGCATTTAAAAATAAATCATAATTTGCGATTGATTTACGTGACGACGTGACGGGTCGTTTCCTCAATTCGTATAAATTGCCTTTCTTCGGGCGTCCGCTATTTTACTTCCACTTGGCTACTTCTATTTACTTCTTTTGTTGCGACTTGCGATCTCTCTCGAGGTGTCTTGGATATTTCTGCGTATAAAATAATAGCTTCTGTTCTGGTGTGGTCAGTGACCCACGCCGCAATTCATACGACACTCAATTTCCATGATATAATTCCGCAATTTTTCCTCGTGTTTTTAATCCGGCATTCGGATCATCCGAGTGTGAATGCACACGGTCGCACCTTTCTCGGCGCGAGGAGGCGCAAAGAAGTTATCGGTGGAAATATGTGAAATAATCTGCGCGGCGGAGCATTAAATTGCTTCTCATTGTTTCCGCGTCGGGAGTTAATAGACCGCCGACGAACGCCCCGAGGGTTTCGGAGGGCGCAGCAGCCGTGCGCCGTCATCCCCATCGCGACGCGTATTCAACCCTCGCTACGACTGCCGAACATCCGACTTCGTTTCTCAGATGTAATTGAAACGAAGCTGTCTTCCGACCGTGGATTACGCTGCGCGTTTTCTTTTGCTGATTTGCCATTCATTGCAATGAGTTCTTTTTTTTTTTGTTAAGAAGACTAAAGATAAAAATGGTAAAAATAACGAAAAATGAAGGCGAAAAACCAAAAATCATATTTCACCATTTTGGAGTGAGTCGCTCATAATGACTTGCCAGCGTTGCGCACAAATTGCGAATAAATTCGCTTGTTGGAACAGACTGAGCGCAAAACCATCGAGCGTAAACTCCACCAATCTCCACTAACGCAGGCTATGAATGAAGACACAAGAGATGACGCAGTTTATGCGAGGAAAACATTGAATTACTGCACCACGAGCAACGAAAAAAAGAGATAAACATCTACAAGCTTTGTTCACTCATTCATTCATAATTTTTGCAATTATTATGTTATTAAATATTTCAAGTGTTTGCACATGCTTGAGTTCAAGTACGTCCGACACTTTGATAGTGCCTTTATCAAAAACTTAAAACTTAGAATTCATTGAGTATAAATAGTGCATAGAATGACATTACAATCATTCAGCAAATTAACTCCCTTCTAAACTTAAATGCAAATCACATAAATTATTAATCATGAAGGTTTTTATTTTCTTCGCTGTGGTTCTTCAGGTATCCTTAGGTTTGTAAAAAAAATATAGCAATTGATATTCCTCATTAACTATGTTCATTTTCCATAGCGCTTCCATTGATAAAAGATGATCGAATTGTGGGTGGTTATCCTGCAAACCCCGGACAATTCCCACACCAGGTCTCTCTCCAACTGAATGGTCAACATGCCTGTGGAGGATCCATCATTGCATCCAACACCATTTTAACAGCAGCTCACTGTGTTTATGGGTATGACCAATATAATATTGCCTAATATAATATTAACTCTGATCTTCTAGAATGTCTGGTCAATTGTATGTCCTGGCTGGAGTTACCGACCTCAATGAAAATGGTATTCGTATACCTGTGGCCCAAATTTTGATTCACTCCAACTACAATCCAGACACTGTCCTCAATGACATCGCCCTTCTTCGTCTGTCTAGCCAGCTTCCTATTGGAGGTTATATTCAAATCGTCCCGCTCCGATTCCAAGCCGCCAATCCAGGAGAAACCCTGATATTAAGTGGTTGGGGACGTACTTCCTATCCCGGTAGTCTACCTACGCATCTGCAGTGGATTCAGCTTGCTGCTTTGGACCTCAATACATGCTCCCAGCTTCTAACTGGTTCTACTCCTATTAGTAATGGTCATGTCTGCACTACCTCACCAGTGAACCAGGGTGCTTGTCAGGGTGATTCTGGTGGTCCACTGATTGACGCGCAGGGCGGGCAGATTGGTGTCGTTTCATGGGGCATTCCATGTGCAAAAGGATATCCTGATGTATTTACCTCTGTGCCGTTTTATTTGGATTGGATTGTGAACAGTCCCAAGACTTTTGAAAAAGTTATTATTAACCAATAAGTGTAATTATTACTGTTCATATTGAATAAATTCTAATTTAATAAAAATTCAAAATAATTGAAACTAAACTGCCCCTTTGCAGACAGTAGACACATTTCGTATAATCTAAACGTTTTAATTCAGTTCAAATTGAAAACTCCTGGTATTTTAAAACTTTTAATCTGTAAACACTTGGGTAATGCAACAACAATTTTATTTTCGTGCTTATCTTTGTGTGCAATCTATTTGCATAGAAATTATTAAAAATCTTTGAATATTCAGTTGTTATTATATAAATAACTTCACTATTTTTCTATATATAATGTCGCGAACTTTCTCTAGTTTAAACTACAATATGAAAGCCTTCACTATTTTAACAATACTTCTACCAGCTTGTCTGGCAGCACCATCATCAGTGGAATCCAATAATACCACCAGTTTAAAATCCAGTGAACTATCACCAGATAATGGGAGAATTATGGGGGGTGCAACCGCACCAAAAGGAGCCTTCCCATATCAAGTCTCTCTAAGAAATCTAGAGAACAAGCACTTCTGTGGTGGTTCCATCATTACCGCAAGACATGTTCTTTCAGCTGCTCATTGCTTCGTCGGGTAATGAAAAAGTTTAACTACAATTTTTTTAACGTTCATTTGATTTGATTTTTCTGCATATATTGCATAGAGCTAGCCCTGACAGAATCATAGTAGTCGTTGGGACTAACCTACTGAACAAAGGTGGCTTTACCCACAAGGTCGAAAAAATTGTATCACACGAAGGATATGTTAAAGAAACCTATTTAAATGACATCGCAATATTGACCGTAAATCCCAGATTTAATATCAACGCACCAGGCATATCAATTGTTCCTCTCGCCAGTAGAAGCCGTGTTGTCACTAACGGCGAGAAACTATTTGCTTCGGGATGGGGCTTCGACGACTACCCAAAAGAAGATTCGCCGAATAGTATGCAATATATTCAATTGACAGGAATGGATGCGGCAACATGCGCCTCCAAGATGCCAGGGTCCCCGATTAAAAGTGGTCACATTTGTACCCAAGATCAAAAAGGTTTAGGAACATGCATGGGAGATTCGGGTGGTCCTCTGGTAGATGTTGGAGGAGTACAAGTCGGCATTGTATCGTGGGGAATTCCTTGCGCCCAAGGAAAACCAGATGTTTTCACTTCTGTGGCATACTATAAACACTGGATCGAAGAAAAAACAGAAGACGCATAAACCTAAACCTAGTATGTACTTAATTTTGCCTTTTGATTGTAAACCACTTGTAAACGTGTCCCGAAAATAATTTGATAATCAGGCTCTAATAAAATAATATTTAAAAAGGGATAAGGAGCCAGATTGTGATCCATGCGAATTACAACCCAAAATACTTTCTTTTGGGAGTGATACAAATTATCCCGCTCTGATTCCAAGCTGCCAATCCAGGAAAAACCCTGTCATTAAATGGTTTGGGACGTTGTTCCCACCCCGGTAGTCTACCTGGATCTGCAGTGAATGCAACTTGCTGCTTTGGACCTCAATACATGCTCCAGTGGCGGATTACGGCCTAGGCGCACTAGGCGCGCGCCTAGGGCCCCGGCTGCCTGGGGGGCCCCGGTTGCCTGAGGGGCCCCTGGCACTTATATGTCCCATATAGACATAGTAATTCCACAAATACTTCATCAGTTGGTTTTGACCTCAGCCTTTATGAATAGCGTATTGGTTTTCACTTGGCGCCCAAAACGGCATTTCACACGTGTCCGCAAAGCAACCGTCACGGATATATAGCTGACTTAAAACTTTTTATCTCCGATTTTATTTCTTTATGACAAACTGTTTAAAATAAAAGTTTGATGTTTTCTACCACGAATTTTTGTGACCTTTTCTTGAATATTGCATTAGAAAGTTGTAGCTATAATGCGAGTAGTATATTGTCAATTTTTTTAAATTTCGAACATCTGTGGAGGAGATGAGTTGAGGAACATTCCATTGAGGTTGTAAAATAGCGGGTAACTCTTTTTTTTGGAATATTAATTATTTCGTCTTTCTATCATTTTTTCACATCATTTTTTTATGGCTTAGATATCACAAACTGTAGGGGCCAATCTTATGATAACGCTGCTAACATGTCTGGCAAGTACAGTGGATTACAGGCACGCATGAAACAACATTCCAAATCAGCTGAATTCATACCATGTGGAAGTCATTCTTTAAATTTGGCTGGGCATACTACAGCGGAATCTTGTTCTGGAGCATTACAGTATTTTATGTTTATGCAAAATATATATATTTTCTTTGCTGCATCAACAAGACGGTGGAATATTTTAACCGAATGCATGAAAGATAAGAATTCTAAAAGTATCAAGAGAATAATTGATATACGATGGTCCGCAAGAGCTGACGCTGTTTTAGCCCTAAGACTAAATTATCATGACATTTACCAATCCTTGATAAAGGTAACCACAGATTCCAATGAAAAACCAATTTCAAAATTAGAAGCAAAAAAATTATCAAAAGAGTTCAATCAATTTGAGACGGCACTGTTAACAATTTTCGGTTATAATGACATCGAAGGGAATTGACAAACACGTCATAATAAGCGGACGTCATACAAAGCGACATGTCACTGTAAGCGAAGTCATTATATCCGACTTTTTTATACAGAATTTTATATAAAAACCAAACTTGGTAGTGTAGTTACGTCATAATAACCGGTTGGTCAATATAAGCGGAGTCACAATAAACGGATTCTACTGTATGCACACAATACTGCAAATTTTTTTGACCTTGCCCGTTTCTAATGCAAGTGGAGAAAGGACATTTTCAGTTTTAAAACGAGTCAAAAACTATCTGCGCAATAGTCTTTCACAAGAGCACTTAAATGACTTCGCATTAATGTTCATAGAAAATGATATTTTTAAAAAACTAGAGTACGACAAAATTATTGAAATCTTTGCCCAAGAGAAGGCAAGAAAAGTAAATTTGTAATTTGAATTTAAATACGATTACCGCTTTTGAGCACACGTACGATGAACTCGAGAACCAAGATAGCATTGAAAACGATAATCGCGGATAGTATGGCAGAAAATTTTACATGTGATATTTCGATCGGTCCTGAAAACAATTAACGCACAACACCTGGTCCATCGCGAAGAGCGAATCGGAAGATAATCCATTAAATTTTGGAATAGTGCGTGTGGATTAGGCCAACTGGGGATACCACGATAAAAAAAAAACGCGCCACGTACTCTACCTCAAGGTGGTGTGGAAATGAGTTTTTGGCACAAACGAATGTTGAAGTAGACTTTGCGGCGCCCGTACGCTAAAACTATTAATTTTACTGGGCTAATAACCGTTTTTGAAAATTTTCGGATTTAGGGGCCCCAAGCTTGATTTGCGCCTAGGGCCCCACTGAAGCATAATCCGCCACTGACATGCTCCCAGCTTCTAACTGGTTCTACTCCTATTAGTAATGGTCATGTCTGCACTACCTCACCAGTATATCAGGGATCTTGCCAGGGTGACTCTGATTGTCTATTGATTGACGCGCAGGGCGGGTAGATTGGTAGCGGTTCATGGGGCATTCCATGTGCGAAGAGATATTCTAATGTATTTACCTCTGTGCCCTTTTTATAATTGGATTTTGAGTCGTCCGAGAGCTTTTGAAAAAGATATTATTAACTAATAGGTGTAATTCTTAATGTTCATATTGAATAAATTATAATTTAATGAAACAATAGTCAAACCAGGCTTTGCCTAATATTCCCTTGCGCATGATGGCATTCATATATTAGTATTAATGGGTATTTGTTCATGCGCCTAGCTATCGTATGAATATTAACAATTTCTTTATCTATAGCTACATAAATGTACATAAATAACAGGGTCTCCCAAATGGTTTTGCACAAACTGCAATTACACCTAAAATAAAACGACAGACCACAAGTTAGTCAATGATGTTTAAATTAATTCGGATTGCATCATTGGGAATTTTTAATTGTGCATGTCACGTAAACTAAAACCACAATCCTGATCAATCACTTCAATCCTGAATCTTCGAAAAATTCTCATATTCAAAGCATCAAACTTAATATTAATGAAAAATTAACATAAAAATGAAAAATATCTGACTTTGCAATTTGGCAGAGATTAATTTAAAAATAAAAATATATAAAACACACCTTTTCGGTGTGCTTGCCTAGTTTTAAAATAATCGCAACTTTACAGACGGTAGACATATCCCGCATATTCTAAACGTTTTAATTCAATCCAAGTTGGACACCCTGGTAAATTAAAACTTTTAATCTGTCAACACTTGGGTAACGCAACAACAATTTTATTTTCGTGCTTATCTTGTGACAACCTTGTGTGCAATGTATTTGCATAAAAAATATTAACAAATTTTGAATATTCAATTGTTATTATATAAATAACTTCACTATTTTTCTATATAGGTACCGGTCCTTTTCTAGTTTCACCAACAATATGAAAACCTTCACTATTTTAACATTGCTTCTACCAGCTTGTCTGGCTGCACCATCATCGGTGGAATCCAATAATACCACCGGTTTAGAATCTAGTGAACTGCCAACAGATCATGGGAGAATTATGGGAGGTGCAACCGCACCAGATGGAGCCTTCCCTTATCAAGTCTCCATTAGAACTATAGACAACAAGCACTTCTGTGGTGGTTCCATCATTAGCGCAAGACATGTTCTCACAGCAGCTCATTGCTTCAACGGGTAATGAAAAGCTTTAACTACAACTTTACAACGTTGATCTGATTTCTCTGCACATATTTCTCAGAGCTAGCCCTAGCACCATCATGGTAGTCGTTGGGACTAACCAGCTGAACGCAGGTGGCACAGGCTACAGGGTCGCAAGAATTGATTCACACGCACAATATAATAGCGAAAACAATTTAAATGACATCTCCATAGTGACGGTAAATCCCAGATTTAGTGGCGCCACACCAGGCATAGGACTCGTTCGTCTTGCCGGTAGTAACCGGGTTATCGCCAACGGCGAGAAACTGATGGCTTCTGGATGGGGCTTCGACAACTACCCAAGCGAAGTTTCGCCGAATAGAATGCAATATATACAATTGACTGGAATGGATGCGACAACATGCGCTGCCAAGCTGCCAGGGTACCCGATTAGAAGTGGTCATATTTGCACCGAAGCTCCAATAGGTCAAGGTACATGCATGGGAGATTCGGGTGGTCCTCTGGTAGATGGCACAGGAAGACAAGTCGGCGTTGTATCGTGGGGAATTCCTTGCGCCAAAGGACAACCAGATGTTTTCACTTCTGTGGCTTACTATTCACGTTGGATCCAAGATATAACAAAGGAAACATAAACCGAAAACATGTTACTCATTTTGCATTTTGATTGTGAACCACTTGTAAACGTGCCCCGAAAATAATTTGATAAACACGTTCCAATGAAATAATATTTAAAAAGAGTAATTATTTATAAATCGCATTTTGGTGCAATTGTTTTGATATGCACAATTGAAGTGCCCGCACATGTGTCTATATGAATGGAGTAAACGAAAACCCAAACAAAACACTCACAGCAAACACATTTTCTCAATGCTCTTATCGCACTTTTACAACTTTAAAACTTACTTATAGTATAAATAGAGATGTAGGAAGATGCAAAATGCATACAGGTAGTTCAACTGCACATAGAAATATCAAGTCGCCACTTTTACAAATAAGCAAAATCATGAAAGTTTTGATTTTCTTTGCTTTGGTACTTCAGGTATCCTTGGGTAAGTAAAGAAATAAAACTAGCATGTATCACTATTAACACTTATTGAAACCTCATAGCTCTACCCATGGAGAAAGAAAACCGAATCGTAGGCGGATATCCTGCTAGTCCAGGTCAATTTCCACATCAGGTCTCTCTCCAACTCAATGGCCAACACGCATGTGGTGGGTCCATCATTTCACCCTACACGATCCTCACCGCTGCTCACTGTGTTTATGGGTAATATTCTTTTTCACCCGTTCAACTTTATATTATATATAAATTTCGCTCCATAGAGTATATGATCAATTGTATGTCCTCGCTGGTGTCACTGACTTAAATGAGAATGGTGTCCGTGTGGCTGTGGGCCAGATTGTGATCCATGCAAATTACAACCCAAATACTTTTCTTGATGATATCGCTATTCTGCGTTTATCAAGCGCACTACCAATTGAGGGATATATTCAAATTGCTCCCCTTCGAGGTCAGGAGTCAACCCAGGAGAAACTCTTACTCTAAGCGGTTGGGGGCGCACTTCTTACCCTGGCAATCTTCCCTCGCAGTTACATTGGATTCAACTGGCTGCAATAGATTTGAATACCTGCTCCCAACTACTAGCTGGTTCAACTCCTATCGGTAACGGCCATGTCTGCACATCATCACCAGTAAACGAAGGATCTTGCCAGGGTGATTCTGGTGGCCCATTGATTGATGCCTACGGAAATCAAATTGGTGTCGTCTCGTGGGGAATCCCATGTGCTAAAGGATATCCTGATGTCTTTACTTCAGTACCATACTATTGGAACTGGATTGTACAAAGTTCCAAATCATTGGAAAACGTTCACATTGTAAACTAATATTGTTAATTATAAGTTCATATTGAATAAAATTTAGATATATACATTACTAGCGACCTGCCCCGGCTTCGCACGGAAGTAAAATAACCGCATCAAAATCCGTTGCGTAGCTTCAATGATTTAAGCATACAAAGAGACAGACAGAGAAAGCGACTTTCCTTCTCCAAACAAAAACATCAACCGGTCAACTTCAACCCACACGTACACACATACACACGTCTATGCTTGGAGGGGGAAGCTACGAAGCATCGCACAAATAGCAGACGGGAATAATCGAAAACTTTGTATTTACATCACATTAGAAACCTCAAAAATAACAGTACTTCTCCACTATTTAATGGATGTTATTATACATACAAACCTTCCTCTTGAATCACTCTATCTATTAAAAAAAACGGCATCAAAATCAGTTGCGTAGTTTCAAAGATTTAAGCATACAAAGGGACCGAAAAAAAAAGCGACTTTACTTTATACTATGTAGTGATGATGTAGTGATTACGCTTATATGTAGCCTATTGTGATGATAATACTGAAGTTTTATCATTTATTATCACGACAAAATATTGCAATTACACTTCAACACCCTGTATATTCCAACGTAAAAATTCGTTGACAAAGTCAACTTGCAGTTGTTTGTTTCCTGGACCATCAGTCCAATTGGTCAAAATCTATGCCAGCGAAACTCAGGTGAACCGCTTATCGATGACAAAAGGAAATCCAGACAGTTTCACTTCTGATGCGTGCTTTTTCTTCGTAGATTCGTAAACATTCATGAGCACAAACATTACAAAAATGTTTTAAATTATCAGTAAGATTAGATTCGATTATGAAAGATTTAAACTAATTGTTTGTTTTTTATCTTAATAGCTCTAATATTTTCAAGTTAATTTTGGGAGCAAAACACGTAAACCATGAACCTTGAGGCTCATGATTGCCAAAATACGTTGTTACCTTTAATCCATTAATCGATAAAAAACAACTTGAAGTAGATCGCTGATAAAAGTTGCCAAATTTAACTGTCTCTGAGTATAAATACTCATGCTCACAATAAGTTGAAGCCGAGGGAGAAGCAGGCAATTTATAAAGATGCTTCGTCCTCAATTTTTGCTTCATGCGGTACTTGTGATCGTATTGGTGTTGATTATCATATGCTATACACTTGCACTGCCAGCCAAACATCGCATAGTGGGTGGTAGTACGGCGAGCCAGGGCCAATTCAAACACCAAGTGTCTATACGAAACAATGGAGCTCACTTTTGCGGAGGATCCATCATCACTCCAACAACTATCCTTACAGCGGCTCACTGCGTTCACGGGTAACAATGCAAATCCCTTCATGTATTAATACTGTATTTGTAACTTATTATTTGCATTTTGTCACTAGATCCAGCACAGCTGGTATGACAGTAGTCGCTGGTTCCACGTCGTTATCCCAAGGAGGAGTTAGCGTGCCAGTGGCGCAGGCTTTGTACCACGCTGGATTTGATCCCAATAGCCTTTTGAACGATGTCGCCGTCCTGCATTTGGCCAGTCCAATCCCACTTGGCGGAAATATTCAACAGATTCAACTACGCGGTTCGACGGTATCAGGTGGCGAGCGACTTACTTTGAGTGGTTGGGGCCTGACTTCGTACCCTGGTGAAATTCCTAACAATCTACAGTACATAAATCTACAAGCTATTGAAATTGCAAGGTGTGCTCAGGAATTGGCGGGCTACAGTCCAATTGATATTGGACATGTTTGCACTACCTCTCCTGTCAACCAGGGTGCTTGTCAGGGTGATTCTGGTGGACCTTTGATCGACGCTAGTGGTTACCAGGTTGGTGTCGTCTCGTGGGGTATCCCATGCGCCAAAGGAATGCCGGATGTCTTCACATCTGTTGCATACTATGCAGACTGGATCGTACAGAATGCCCAATTTGACGAGAAGATGATTGTCGATGATGAATAAAAAAACTGGGGCATTTTAATTGCATATTACGTAAAATTTCTTTCAAATAACAATCACTTTTATTTTTAATTAATTTTGTCAATGAATAAAAATTAGCAGCTGATTACCGCCTATGAATAAATTTTATTTTCCAGCACAATCATCCAAATTTGCTTCACCGCCCCCGATCCGCAACTTTTTTTTCAAAAGTTTTAAACATAAAGCACCTTATTAAATTTAAATTAGTATGGTGTACCTACTTCAGACAGAGTATGCATAAATTATGTAACCTTCGAGCCCAAAATTTGCATTTTCATTTTCGACATTGCAAATTCAGTCACATTACCACACGAACCTGATTAAACAACCTTACAATGTCCCCAGACTTCAATTTTTACGAACTATTCCCTCTTCAATTAGAACAAACAGTACCTGAAACAAAAAGAAATATACATTATTATGATTGCTTTACTTTAATTTAAGATAATTCAATAAACTGGGTCAATATTTGATGTGATTTATTTTCCTCTACCTATACTACTAATGTAATTAAAATGTAAATGAAAAACGGTTTGAATTCCTCGATCGCAAGTGCATAAACCCACTCAAAGCTGTCAAGGCTGATACGGCTGCAATTGATTACGACTTTGCGTCTCGTTAACCTTCGATTTTATTGTCGATAATTTACCGCCAAAGCACGATCGTTTAATATTTATCTCGCGACGTGATTAGATCCACAGCGTTATCTCATCATATTTCACACTATTTCACAACTGCTATTTTCCGGGCGTGACGTGGCAAAATTCAATTTCCTGGCAAACATTAAATCTTTGATTGTTCCATTTGCTTTTTTGTTCCCGGAAAGTTTTCCGCACATTTTTTCCACGATGGTGCAAGCTTGCAAAGTGTAAAGATGAGAAAGAACAGCAGGAGCGGCAAGAGGTTGTATGCTGTAATAGTTTTGAGAGTTGCCAGAAGTTTCTTCTTCGCACTTGCAGAGGAGACTACTGCGCCTGCTTGGTGTGTGCGCCTGATTACTATCAATTCCGTTTTGTTGCCTCGTTTTGTGCGCGCCGGCATTCGGGAAAATTGTGTGTCCTTAAACAACCGACAACCGACTCGCGCTCGACATCAAACCACCCTCGACGCGATATAACTCGCCCGCCTGTCGTCAGACGTAGTCAGTTTTATTTGAAGATTCAAAAAATGTCTACTTTCCAAACTCACAAAGTTTCAAGCGTAGAAATTGTTACAGTACAGTGTAACAAACACATACTAACAAAAAAAACTAGTGATGATTACAGATACTTTCAACAATTTCAAGTTATTTTCATTTGTTTTAACTGTGCATTGCATGTGCATTTCAAAGCGTATTTTTAATTAAATTCTCCACCATTTCGAGAGCATTTACGTAAGCAAAGAATGTAAGAAAATTGTCGATTGCAACACGGGAATGTGCCAGTAGCGTACCTACTCAGCGCATATCGGTGACACCGGCGTCGCTCAGTTTCGACATTTGTATACATTACGCAACGTGCAGTTAACGACCTTCCGTCGGTTTTTCCGCCTCGAAAAAAACATTTTCATCCCCGCGCAACCAAAAAAAATGGTAAACTCTTCGGTTTGCCGCTGGTGCCCTTCGCTTGCCAGTTTGGCACTTAATCAACGTGGAAGTTTATAAAAGCCGGCGACGATGAGCGGCTGAGCAAAACGACGAAAAGACAAAAGACGTACGACACAAAAAGACGCTGCTAACGATGCTAGAGCAATGACAAAAAATATCCAAGACAAGAGATGCAGGAAAAAAACGAGGAGTGGAGTAGACTGATATTAGTGGCGCCACCAGTCATGATACATAACCAACAAACAAGAAAATCACAGTACATAAAAATGCAAAAATATTACTTTTTTCGCGCTATAGCAATAATACACATACAATTTTTTAGATTTAGAGCAAGGTCTGTCCTGGTTTCGGATCGTCAATCTCGTGCAATCTCACGTCCAATGGCAGGACACCGCGATTCAATCACACGGAACGAACCGTCCACGTCCTCCAAGTCCGCGCCGAATGCAGAACCTAGGCGAGCCGCGGATTCAAGTTGCGAAGGCTTCAGCGTTCGGATAACTGTAAACTACTCACGCACACGGTAGGTCATTAACCCAAAACACAGCCAACAAGCCTACAAGCCTACCTTCGGCGGAGAGCTAGGTGATTGGTGACTTTTCTTCCAAAAACCACGAGTATAAAAGCGCAATAAGCCACATTTTAGAATGTTTAGGTAATAAGACAGATGCGAGCTGATGTGGCACCTGAGCGTCTAACAAGGCAGATCTTTGTCTCAGATATAATTGGAGATTTGTGGCAGATTTCGAGAGAAGATTGCCATATTGCGAATTACGACTAAACACTGTGACCAAACATTGTTGCGTTGTGGGACACAGCTTGCGTAAGATAATTTCGACATGTTCGTTGTTCACATTTCCAACATTGTTGCTTGAGAATGCGAATAACGTGACAATTATTCAATAAACGTCTCTCGCATGCTTCGTCGGGACCATATTCATTACAGTTTGAATTATTTGCCAGAAAATGCCGTATATTGTACAGCATAACATTTAAATACGTACGATAAGTCTTTTACGCATGTTGACACGCAAAAAAACACATAATATAATTAAATTGTTTAATTGTTAAAAGAAAAAAAAAGAAAAACTTTTTTTTTCAAATTAACTTTTCTTTTTTAATTGAAATACAATATTTTAAATACATATCTGTTTTAGATTAAAACATAAAAAATTAATCTCTGAAATGGTACTAAAAAAAACTTTTTCGAAGTAAAAAGTTAGCAAGATTTACATTTTCATCAAACGGCGCCAGTATTTGCCAGCTAAAAGCAAAACTTCTCATTAAAATGACATAAAATTGCCCACTCGAACGCCTCCCAATGCAATTCGAAGCCATTATGCACAATAACTAGTTGCTTAGTTGTTCGCTCGTCGCGTTAATTATAAACTTTAAACTAAATTCATCCGTGAGCGCGCGCGCAATGTTTTGTTTGCGAGTCTCTTTCATCGTCGCTCGCATTCAATCGCATTAATCCAAGTTAAAAGTTTGCCATTTCGCCGTTTTATCATTTAATTCGCAACGCGTAATAGACATATCATAGAAAAGTGCAAACGCAAACCTCGCTATAATTGCGTCTATTATCCCCCGACAAACCGAGAGCTCAAATACGGAAGACGACATTAACCGTCGTTTATATAAAATCTAAGAATTCCAGCACTCGCAAGTGGCAAAACGTCATTACACTAGCATGGAATAAGTGTGCGAATACGTGCAGCGCATGTAAGACGCTGCGCTGCGTTTCGTGCCGGCGAAGAAGCGCAATCGGACAACGAATGGGTAACGAACGAATATGACCCGATTCGTGTCCGCCGCCGCTGTGTATCTCCGCACCGTGAGAATATACTTTCACTATTACTCGCTCCTCGCGGTTAAATCATGCTCTCAGAGATGAATTCCTAAACCCACACTAGCCTAACCTAACTTAACAGAAAATAACGTACGCACACACAACCTGCAGAATAAAATTGATTTGACTAGGTTATGTCATGAATTGTTTCCCAAGTTAGGTTAGGTTATGTGTGTACGTAGCTTCACATCAATCAAAGTGATTGAAGGTGTTGAGATGGATCGACGGCGCGATGAAAACTCTGCGCATGTTAATGATGAAAACGTTTCGAAACTGGTTTCTCGAAAGAAAGTGCTGCTCAGCGCGGAGCTGGCATTTTCTAGAAATCGGCGAATTCCTAAAGCCTCAAAGTGCTCAAACACAAACGCTTCTTTCTCACCGGCAATCAACTAAAACATAGCGCACCACTACACGCATTCAATATTATTATTACAAGTGAAAATTACAAACAAAACCAGCAAGCATCCTCAGCGTTTTTTTTGTTTCTCTATCATGGTGAAAATGAGAACAATGAAAATACAAACAATAAAAATTTTCTTCTCGCGTGCGCGAAACAAGTAAAAGCAATAATCATAAATGTTTCGTGGACGCAGGACGACACTGATTAGCAGCAAACTTTTCGAGCGCCGCCGCGCAGAGTGGATAACGACCGGAGAGCGCTGAAATTATACATTCAGACAAGTCTATCGACATAACAATAACGTTTCTAATTGCATTTTCTTGTTGTTAAGTGTAAAGAGAAAAGGAAGAAGAAGAAATCTTGCGCGGTCGATAGAAAGGTTTAGTTCTAAGTGTCAGTGTCACATTTCACTAGAAATTAGTGTTTAATCTGCTAATCTACATAATATAACTGTGAATTATTTTGCTCTTCTCTGGGTCTGCGGCATTAATTTTTAATTTCCGTTTGACACTCACAAACATTTATGCTGCTTTTTTATCGATAAAAATTAAAAATTTACAATTAACATTCACAAATAACAGTGAATTTCTGTCTCGCGCAATTAATGTCATTCGATTCCGTGAACACGTGTTTCTTCGTGCGCTCTGTCGTTTCTTATCGAGAGTTGTTCGTGACTCGCTCGCGACTTTTTGCACGTTCATTCTTCGCTAATGAAACTAATCGCGGATTAAGTGGTTCACGGTTGAGTTTGCTAAAACGTGCAGAGTCTTCCTCACAAGATACACTTGTAATTGATAAAATATTACATTTGTTTGTTGTTTTTATGATTAAATTATTGGGAATTTCAAACGGAAATAACAAAATAAGCCTATACATATATGTAAAGTTATGTGGGAATTGTAAGGAATTACGGGCCGGATTGCACGCTTAACACCACCGCTCGCATTCGTAACAAGGGAGCTGCCACAAGGGTTGTAACTCGCACCCGAACCACAAGGGAGGTGTAAAACGTCCGCGCGTTTATTAAATATGCACGCCACGTTGACGCAAATCCACTAACACGCCTCACTGAAAACTTACGAAAAACACTAGAGTCACATAAAGAAGAAACTTACGACACTGAACCCTGATTAAAACTTAAATGAACAAAAACCAAAAAAAAAGCATTAAACCAAAATCAAATCAAACCGAAGCATCTGCGTTAAATGTTCTGTATGTCTTGTGTATAAGATGGCGCTGACGGTCGACCGCAAATCAAGTTGGTCGTAGTAGATTGCAACGATTGCAATTTGCAAATGGATTACACGCCAGGCGTTAGACAGAGATAACAATCCACACAACGGAAGCGCTAGTGTTGCTATAGTGGGTGGGTGCGACCACAGAATGGAAGAACAATGCACAACAGTTGATGGTTGCGATCGCGACGGCGGACACATTCGCAAACATGCGTCGCCATGTTGCGCCGGCTGCCGGCGGTTTGTTTGCGCGCCGCTGCGACGAAGATTAATCAGCAAAGTTTGCGACACGCGTATTGCATCAGTCGCCCGAAACCGAATCCGTTCCCGAAAGTATATTGCTGTAAACATTTTAAAAGCGCTTAAAACGGTTTACCGAGTTTTAGCTACAAATAAAAATGGCACCGCGCATGCGCAGTCGAAGAACATGCGCTAAGCTATAAACATTTTACGACGTGTTAATGTCTTAGATGACTTAGATCACTTAGAAGACAAGAAACCATAAAGATCATTGACTCTACGACTAATCGCCGGTCTGCCCACGTTAACAATCATCATA